TAGACCTTCAGTTGCGCAGGCAGGTGGGCTACTGATTTAAACGTGTGTAGAAGAAATCGGTAATCAGTTGGGCATCTTGTTTTGTGAATGCGCTGCATCTGGACCATACACAATGTTCAATCAACAAAGCTGGCAGCACCCATAGCTGATACAAAACTGGGCCGGCAGCCAACGCCAAAGGCTGCATTGTCACTGTGGTCATCATTTTTCAGTTCCTCTCATATGTTGATGCAGCATCGTGACCGGTGGCTGGCCCTACTCCGTTTCAATCCAGAACCCATTCGGCTCAAGTTGTTGTCCTTTCAAAACAGAACCAGAAAACACCTCGAAACAGATAACAAACACATGCTGCAGTACCCAGTTCTGGGTTTGAAGGGCCCCGGCCGGGTTCGCTGTGAACCAGGAACAGGCAAGGCGCTGAGAGCAATCCTGCAAAGAGCTTGTTTGAGAGCTTGCAGTGACTGAAATTCTTCAAGCTCGGGTATTCGTCTAGGAGAAAGCTCTCAGCCCAGTGTTCCAAACGTGGATGTGGCTCTTGTGGGTGGCTTGCTAAATCAGGGTCTGGTTTGCGTTCCTGAATCAACTTATCAGTCTTATACTATAACAAAAGACCCGAAAGTTGTCTGTTCAGAGAACCCCACATGTCTCCTTGTAGGTGTTCGTCTCCGCGCCATCAGACTCGCCAGTCCTTGGATAAACGTTGGTGCGGATGGAACTCCACTTTGAGAACCTGTGCAGATGAATCCCGTGACCATCTTGGCAATATCGGCGCCTTAATAATTAGAATAGGGTTTTGGGGCCCATTATACTATAAATATAATCGCGAACCCCCAAAATAGTGTAGGTAAATATTTACGCCCCTATAGCAATGCGAGATCTGCCCAGCCAGAAAATGATTGACGGCACCTGTAGCCTGCCCTCAGGCCAATTTGGGAGTTTCCGAAAATAGGGGTCCTTTAAAGGGTTACTACACGGGTACTATAAGGGTTCCTTTAACGGGCTCTATAAGGGCATAGAGTCTCCGAAAATGAGGGGTGCCTGATTTGGGGGTCCTTGTAATAAGGATCCTGCCATTCAGGGTACTATATTAGGGTCCCCTATTTCGGAGAATCCCATTTGGGGAGCCCGCTTGTGATCAAGAAGCACAGGTCCAAGACCTGCAAACTGCCCCGAACCCTAAGCCGTTGCAACGGTCTCAATCATTATCAGGCACAAAAGGTCGCTAAAACCCCAAACCCCTAAACTCCAAACCCCTAAACCCCAAAACCCCTGAACCCCAAAACCCTAAACCGCAAGGTTGAGCTTTGCACACATCTCTTGCAGGGCCCCCCAAGAAAGCACATAAGCAAACATACGGGTAGGGATGTGCCATATAAACCCCCTCAAAAAGGAAGGCCAACAAGGGTAGGGATATCCCATATAAACACCCTGAAAAGGAAGGCCAATAAGGGTAGGGATATCACCCTAAAATGCTTATGGCTTATGTGCTTTTTGGGTCCCTAATCCTGCGGTCCGAAGCTCAGGCCGAACTTGGGAACGACGTACTTCAGCAACCTGGTCAGGTGCTAGGGTTTAGGTTTTAGGAGCTACCCAGAGACTGAGATATCCCTCAATGAAGGAATTACCCTAAGGGTTCCTTGAGAGATTCCTGAAAAGCATAAGGGCTCTAGAAGGTAGATTAAGGAAGATGATTTAAGGAATATTCCTGAAGATAAAAAAATACTACCGCAGTCTCTGGGTACTTTGCCCCAAAAAATCTATCTGTTTTAAGGACTGATGTAACGAGCTCCTAATAAGGGAGTTTCCGAAAATAGGGGAACCTAATATGGTACCCTAAATAGTAGGATCCTTATTATAAGGACCCCCAAATACGGTACCCCTAATTTTCGGAAACTCTGGACCCTAAACCCTTTATAGAACCCTTATAGATCCCATTAAGGAACCCTTATAGATCCCTTTAAAGGTACCCCTACGAGCTCCTAATAAGGAGCCCTGGGTCCGGGCCGGCTCAGGGTTGAGGGCTGTAGGGCTGTTCAGGGTTTACTTACCTTTGGGTTTCGGGGTTTAGGGTTTGGGGTTTAGGGGTTTAGGGTGTAGGGTTTAGGGTTTAGGGGTTTAGGGTTTAGGGTTTACTTACCTTGGGTTTGTAGGGAATTGAGGAATGGGGTACAATTATAACTGCTAGTACTACCATTCTTCCATTCCCTACTTACCCAAGGTAAGTTTAGGGCTGTTCCCGGGGGTTCAAGGACTTAGGACTTATAAGTTGCAAGCCAAGTACATGCTGTAAACACTCAAATGCTCATGGGACTAAGTAAGGATGGCGGTACGTAGGTTATAATTTTGATAACCACTTTCGGGACGTAACAATTTCAAGTATAACCTGCTTACTAAGTCCCATGATCCTCCAAGCAAGGTAACAAGGCCCTGCGTGCTTGGAGTCACTGGGGAGCTGGCTTGCCAGTGGTTGTCACTTCGGGTTTCGGGGGTTCAGGAAAACACGAGGTTCTAGGGGTCCTGAGACCGGCAGTCATTCGGACATTGCTTGGATGACCGATGTGAAAGATGGAAGGAACAGCAAAGCCATCGCATGAGGGCAGGATTTGAGGTTTGGGGCGAGAGGACTTTTGGGTCTGCTTTGCAGGACCTAAGGACGAAAAACTATGATACAGGACATGGCCACCTGCATGGGCCTCACTTAGCTTTCAGTTCAGGATTTTGGGTTAAGGGTTAGTTCTTCGCGATGATTCCGAATAGGGCAACCCATCGTCAATTCATCGTTCAGGAGCCTTTTGCTGGCACGTTCGGTCAAGCTTTTGCGACTGCCGCCGTAAAGCTAATCTCTCGACTTTCGTCCACTCATGTTGAAGGTGCTGTTGAACCAAATACTGACCAGGTAAATCACAGGCTCGTGGCAGGCCGAATATCTTTCACATGCAAAGACACGATTTTGTTGCCACAGAGTTCTGTTCGTTTGTCTCGTCTTTACCTTTTATGCTCCAAACTTCGCAACCTGTTTTTGATTGCCTTCAGCTTGCTTGAACCCAACTTGGCCTGCTCCTGTGGTCACACGTGCAACCCTGCGTGCTGTCGAGGCACAATGTCTAAGCCTCTTGTTCAAATCCCGCTTTTCATAGACTAGCTTCGCTCCCAAACACTGAAACTTATGTCCCTCAGTTTTGCGGGTCCAAGCCACACAGTATGGAGCAGGATGTGGGCAAAGAACGCCAATGCACATGCGGTTACCATCTCGTCACCTGCCAGAAGTAGTTCATAAAGGGCCCTTAATAATCAGAATAGTGTTTTGGGGCCCAGTATACTCTCTCTCTCTCTATATATATATATATTTATACATGTAAATATATACACTAAGGAACCCCTACAACAGTATTTGTAATTACTTAGGCCCCTATATTACACATGCTAAAGTTTGGAGAACTGACGTGCGCAGAGGTGGCTTCATGCGATACAGTGTCCATTCTGGTTGAACAGTGTGATGTGCAGTGAGGTGGCTACATCGTGATATCGGTCCGAGATTGCGGAGAGCAGTGTGCTCCGAAATGCATTTGACATCTTCAAACGAAAGAGGAATGATCTGGGCGCATCTCAGTTTCTAATTGCTGTTCTGCCTATAGCTCATGTAAACCCTAAACCCCAAACCCTACTAAACCCTAAACCCCAAGACCCCAAAACCCTAAACCCCTAAACCCCTAATCCCTAAACCCCAAAACCCTAAACCCTAAAGGTCTCATCCTTCCTCTGGATCCCTTGGATTTGATTTGGGTGTGGTTTCGGGAGTTATTGTAGTTCCTCACACTTAGACTCTGGTTGATCTGCCGAAACGTGCTACAACTCCACAAGTAAAGCAACAAGGTACGAAGAAGAACCGCTGTGTCGAAGAATGTCTGGTGCCGAGTGCTCGAAGCAAAACATTACTAGACTTCCAACACAGGTACCAGACAAACGATGGATCACAACGGTCGCCAAGATGCTGGGACTTTGGTGCCATTGATTCAGAGTCCCAGAATCCCATACCCCAGACCGCGGCAGCCTTCCATGCAGAAGTATCCCGGCTGGCAGTTGGCCTCTGCAGGCAGAGTAGTGAAGTTAAGGTGCCAATCCAGACTTCTGTCCGACACCAACGACTGCCTACTGCAGGGGCCTGAATCATTAGAAACGGGCTTGGGGATATCTTCTACCATAAATAGAATAAGGAGGGCGCAGTGGTGGAGGCATTAGGATGCAGGTCAGCTTTCTGGCCAAGAATCAGGATCCATCAGGATTTGGGCACTATGCTACCCGAAATACTAAACACCATAAGCCCCTATGGTTTAGGGTTTGGGGGTTTATTGTTTACAGATTAGGGCCTGAACGCTAAACCCCAAACCCCAAAACTCTAACCCAAACGCCTTGAAGACAAAGCAGGCCAGCATGCAGCCGCAAGGGATAGCCATCAGCCACTGCGACCACCAGTCCACCATCTTGTCCTTGGCTTGGGGTTCGGATCTCGGGTTCAGGGATTAGGGTGGTTGTCCAAATTATGTCCCTTTTTGGGTCCTTATTATAGTACGGCACCTAATATTTAGGGTACCCAAAAGGGGCCATAATTTTGACAACTACCCATTAGTTAAGGTTTCGGGTTTAATGTTTAGGGTTTAGGGTCTAGGGTTCAGGGATCCCGCCCGCTGATGAAGACTTAGACAAGGAGGCGGAAGTGGATTCTGGAAGCATGTCAGAAACAGTGGACCATTATGTGGCCACTAGGATTCAGTTCCACGACGTACGCGCGACAGGCATTCTCCTGAAGGGGAGAAACTTGTGGGCGACGTTGTAATACAGCATGTCCTATCTGAGTAATTTCCTTGTGAGTCCTTCATTTGTGTAGCAGTATGAGGAGCACGGCTTGACATTCTGACGTCGCTGTCTCCAGTAGCAAATTTTCTGCAGCATCCATGTATGAACCTGCAACAGCATGCCGCAGTACCTTGACTGCAATCTGTCTAGACTACACCAGTCACCATCCTGGCTACAGATTTAGACGGTTTTTGGGCGTCGTGCAACTTCTGCACTCCAGACCCTAAACCCTGAACCTTTGCAGACTGTGAGTCTGTGTAGTTGCAGGTCTGGATGGACCGAAGGACGCGGTAGTGGTCGAAGGCGTAGATGTACACGTGGGACAAGGCCATGCCCAAGAACATCCTCAACGGTTCAAGGGGTTTAGGGGTTTAGGGTTTAGGAGGGTTTAGGGTTTAGGGTTTAGGAGGGTTTAGGTTTAGGGGTTTAGGGGTTGAGGGAGCTGAGATGGCTTGGACCTTCTAGTGCTTCCCTTCCCAAATTTGCAAAACACGTGTGGCGGACCCGTCTTGCCGTGGCTCTTCGCTTCCGTTGTACGAGCTCTTTCGGCCCGGGGGTCGTATCACAAGCGGGGCTACACCCTAAACCCTACTTAGAGGATCATGGGACTTAGCAAGTAGGTTATAAATGGGGTTATAAGTCCCCTAAGTGGGGTTGTCCTAATCATAACCTACTTATAACCTTACTTATTAAGTCCCATGAGCCTTCAAGTAAACCGTGTACATGCCAGGGGCGGGAAGACACAGCCCCAAGCATGCTGCCTCGTAGACCTCACATGACACAAATGCACTTGACCTTCCTGAATCTCCACGCTTTCATTCTGCTCTACAGGGAACCCCAGAAAGTTGGAATATGGTTTCATGGTAGGATACCCTATAATTTACCATAGAAGGGTTAGGATAATCATATTCCAACTTTCTGGCTTTTACCTTAGCTCCATGAGCATAAGGAACCCAAAGGAATGCAGTGAGCCCCGAACCATGACGTCATTGTTTTTGAGGCCACTGTGACATTTTAAACCCTAAGCCCTAGGTCCCAGTGACAATTCTTCTGAGGCGCTGAATGTTGAAGCCACCTGGGAAGAAGAAGATGAGCACGGCGATCATTGCATCCAGCATCAGGTCCTCAGCAAGAAGCCCCAGACACTCCCATATCACATATCCCGTCATTCAGGACCCTAAGGGTACAAAGGGATCGAGAGGGTTCAATAGGGTTCAGGGGACTTAATTACGGAACATACCTTAAATTATAGTAGGATCCCGAATAGGAAGCAACATTCCTGAAGCCTCAGGGGGGTTCAGAAAACGGGGCTTACCTCCTCGTGGGGCCCTTGCAGTAGGCATCCTGTTGCTCAGGCTTCTATACTATACCTGGGTCCCCCATACTCTGAAAACTCTCGCCCCAACAATCGTAAACCCCAAGCCCTCAACCCTGAAAAACCAACCCTCTGAACCTTGCAGCATAGAAGCACAGGACTCTACAACCCAAAAGCCAAAAGCCGTGAGCGCTCCCAATGCCACAAACCCGAAATCCCGACTTACAGGCTGTCGGGACTTAGTAAGTAAGTTAGAAGCTGCCCCCACCCTGCAATAGTGACTACAAGAATTATAGTAGGGCCCTATTATATTCCTATTATACCACTATTACAGGGTGGGGGCCCCTTCTAATAAGTAAGGTAAGTAAGGTTATAGGTAGGATTAACCACAATTCCATAACCTTAGGTTACTACGTCCCCTGATGTAGCTAGGGTGCCTTAAATACTGGGAAAGGGGTCATGGGATATATCATAGTTCACTTACCCTACGGAACTCTTCTGGAACTATGTTGGTAACTAATCTGACTCCTATATTCTAATATCAAACCCTAAACCCTAAACCCTAAACCCTAAACCAAATTCATCCAGGGTGCGGCATAACGTGAGAGGTCGAAGACCAAACCGCCCAGCAAGTTCTCGGCCATGAAGCCCTGGAGTTTGCGTAGGCTTAAGGGTTTAGGGTTGGGGGTTTAGGGTTTAGGGTTTTAGGGGTCTAGGGTTTGGGTGTTTAGGGATTTAGGGTTTAGGTGTTTAGGGTTTAGGGTTTGGCGGTTTAGGGTTTCAGGGGTTTCGGGTTGAAGGCTATGGCTTCCTTTATGCGATGGTTGAAGGTGAGAGGATTTTATGTTGAGCTTACGGTTGGAGCTCGGGCGGTTCAGATTTCTTGGAGCGGAGGAAGGGGGTAGAGTAGGTGCTTGTTGAAGCTCAAGATAACAAGTTTTTAGCTCTTGGAATGACTAGGTTGAAAGGATGGGGAGGCGGCCTCTGCGAGAGGCGACGCAATCGGAAGTCGATGCGGGAAGATTCGACTTGGCTAAAGACCCCTCGACATCGAACTCAGGCGAAGTCTGTGACACCGTCTTCAGTCGGTCTGAAAATGCATTTGTCTCTTCGCAAAGCGCTGAGCCTGGAACCCCGTGCGGGCCCAGCACAAATTTCTACATCATCGTACGCTTATGCCTTCCTTTTTCTGCATGGGATTGTCGAACTGCCTTGACGATATCAGCACCACACAGAACCTACGCCTCCAAAGTGACAGCCCTCATCTCACAGAGATCGGATATGGGTAACCACAAAGCAAGGTCGGCAGGCCTTGATGTGCGGCTGGGTGCGGATGATCATGACCATGATCCTCCCACAGACGGGACTGTTCTCAGAGCTTGAACCTCTTTGCTCGAAGGCTGCTGCTGTTTGGCTGTCGTCGCGCAGTGCCCTAAATCGTATACCCTGCGCCAGCCTGCCGTCAAATGCTCGCTTGCGAGCGTACCGCGCAAAAGCCGCAACAAGTTCTTTGGTGAGGAACAACTCTTCAGCACATGTTACTGGCTCAGCATCTTGGGTATGTAAAGGCCTAATTCTGTTCCTCAACAACCGATTTCTGAAGCTATTGTCGCCTAACTCCCAAGCTGCTGCCATGAGTGGAGTGGGCCTTCAACTACTAGTGACTCTTCTCACATGAGGTTTCCGTGTTGTTGATGTCACGCTCAGCTTGTGTGCCCTTCCAAACCTTTACACTACATCCAACCCTTAAACACGCCCGAAACTCCCTTCCAAGTGTCTTGTAGGGCGCGTAGATGGTCGCAACGGGCTCAATGAGGAAGGGGATGAGGAAGGTGGCAGGGAACGCATAGGCATAGAGGTTGTTCCTCACAGGGAGACGTGGGGCTTCAGGGAAAGTCTAGCCAAATTGGTACAGGGCCAGCACGAATCAGGCTTCGGAATGAACGGAAATCAATGGTATAAAATGTAGTTTCGAACACATTTGTGCAACTCTTGCTGACTCTCATAACATTGATAACTGGAACTCTTCGAACTTTTCTCGCCCTGCCATAGAAGCCCAGAATGTCGGAGTCAGATAGTCACAACATCATTGAAACGCTGGGACTCGCCCCGACGTGCTGCGTCCCCGAAACTCCCAGTGACTCCAATATCCCTTAATTAAGGAATAGACCTTAAAATGTAGTAGGATCCCTAATAGGATTTTACGGAATATTCCTTAATTAGGGGATATTGGAGTCTCTGGGTTCATTCCAAGGGTCGCCAGGGTGCGCTGCATGGCATAGGATTCGAATCTGTCGGAGAAGGACCTCTCTTCTGTGTTTAGGGTTTAGGGTTCAAGCTCTTCTAACCAGTGGTTTTGGTTGGGGTTCCTTTGGCTCTTTAGCTCCTTATTTAATAGGGATTATCATCATCCCTGGCTCCTTAGCTCCTCCAATACCAATGGATAATCTTTCCAGAAGGCAAGATGGCAAGGAACAACGACGTTGTCAAGGATTTTCATGATGGGAGGCCAAAGGGGGGTTTAAGATTCTTGGGGTAGGAATTCCTTAATATGAACCCTAATATGGGAACCCTAATCCCTACTAAACCCCCATAGGCTAAAACCCCTTTTGGCCTCCTATGACTTCAGGAAAGGATTGTATCTGAGTCGCTCCAGCCGAAGTCACTGGGGGCGGCATACTGCCGTTGTTGCTTTCTCAACAGCTAAGCTCAAGTGTAAGAACTCAGTGTGTGCCATTGTCGACACTGCCAGACGGAGTAGCAGCAGTAGTAGTTCTAGTTGTAGTAGTAGTAGTAATAATAGTAGTAGTAGTAGTAGTAGTCGTAGTGGTAGTGCTAGTAGTAGTAGTAGTAGTAGTAGTAGTAGTAGTAGTAGTAGTAGTAGTAGTAGTAGTAGTAGTAGTAGTAGCGGTAGCAGTAGCAGTAGCAGTAGCAGTAGCAGTAGCGGTAGCAGTAGTAGCAGTAGTATAGCAAAAGTGAGAGTCAGAGAAAAAGCAAGAGCGCGAGTAAGAGTCAGAGTGAGTCAGAGTAAGAGTGGAAGGAGCAGAAGGAGTTGCAGTAGTAGCAGCAGTAGCAGCAGCAGAAGCAGTAGTAGCAGCCGCAGCCAGGAGCACGAGCAGGAGCGAGAGCGGGAGCAGGAGCAGGCGCAGTAGCAGTAGCGGTACTATTAGTATAGTAGTGGTACTAGGTAGATGCATCAGACTGTCGACAACCTTATCTATCGAATCCTCATCCTAACAAGCGGACATCAGTCTTCAACACGAGTCAACATCACAGCATCAACAAGCCAACATAGCGATCAAAGGCTTAAAGATGTCGCCAACAATAAGCAGCAATAGTGGTCAACAGCCGCAGCCCTCAACAAGCAAAACTAGCGCGCATTTGCGAAGATGTCACCAACGGTAAGCAACGATAGTGCTCAACGGCTCACGTCCCTCCATAAGCAAGAATAGCGCTCAATAAGGACTTCTTGAGCCTTATTGTTGCCCGAACCTGGGCTTCAATCTGGGGTACCACTTATGGGGTCCCCCCTCAAACCATCTATGATCAGTAGCAGCATGGGAAAGTCAGAAACATGCACAGCCGTACCAGTTTAGGGTTGCAGAATCACCTTGTCTAACTTGAACTGATGAGGAGCCTAGATGGCCTAGATGGAGCAAAGCTTTCGATTGTTGAGAAGATGCTTCAACTTGTGAAGAATAAGCCGGAACCATGATGAGCAGAGCCCTCAGCCCTCTTAAACCGACTTGCAAGAAAAGCTAAGGGACTGCAAGTTGGACAGGAGGGTGCCGTCGTACGTCTTCATGCGGAGACCAACGTTAACCTGACATTTGGAAGATGCGCTTTCGCAAAGTTTTATTTGGTGCAGGTTTAAGCTTTTCTTCTTCATGGTTGCTGCTACATACTACGTACTGATGAACACGGACTGGACATGTTTTGGCAGACGAATGACAGCATCGCTCTTTGTGCCGAGTGGGTCAGTCTGAAGAGTAGGACTTGAGAGCTTGACTGGGCCTACTGACAAAAACCCTAAATCCTCAACTCCGGCCATCACCGTGGCTTTGTCCAGCTCACCATTACAACTATCATCCACTTGTTTCATACATGGTGTATATTGGGTGTCTGCTTCGGAGTGGTCGTTTTCAACCATCTCCACTCTCAAGCCCATGCGAATCCAAAACAGACTATTCGAGCGTGGTCGGGAAAGACAATTCATCCCCGAGGCGACCTCATTGGACGAAGCCTGTACCAGCAGAGGTTCAATCTTTTTACATCCTTTTCCGATGCTTCGCTGCTTGCGGGCATGGACGTTCACCAATGCGATTCGATCAGACTCCCATAATAAATTCGACCGGAAATTCAAGGCCAGCGTGCAGCATGAACTGATCCCTAAACCCTGAACAATGAACTCCTAAACCTTCAAGCATGGAGATCAAAGTACCCTTAGCCCATATTCTCCAGATCAAAGTCCCAAAAGCCTAAACCCTCGAGAACTACATATCCTTACGATGGCTACCGACTAGAAAAGACTAAAATCCTAATGCACATCTCAAGATCGAAGTGGCCCGGTATGCCACCATGTAGGTGGTGATCAGATCGAGAGCTACGTTGAAGACGCAGGCGAAGCAGTAGAGAAGCATGTAGCAAACCTTCCCAGGAAGTTCCACAGTTAAGGGTTAACAACAAATGTTTCAGGAACCAGGAAGGTCTAAGGTTCAGGGTGTAGGGTTTCAGGGTTTAGGGTCGATGAGCATGTTGTTAAGTTTGACTCTTAACGAATCTTGCTGCAAACAGGTCTTCGATGCTGCCAGGGTACATGCATGAGCCTCGGTGGCTTGAGTATCGTATGTATGTGTGCGTGTATGTATGTACGGATGTATGTAAGCAGGAACGATGTATTCTCATTTTCCGCCCACTTCGATATTCGCCATCCAAGCTCATGCCAACTTTTTCACCGTCCGGCGAGACAGCCTCGCGGTCGTCGATGTAGATGAAGCGTGTGCGGTCGGCCACCTCGCTGCACACCAGATACCTGACATCGGTTGCGGTGCGCAGGAACTGCGATTGAGCTCAGTAACCGCGAAATCTGCATTCTGCTCGCAAAGATGTGAGGGGAAGAAGTGACTGCAGAAGGATCACACGGGGCAGTCAGTAGGAGGGGGCGCCTGATAGCTAGAGGCAAAGTGCTGGAGCATGCTTAAAATCAACTTTAGTTGGAAGCATTCAATCGAAAACGTTTTGCGAGTAGTTGTGCCAGCATGATTATCAGAGATTCCTTTGGCACCACGCAGAGAAGCGAGGCAGATGGATGGTAAGACCGATGCCTTTCCATGGCCAGGACAAACCACAAGCACACAACACTACCAGAGACTCCAATATCTCCTAATTAAGGAATATTCCTTAAATTATGGTGGGATCCCTAGAATGATTTAAGGTATATTCCTTAATTAAGGGGTGTTGGAGTCTCTGGGTACCTGCCCGAGCATGGCGCCCAAACAACTGCAGGAGGATCATTGGTTTCTACTTTTTTTTGCGCAGAAAGCAACGCACGCAAGTTTGATGTCGAATCCGTCAGTCCGGTCTTGAGGTGTGGTTGTTAAGTTTTAGGGTTTAGGGTTTCAGGGTTTAGGGTCTAGGGTTTTTAGTTTTTAGACTTGGGGATCTTATTGACTTTAACGTTGGGGGTTCAGGTTTGCCTTAATAATTAGAACAGCGCTTTGGGGCCCATTATACTATAAGTATAGTAAGGAACCCCCACCATAGTATTGGTAATTATTGAAGTCCCTGTAGTAGGGTGTTTGGGCGGGGGACATCAGCGCATTGCCCGCAACGACGACCATAGAGAAGGTCATGCCAGCCACGAATCCGGGCTCCTCGGGAGCTTGTGATGCATGATGGGAGGCCAAAAGGGGGCTTTAAGATTCTTGGGGTAGGGATTCCTTAATATGGACCCTATTATGGGAACCCTACTCCCTACTAAACCCCCATAGGCTAAAACCCCTTTTGGCCTCCTATGAATGCAGTTTGGAGTGCATAGTGCCCGTGGAAGTAGAAGTGGTGGCAGTGGCCTTGTTCGTGGTATGACCGTCTTAGCGCTGGTGGTGGCCGTGTCAGAGCAGCAGCAACAACACTGGAAATCTTAGCATTTACCCTAAACCCTAAACTGTAGCGTAGCCTTGGAAGATCATCGACGGCCTTATCTCGTGGCTCATGAGAATGCGGTCTCCTGGGTGGTGGTGGCTGTGGTGGCCGGAGCAGTGGGGTACTGGTAGTTGTGCTCGTGATGGCTGCGGCGATGGTGTGTGTTTGTGTGTGGCGGTGGTAGGGTGGTGGTGGTGGTGGTGGTGGTGGTGGTGGTGAAGATAGTGGTAGTGGGGGTTAGAACCCTAACAAGAAGCAGCAGTTGCAGTTGAGCCAGTTTCACTGCAAGCAAAGCAGCATAATCAAGATTTTTACACCTACCATGATGTGAACCACAGTAGCTGCATGAGAGCATAGCGTCGCTGCGACCAGTCCTGCCACGACGTCGATGTATTAACGAGAATAATCATTCATTTCTTGTATGAGATATCATGCCCTGAACTTATTTATACACGCCTCCTGCATTCCTCCAGGAGCAGGAGTCTGGACTTACTTTACTCATCACTGGTCAGCAACTAGGTCCTGGCCGTAGGAGTAGTTGAAAGTCAAGGTGAACCTCGCAGTGCTGTCAGTTGGATGAAATCTAGCCATTTCGTTCACAAAGGTCCAAGTCTCGAATTCGTTCTGTTAGTTTCTCACATAAACTGCCAAAACACGAAAGTTCTGCAATCTTCCAAGCCCAAGAGCCAGGCGTAGGGCAGGTAGAAGGCCACCACCCAAAGGGCCAAGCCAGCAAACATGATGCACATGCCTCAGTTAGCACTTGGAGCTCCTAACACATAGTTTAGCGTTTGGGGAAGAATTCAGCCGTCCATTTGCCGGGGGTTCTGGCGTCGCGTTTCTTGGAAGATGGTGCATGTACACAGCAGGCTGGTGATTCCGGGGAACCCGAAGGCTCTAGGAACGTAAGCTTTGCACACCAGGTGCCCGAAAAAAGCTGTCCTGAACATGGTTACTTTTGCCTACTAGCTAGAAGACTTTGGCTGTCGAAACCCACGGCATTGCTTTGGATCCTGCCGAATGGCCCATGGCAATGCGTTTTGCCTTGACGACGAGATCGGTGTTGGCGCAGTTCCTAGAGCGGGTCTACCCAGAGACTCCAATAACCCCTTGATTGAAGCATATTCTTTAAATCATAAGGAATATTCCTTAATTAAAGGATATTGGAGCCTCTGGGTACTGAGCAAGAATCGAGGTAAGGTAATGTATTGTGTACAGACCGGGAACTCCCCAATTCCTGATGGCGGACTTTCAGCTAGACCGTCGTGAATTCATAGACTTTGGTGGGAGACTGCAGCTGCCTTTGTCTTAAACACACCCCAAGAGACTCAAACACTCCGTCGCGACATGGATATGGATAAAACAAAGATGAGGCTGATAATCTTTGCAACGAGGGCGATGAGCATGTTTGTCGTCATGATAGCGTAGTGCGGAGGAGAACAAACATTATGATGCTGAGGCAGATGCACAATAGAATGAACAATGATTCAAAGAAGACTGACCGTGACGACCGCAATACGTCCATATTAACTGTTCATGATTGCAGACGAAGAAGAAGACACAATTTTGATGATGATGATGATGGTAAACATAAAACGAATTTGGCACTAGTTATGAAGGTGGTGATGACGGCTGATTCTGCCGTTTCACGGTTAAGCCTGAGCAGGTTCAGTTGACTTGGCTTTTTTGAGCTCTAAGCTGGGCGAAGCACGCATTGATGTGACAAGCCTGTGTGCTCTAAGCCAAACCCTGAACACTACATTCTAAACTCGAAGGGTAAAAGGAGGGACCCTTAATAAGGACCCCTAGGCCTTAATACAGCCATTATGTACCCATTATATAGCCCATTATAGGGTAGGGGTCCCCATTGAGGGTCCCTCCTTTTCCGCTTGGATAAGCCTAGGCCCTCAACCCTAAAACCTAAACCCATGCAAACCATTAGTGGGCGAAGATCGACCTCTGCCCTTCGAGTGACTGAAGATAAGATCCGAAGAGGACACCATCCATAATTGGAAGAGGGTTCGGTGTAAAGGGTTCCTGTAAAGGGTTTCTATAAGGAGTACCGGGGGCTGCATGGGGGGGCCTTAATGTTTGGAGGTATATTTTGGTAAGATTATATGAAAGTGCCCTAAGGAAATATCGTTGCTACGTGTTGATGCCCCGGTATTCGACGGGCTCGGGGTGCCACCGACTATATCCACATTCCTACTTGGAGGGGCAGGGGACCTAGTAAGTAGGTTCTAAGTAGGGTTAGAAGTGGGGTAACTCCATTTACGGTACTTATAACTCTACTTTTAACCTACTTTCTAAGTCCCCTACCCTAAATAGTAGGATTCTTGTTATAAGGACCCCTATGTAAGGTACCCCTAACTTTCGGAAACGCCCATATCCACATTCCTAAACAATCCCAGCACGAAGTTCAAAACTTGGAAGCAAGGTTCTTCCACTGGACGGTCTGCGGCTCCACGCGGGAGGCATTCAGGAGTAGCCTTGGCTGGTGTTGCGCTAGCCACAATAGCTTGGATCTTGCAATCCGATGAGGCTTGGGCATGTCCTGGATGCATTGCGGCTCTGTACTGTTGATGATATGAATCCTGCATTACCTTGAGGACCCTAAACTACGGGAATTATGGTGTATTCCTTATTATGGGTAATGCAGGATTTACATCATCAACCGTATATCTCTGACTTGCTGTTCTCCGCAGCGTTGCTTTTGTAGAATCGGTTCCGGTCTACTTAAACCCTGAAACCTGAATCACTAAAACCCCAAAAAGCCTTCTGCAAGAAGTCGTAGTCTTTGCCTGCGAGACCTTGATTTAAAGCCGCTATTTGCCACCGAACCTTTTCCAGTATTGGGTGCTGGGTACATACCCGCACCATACCTACTGTTGATGGACAAAATCCTGCATGACCTTCGGACCCGAAACTATGGGAACTATGGCATATTCCTTATAACGGGTAACGCAAGATTTTGTCCATCAGCAGTATGGAGGATGAAAGAGTGCAGGGGGCAACCAACAACAGTCCACGTTCAGCCGCGAGATTTCTTGCTCAGGGCTAACTCTTCGCAACATGCTGAGAATACCTCCCCGGCGGACTGATCAGCTACGAAACTGCTGCAAGTCTTTACCATCGTCCTCTTAATAATCTGTAGCTATACATCCAAATACGGTTTCAGTTTTAAAAACAGAGCGAGAGAGAGATAGAGAGAGAGAGGGAGAGAGAAAGAGACAAAGAGAGAGTGAGAGAGAGAGAGAGAGAGAGAGAGAGAGAGAGAGAGAGAGAGAGAGAGAGAGAGAGAGAGAGAGAGAGAGAGAGAGAGAGAGAGAGAGAGAGCAAGGTAGGGAGAGAGAGAGAGAGAGAGGCAGGCTGACACGGACAAATAGATAGATAGAGAAACATGCAGGTAGACGACTCAGTCAATTACAAAAGCCGGCCTCCAGGAAGCCCTACAGCCGTCAAGCCTAGCGGCGTGTTACCATGGAACTCCACGCCGCCGGAGGCCTCGGCAGTTTCTACTGCCGCATCGCGGCTGGCCTGTCCGAGGCAGCAAGTCTGTGTGCAGATTTGTAAGTGGCTTCGGTTGCTACGATGGTTACCAATCCCTTCGGTGACTGGAAGAAAGGCCAGAAACCCGCTTCTTACACAATGCCTTTTACTTTGGATTTTACGTGTCAAGAGCTCAGAGCTACTACAACCACAACAACAACTGCTGTAACTGCTGCTGCTGCTACTACTACTACTACTACTACTGCTACTTCCACTATTGACAATAATAGTAGAAATGATTCAGACCCTTATACGAGCTTCGGAAACAGGAAATTTGGAGATCTCAGCAAACGTCTCCAGCTACGAAGCCACAGAACACAACGGCTTAGGGTTCAGAGTTGTAGGGTTTGGGGTTTAGGGAAACCCCAAGCCCTTAATCTCTGATCTCCAAAACCCCAAATCATGCATCGAACACGGTTTAGGGTTTAGGGTCTGGCGTTTAACTATACTGAACTCAGAACCCTAGCAAAAATTATAGTTTTAGTTGTTTCTTAGGGATTATAATAACCAAAAATCAAAAATCATTTCTAAGTACCCCTAAGTTTAGGGTCTGGCGTTTAGGGTCCCGCCTCCGTTTCGAAGATGGCATAAGCATCGGGGCAAGTCTTGATCTTCTTCCTCGGGCGGGGCTCCCGATCCGAATTACATCCCGGTTTGCCTTTACCTGAAGGCTCATCTAAACCTCAAGCCACCCCAAACTCTAAACCCCAAACCTTGCAACCTTTCCCCTTAAGTGAACCCTTGCTTAAAGGCTCATGTTTTTTAGTAAGTCAGGTTTTAAGTAGGTTATAATTAGGACAACCCCACTTAGGGGACTTATAACCCCATTTATAGCCTACTTACTAAGTCCCATGATCCTCTAAGTAGGGTTTAGGGTTCTACGTAGTAATAGCCAGGAATAGCTACAAACATTTCATAATAACAGTTAACAACAGCTAAACATAACTCATAATAATTATTGATAATTAATAAAACTTGATAATCATCATCGTAACTAATAGTCATTTAAGGCTCAGGATTTAGGGGTCAATTTTATTTCCTTCACGTCGTGGTGACGTTTTATGTCTCTTCGCAGGCTTTAAGGTCCTGAGGATCCAGTGCTTTGGGAGTCGACCCTAAACGGCCTAAACCCTCAACCCTAAACTCTAAACCCTAAACTCCAATCCCTAAACTCTAAACCCTTAACCGGCTTGAAAGTTCAAGACTTTTTCGGAGTTTGGGCTGTGAATGGTCCACACAGTCAGGATCCAGCTTGAGGTTGAGGGTTCGGATAATAGTTGAGTGCTCTAGCCCAAAAAAAGTCAACCTTTCGAATTAGGGTAGGGTTCTGTAAGCCCCAAAAGGTTACAGGTTACCTACTCAGCTACTAAGACCCAGGGCTTATCGTTTAGAATTTCCGAAAGTTAAGCCCTGCACGTGCATGCTCTCACCCGCAGTGCAAAGCTGAGGCTTGGAACTTGCTTCGTTGCTTTTTGGCTATCCCTCCTTCAAGGTTTAGCAGGTTTACTTAGAGGATCATGGGACTTAGGAAGTAGGTTATATCCGGGGTTATAAGTCCCCTAAGTCGGGTTATCCTAAATTATAGCCTTACTTACTAAGTCCCATGAACCTCTAAGTAGGGTCTACCCCCCCCTACGAGTCAGACAGGGAGCAAGATCTCGACAACGTCTACCTCCTTGCACTCCTGAGGCGGTTCCAAGCGTCTTGGGCCAAGTTCCCTCAAAACAAAACAATGAGAAATCAGGATCCGATTTAGGGTTTAGGGTTAGGGTTTAGGGTATAGGGACTCAATGACTGTTCACGCTACACCCGAGCAATACCTGCGCAGAATTTCGGCAATGTTGCTGGCAAACGCAATTACGCCATTGTGGAACTTGCGACCTGCCTTTGCACTCGGGTAACGATGGAAATGGAAAGCTGGAGAAGTTCAGGATCGGGTCGAAGAGAAAACCGCAGTAGGGCGTTTTTCGAGGCACCCGCAAAATACAGCAGACACTTTCGAAAAAAAATAAACTCAACAGGAACACCCTCCACCCCAAAAGCATAGATCCCTGAACCCTATAAGGCCCCTCAGGGTCGATCTGGAATCTCCAAACATGCCTTACTTGTCCTGTATACTAGGAACACCGCGAATCTCCAAAGCCTGAGTAGATGCATGAGCAAGGAAGACCAGGATGCTCAAACATCCTAAACCTTAACTTCCAACCCTAATGCCCTAACTCTGAGCCCTAAACCTTAAGCCCTGAACCCCTATAAACTTTCAACCCCAAAGCCCGAACCTTACATTCTAAAGCCCTTACCTTAAGCCCTAAAGTTTAAAGCCCAACGAAAACTCTAAAAGCAGCTTGCACCCGTCGGCCTCAATGATCTCCTCGTCTGGGTTTGCTTGAGCCTGCAGATAACTTAGAAGGGGCCCCCACCCTGTAATAGTGGTAAAATAGGAATATAGTAGGGCCCTAATATAATCCTTATAGTCACGTTTACAGGGTGGGGGCAGCTTCTAAATTAGTAGTCAGAAAAAGAGTCATAGTAGAAGTAATAACGATAAAAATAATGAAACTGGTAATCATAAAAAAAACAGCAAGTAATAAAACAACAACAACAATACTAATAATAATAATAATAACAATAAAAATAGTAGTAGCAATAATAATATTTATGATAATACTACTGGCAATCATGATATTAGTAATGGCTGCTCAGGAAGCTCCGAGGAACCTGGGCTAGCCAAGCGAGCGTTTAAGGTTTACGGTACAGGGTGGAACAGTGCAGCAGACATACAAGCGGAGGGAGAGAGAGACCGAGAGAGCATGGAGACAGGGGTAAAGTGAGACAGAGACAACCCTAAACCTTAAAATATACAGACTGAGAGGAAGACTAGTGAAGCTTGTCTGGTAGCATCGGGTCATCCGCTGTCCATGAAAGCTACTTTTGGGGCCTAAATAACTACCAACATGTGATGTTTGAACGTTTATTTATGCCTGAGGTTCCTTCTTGTATGTATGCTATTATGGAACCCACAATCCCATTCAAATAATCAAGACCCCTATGTTACGCGCTTAACAGACAGAGAACCTCTAAAGAGCACGTCAGCGAGCACCTGGACACCCGGCAGGACTTTGCATCTTACTACCCTAAACCCTAAACCCCATTAACTGACCCTAGGCTCCAAACTCCAAGCCCACCTCAACCCCAAAGTAAGGTGCCCTAAAAAGGCAAGTTATTTCGGGTCCAGGCAACCTCCAAATAAGAATTAGTCTAAATCCCGAAGCGCACACACTGATCCCCCCTCAAACCTTTTACAACTCTTCTAAGCCCACAAAGATGGAATCCTGCGAAGGACTGCAACACCCGAAGAAAGAACCTGCACCATAGGCTTGGCAAAGCATTCCCTAAACCTTAAGTCCTAGCTCCTAGTGTAAACCTCAACCCCTAGACCCGAAACTCTAAACACTCCCCGAACCTTAAAACCCTGAACCCTAGGCCATAAACCCTGCGCCCTAAAACCCTAAACTCTAAACCCTGAAACCCCAATCCCCTTTAAAAGAACCCTTAGACCTAATCCCTAAAACCACTCAAGCCCCAAACTCAACCCTGAAGGGAACCCTTAAAGTGACCCCTCATAGTCACCCTTAAAAGTCACCCTTAAAGGTACTCTAAAGGTACCCTAAGCCCTAAACCCTAAAACCCTAACCCCTGAAACCCCTAAAACCTCCAGAAATGTCGGCCTCCGCGGCCTCCTCGCGAGCGCGCTCCTTCCTTGGCCATGCAAGGCGAGGCCACGAGGGTTTAGGGTGTTAAGGTTTTGGAGTTCATTTTTTTTTTCCCGGGCTCTCCTGGAGTTTAGGGTTTAGGGTGTAAGTAGGGTTTTGAAGCTTAGGGTTTAGGGTTTTGGGGTTTAGGGCTGAAGAGCCGCTGGGTTTTCAGGATTTGATGTTTAGGGTGTTTAGGGCTGCTAAAATTTTGGGCTTTCGGGAATTAGGGTTTAGGGTTTTCGGCCTTTCTCAGGTTTAGGGATGTAGGGATTGGATTTAGGGTTTCGGGGTTTTAAGATCAGGGTTTGCAAGGGTTTCAGGCTTAGGATTTTCATTTTTAAGGGATTTGCTGAGGGAGTGTAGGAGTCTGAGGGCATGATGAAAGAAATCTTGCGTTCTGGATGAAAGCGTTTTGTCATGCATGGACGGGTATTCGGGTGTTGTACAGGCAGCCTGAACCCTAAACCCTAACCTGAATTCCGTACTCCCTAAGTGTTCTTTTTGCGCCCTAAACCCAGGCATGCACAGCGGTGCTCGGGGCTCTCTCCCATCTGACTTCCCCAGAGTGAAATCCTTCTCAGCATTTTCGATACCCGAAACTCTAAACCCTACACCCCAACCCTAAAACCTGCAGCCTACATCCTAAGCCATGAACGTCCTAAAAGCCCTCCAATACCGGGCCGGGTGGCTCTTCCTCAGTCATCTCCCCCTTGGCCACAACCTCGCGGAGGCTATGCCCCTAAACCTCCAAGCTTAGCGGTTTTGGGCGTTTGGGTGTGGGTTCAGTGTCAAACCCAAGAACCATAAATCGCACCAAAAAACCCACAAACTGAGCAGTTTTTGGACTTCTGATGCATCTCTGTAGCATCATCAATACCCCGCCCTTCTATCGTTTTCACCCCTGGCACTACACCCTCAACCCTAACCGCTAAACCCCTAGCCCCTAAACCCTGAACCCCTAAACCCCTCAACCCTAAACCGATGGAGTCGCAGCCTTCTCTGCGTCAGCGGCGAGAGCGGAGCGCTCCAAACGGGCAAAGAAGCTGTGCGGCTCCTTCTCATCTAGACGTGTGTTTAGGGTTGAGTTGGGCATCTGTCGCCAACAAAATCGAGAACATGGGCCCGGCCAGGGGTCATGATCTTTCGAACTCGATGCCTAGTTTCGTTTGAGGATCCTGGGCCTGAACCCTAAACCCTAAACCGCGCTTCGTTTGGATCCTAAGCTAAGCCCTAAACCTCCATTTAAAGCCTTAACTGGAAAAGCTGCCATTGTATGTACCAAGAATTCAAATCAAGGAGCGCTAAACAGGTAGGATATGTGGGGTCCAGTTAAAGCCTCCCTAAACCCTAAACCCTAAAGCCTCAACTAAAAAAACTGCCATTCTAAACCCTAAAGCCTCAACTAGAAAAACCGCCATTCTAAACCCTAAAGCCTCAACTAGAAAAACTGCCATTCTAAACCCTAAAGCCTCAACTAGAAAAACTGCCATTCTAAACCCTAAAGCCTCAACTAGAAAAACCGCCATTCTAAACCCTAAAGCCTCAAGCAGAAAAACCGCCATTCTAAACCCTAAAGCCTCAACTAGAAAAAACTGCCATTCTAAACCCTAAAGCCTCAACTAGAAAAACTGCCATTCTAAACCCTAAAGCCTCAACTAGAAAAAACTGCCATTCTAAACCCTAAAGCCTCAACTAGAAAAAACTGCCATTCTAAACCCTAAAGCCTCAAGCAGAAAAACCGCCATTCTAAACCCTAAAGCCTCAACTAGAAAAACTGCCATTCTAAACCCTAAAGCCTCAACTAGAAAAAACTGCCATTCTAAACCCTAAAGCCTCAAGCAGAAAAAAACTGCCATTCTAAACCCTAAAGCCTCAAGCAGAAAAAAACTGCCATTCTAAACCCTAAAGCCTCAAGCAGAAAAAAACTGCCATTCTAAACCCTAAAGCCTCAAGCAGAAAAAAACTGCCATTCTAAACCCTAAAGCCTCAAGCAGAAAAAAACTGCCATTCTAAACCCTAAAGCCTCAAGCAGAAAAAAACTGCCATTCTAAACCCTAAAGCCTCAAGCAGAAAAAAACTGCCATTCTAAACCCTAAAGCCTCAAGCAGAAAAAAACTGCCATTCTAAACCCTAAAGCCTCAAGCAGAAAAAAACTGCCATTCTAAACCCTAAAGCCTCAAGCAGAAAAAAACTGCCATTCTAAACCCTAAAGCCTCAAGCAGAAAAAAACTGCCATTCTAAACCCTAAAGCCTCAAGCAGAAAAAAACTGCCATTCTAAACCCTAAAGCCTCAAGCAGAAAAAAACTGCCATTCTAAACCCTAAAGCCTCAAGCAGAAAAAAACTGCCATTCTAAACCCTAAAGCCTCAAGCAGAAAAAAACTGCCATTCTAAACCCTAAAGCCTCAAGCAGAAAAAAACTGCCATTCTAAACCCTAAAGCCTCAAGCAGAAAAAAACTGCCATTCTAAACCCTAAAGCCTCAAGCAGAAAAAAACTGCCATTCTAAACCCTAAAGCCTCAAGCAGAAAAAAACTGCCATTCTAAACCCTAAAGCCTCAAGCAGAAAAAAACTGCCATTCTAAACCCTAAAGCCTCAAGCAGAAAAAAACTGCCATTCTAAACCCTAAAGCCTCAAGCAGAAAAAAACTGCCATTCTATGAGCCCTTTTTGGGGTCCTCGGGCTCCGTCTCGCGCTTGGGCAGTGGGTGGAGCTCGAGCTCCCTTTCCACCAGCCTAGGCCAAGGTTTAGGGCCAGTTTGGGGGTTTGGGGCTTACTGGGCTTTTAAGTAACCGGGGAGAAAAAAGGTATAAACTTTTATTTCATAAGGGTTCCTTGAAGAAAAGAAGTATTAAAGTATGGGTACTCCAAAGCCCAGTTTAGGGGTTTTAGGGTTTAGAGGCTAGCTTTCGGTGCTTGAGGCCTTCTTCTGGTTGCTACCATTTTTGTTGATCTTTCCGGCGTCTTTTCCGGAAAAAGCGTGGTGGGTTGCCTTACTATGATGCATGACCAGCTTCGTAGGCGTTTAAGATCGGTTTGGATCTTACAACAGCGACCTTTGACAAGCCGCGAATTCTCAGTTTGACTCGCATCCGGTTGGAACGGTGCAAAGCCAACATAGGGGGCTTAGAAGAGGGTTTCGGGCTACATTAACCCACAGCTGTATAAGGACTATACTGGAATACTTTTACTGATTATTGCAACCTCTACATCCAGATGCCAGCGACCTGGGTTCCCCACATGATTTTTCACCCCAAAACCGTGCTCCAGCTAGTCAAGCCTCTACTTAAAGGATCATGGGACTTAGTAAGTAGGGTTACCCTAATTATAACCTTACTTACTAAGTCCCATGAGCCTTTCAGTATACAAACCCCTCCCAAAAATTGTCTCCCCATGAAGGAACCCTTTCGAGGAACCCTATTGCCCTATTGTAATCAGGCTCCCACGCCCCAATGCATCCGACAGTCTCTGGAGATCTAACAGCCAAACCCTGAACCCAAAACCCCAAACCCTGAACCCTAAACCCCGAACCCTAAACCCTCAAGCTTAAAGGGTTTAGGGTCTAGGGCTCCTAAACCCTAAACCGTCTAAAACCCAAGCCTCAAACCCTGAATCCTTAAACCCAACTTCGGCAAGCTACTGGCTTTGGAGCAAGTCCAAGAGCTCCTCCTCATGCTCCTGGGCTATGGTTGTGGCTCATGAGTAACATAGGAGCCCTAAATAATTAGCATTGGGTTTTTAGGGTATGTTATACCATAGGTATAATAAGGAGCCCCTTATATGAACTAGAACATTCTATTTATCATTTTTGTTGTTATCTTGGGATTTTCTTATTCTGCTAAATGTAAGTATTTGTGTGGATAGGGGGGTAAACAACTGTGAATATACTAGGGAACCCAAATGGATAGTTGTGTTCGTTCTGCTCATTATTGAGAGCTATATGCTAATTTCTCGGCTCATCTGGGTGCAGCCCTAAGCCCTACACCGACCCTAAACCCTACTTAAAGGCTCCTGGGACTTAGTAAGTAAGGTTATAAGTAGGTTATAATTAGGGTAACCCCACCTAGGGGACTTATAACCCCAATTCTAACCTACTTACTAAGTCCCATGATCCTCTAAGTAACCTAAATAAAGTCCCCCTTAGAACCCTTATAGATCCCTTAAAGGAACCCTTAAAGAAATCCCTAAGCCCCTTATAGAAGTAAACCGCAGGATCGGAGCTCCGGTGTGGGAGGGCCTCTGCTTTGCTTGGAGGGTCGGGGGACTTAGTAAGTGGGTAATAAGTAGACTTATAAGTACCCCAAAAGGGATCCTAATTGGGGTTATGATACTTATACGCCTATAAAATGACTACTTACTAAGTCCCCCGACCCTGCAAGTGGGGGTTCCTTGCTGCCCGGAAGCTTGGGATCAGGGTTGAGGGTTGAAACCCTGGACTCGAAATGGGAGTTTCCGAAAATAGGGGTACCTTTTTTGGGGGGATCCTTATAATAAGGATCCTACCATTTAGGAGTCAAACTTTTGCAGGGGGGCCTGATTGCAGGGCTACCTAAGATAGGGGCCTTAATAATTAGAGTAGGGTGTTGGGGCCCATCATACTATAATTATAATAAGGAACCCCAAAACTAGAATAGGTAAGTATTAGGGCTCCTTTTTTAATCACGATTAGACGCAAGAGCAGGGGCAAGAAGCAGAGGCAAGACCGTGGCACCTTGATTGTATCAGCTGCTTCCCCGATAGGCCTGGCCTGCACCTTACGATCAATACCCAAGATGTCTGTGGTCTTGGTTGCAAGAGTCATATACCAGCAAGGACTGTGCAACAAACGAGCGTAAGTTTCTGACAGGCCAAAGCCCCCAACAAGTCCATAGCTTGTCCGAAAGCAACAAAACATGCGGTAGAATTCGGAACTTCATTCCCCAACTTCTTCCCGAAACCACACTTGCTGCTGGCGACACCTGGAAATCCCAGCACACGGATACGCCGACCACCTTCCGTGATTGTTCGCGGGGACCAGGGTTCACTATCCATGTGCGGGTTCACCGTCACAATATCGCATGGACGTGTGAATGAGCACAACACCACCAACACCATCATTGCCGCCGCTACGACGGTCACGAATGCCACCACCAGGACCACGACCACGGCCACCACCACATCACCTACTGTGAAGCTGTCAACCTTTCGAAATGTCGAACAAGTTTGGGACGCTCTGAAGCACGCTGTGCATGTGAACAGCTTGACTGTGAATGCAAGCTCCCTAGCTAGGGATGTTTTCGTACACGTTACCCCACGGTACCTTGACGAAATCTGCTGCCAAGGAGAACAGACTTGGTTTGGCCAGATGAGGGCATAGCACTGACAGATGTAAAGTCAGGGACGGCAAGCGGAAACGGATCTGAAACTCTCCTGGCTGTCGCAGCTAGGCGTGCATCGTGGGGCATCATGTCCCCGACATGACACAAGAAGTTAATTACATGGCAGCGACGCCCGTTTCAGGTATCTGTTGGTAAGCTTAGGGAACATGCTTGCGACGTCCACATATTGACACAAAGCTCTGTGCACTTCAACTGCCCTCAAGCTCGTTCCTAAATGGGTAGTTCTCTAGATTCAGGCCCCTTTGTGCTCCCCCAAATAGTACGGCACCCTTATAATAGGACCGCAAACAGGACAATCATGTAGAGAACTGCCCAAATTCTAAACCCAGAGATACTCGCCTTCTGGCCCGTGACGTCCTCGACGCGCTTCTTGAGCTCCTGACTTTGGGCTGATATTAGGAGATCCCAGAAAAGCTAGGATGCCCAGTAACCTAGGAATAAAAAGGGCTTGCTTTTTGGTATTGGGTAACTGCATAAGGAACCTAGGACCACAAAAAGGGAATAAGGCATCCTAGAGAAAAGGGATCCCTAAACCCGTAAGATTCAAACCCTTAAAGGAACCCAGAAAGTATCCCGCAAAGGACAGCTTCAACGTTCCCAGGGAGCCCCATACAGCCTTAGTGAAGGAACATACCTTAAATTAGAAGGTGAAGGGGCTTCATATTATGATTTACGGTCTATTCCTCTATTGGGCTCTCTGAGTTCGTAAGCAAGTTAAAGCTGAGGTTGTAGGTTTCGCATGTGGGGGCTCTTGTTCATTCATTCGCCTACTACGTCCCTGAGCCGTGTAGGGCTCTGGAGATAGAGCCCGAACGTGAAGCCCTAAACCCTAAAACATCAAAATCCCAAACCTAAAACCCTTAAAACCTATAGTAGAAGCCAGAAAGTTGGAACATGGCTTTAGGAGGATTAGTGCTAGGATCCCTTATACTTTACCTTAAGGGCATGGGGAAAATGATGTTCCAACTTTCTGGCTTCTACTATAAAGTCTAAACCCTAAGCAGATCCGTCTTCAGGTCCTCTTCGACAGGCGTGGTACCATCGAGGAGAGGCAGGTTGCGGATGCCTGAGAGGACGTTCTCTCTTTCGCCTCTTCTTCTTCTTTATCTTCTTCTTTGGTCGTGAACCCTAAACCCTAAAGCCCAAACCATGTACTGTTGAAGGACTTGTGCAGGGTTTCCTTAAACTCTTAGGGGCTCAGGGTGCCCAGAAGCGCAAGGATCTTGTCCGGCATGTCCCTAAGCTATACAGGTATCCGAAAAAAAAGGGCTCTGAATAATTAGAAGAGGATTCCTTCAAAGGGTCTATAAGGGTTACAAAAAAGGTACTCTAATGTGGGTGGTTGTTAAAATTATGGTCCCTTTTTTGGGTCCCTTATATAGTACGGCATCTTGATATTTAGGGTACCCAAAAAGGGACCATAATTTTGACAACCACCTATGTTGCTCTGAATGTAAGGAACATTGGAGCTTTAAGTTTCCAGGGCCATACTTAAAGGATCATGGGACTTAGTAAGTAGGTTATAATTGGGGTTATAAGTCCCCTAAGTTGGGGTATCCTAATTATAACCTACTTATAACCTTACTTACTAATTCCCATGAGCCTTTAAGTACAGTGGGCTCAAGCTTCAAGGCTCGGTGGCATCCAATCGTCGATGACTTGTTTTTTTGTTTTCAGAGGGGCTAGGTTTGGGTGGATGTTATACTTACTATCTTGTACTAACCTTGTATCATGGAAGGAAAACTTCAGAATAATACAGTATTCTTAATGACAAGTAAGGCATCTATATTTCGGGTTCAGTGTTTAGGCTTCAGTCCACTTCTCCCAATGCCCTCAACCCCAGGCTTGAGCCCTGGGCCGTACCCCGAACATTAAAAAACACTAAGCCCTACAGCGAAACACCAGAAACGGCTAAATAATAAACCCAAAGCGCAAAACCTGACGCCCCAAAGGAACCACCCCAAACCCCTAAAGAACAATCCCTAAACACAAAATAGAAACCCCAGCCCCGTATAGAACGCCTGTTAAGATCTTAAAGGAACCCTTACAGGAACCCGATAAACGTCCCTAACGCCCCAAACCCTAAACCCTAACCCATAAACCCCAGACCCTAAACCCCAAAGCCCCAAAAAACTCTCAAAGCTCTTTCAGTCGGCGAGTGTCGTGCAGCGTAATCCTTGTGGGTCGAGTTGGTCATGTCCACCTTCGTGGGCTCTTCTGCTGATAATAAAATTGGGGGTGCCTTAGGGTTCCTTTAAAGGGATCCTTTAAGGGTTCCTATGAGGGATCTATAGGGTTTAAGGTTTAGGGAGTTTCCGAAAATTGGGGGTACCTTATTTTGGGATCCTTATTTTTTCTGGATCCTATTATTTAGGGTACCATGTAGGGTGAGGGATCAAAAAAAAATTAAATAAGGATCAAAAAAAAAATTAAATGGAAAGATCAAAAAAAAATTAAAATAAGGATCAAAAAAAAATTAAATCACGCAAAATACAGCAATTCCTGGGGCAGGGGCATCAAAAAAAATAAAATAAGGATCAAAAAAAAATTAAATCACTTAAAATACAGCAATTCCTGAATTTTTCCAATGGAAAACACTGTTTTCCTACGGATTTTCTTGTGTTTCCTTAGGATCTGTCTGGTTTTTGCTCTGGAAAACACGATATTCCTGCGGATTCCGTGGTATTTCCCTAAGTTTTCCTTGATTTTTCGTAGGAAAAACCTATTTCCTATTACCTATGGCGTTCGTGTCATTTCTTCAGGTTTTCAGAAGGACAACATATGGTTGTTCCTCGGGAAAATCAAATTTTCCTTCCAATTTCACATTTAGGACGGATTTCCTGTTGTAGCTGTTGCTGGTATTCCGCTTCATCATCTATCTTAAACACGCCTCTCATTTGGCGATTCTGGTTCAGCATGTATCTACAAGGGCGGAGACACCCTCATTTGCTGGGGTTCAAAAAAAGGCATATGCTTCAAAGCAACCCTGCACGGCTTAAAACAGCGGGGGGGTTGGGGGGGGCGCAGCCCCCCCCATTTGCAGAGACAACGTTCACATGATGGGCTTCGAAAACACTCTTTGAATCAAGCTTGCACGTTTCGAAAAGCGCGGCGGCGGGTGTTTTGTTCTTCCGTGCCTGTTCGTGTCTCTTCTTCCGTTAGCATTCTAACCTATATATATATAACATAGTAAACCAGAAGAACGACATAAGATGGTTCGACAACACAAAAATGGTGTGACATTTTCTGACATAACAGAACCTTGCTTCTTATAGCATATAACAGCATACTAAAAATACAACAATGCAATATAACAGAAGATGACATAGAACAAAACAACATCTTAGTTTATAGTGTAGTACATTGTAACATAGTACAATACAGTGTGTATATTTACAACATAATATGTAGTATATTTTATAACATTAGGTTACATTATGACATATTATGTTACGGTACATTACGATATTATGGTAAATTCGATTGGACTATGTAGTATCCTGTTGCTTGTATCTTTGTTTCTGCGATTATTTCATATTCTTTCTCTTTCGTCTTCTCCAACTTTGCTTTTTATTCTGGACTTTCTTTTTTCGCTCGTTCATTTCTTTTCTTTCTTTCTGTTGTTCTTTCTTTGTTCATCTCATACTCCATTCCTTTCTTTCTTGCTTTCTTTCTGGTTTGATTTATTTCGTTCTTTCTTTGGTTCGGTCTTTCTTTCGTTCTTGCGTTCGTTCTTTCTTTCGTTTTCGCTTTCGTTCTTTCGTTCTCTCTCTCGTTCTATCTTTCTTTCTTTCTGTTGTCCTTTCTTTCGTCCTCTTTAGATACAGCAATTTGCCTACGTTTTCCTTGATTTTTCGTAGGAAAACCCTATTTTCCTATTACCTATGGCGTTCGTGTCATTTCTTCAGGTTTTTAGAAGGACAACATATGGTTGTTCCTCGGGAAAATCAAATTTTCCTTCCAATTTCACATTTAGGACGGATTTCCTGTAGCTGTTGCTGGTATTCCGCTTCATCATCTATCTTAAACACGCCCCTCATTTGGCGATTCTGGTTCAGCATGTATCTACAAGGGCGGAGACGCCCTCATTTGCTGGGGTTCAAAAAAAGGCATATGCTTCAAAGCAACCCTGCACGGCTTAAAACAGCGGGGGGGTTGGGGGGGGCGCAGCCCCCCCCATTTGCAGAGACAACGTTCACATGATGGGCTTCGAAAACACTCTTTGAATCAAGCTTGCACGTCTCGAAAAGCGCGGCGGCGGGTGTTTTGTTCTTCCGCGCCTGTTCGTGTCTCTTCTTCCGTTAGCATTCTAACCTAATATATATAACATAGTAAACCAGAAGAACGACATAAGATGGTTCGACAACACAAAAAATGGTGTGACATTTTCTGACATAACAGAACCTTGCTTCTTATAGCATATAACAGCATACTAAAAATACAACAATGCAATATAACAGAAGATGACATAGAACAAAACAACATCTTAGTTTATAGTGTAGTACATTGTAACATAGTACAATACAGTGTGTATATTTACAACATAATATGTAGTATATTTTATAACATTAGGTTACATTATGTTATATTATGTTACGGTACATTACGATATTATGGTAAATTCGATTGGACTATGTAGTATCCTGTTGCTTGTATCTTTGTTTCTGTGATTCTTTCATATTATTTCTCTTTCGTCTTTTCCAACTTTGCTTTTTTATTCTGGACTTTTCTTTCTTTCGCTCGTTCATTTATTTTCTTTCTTTCTGTTGTTCTTTCTTTGTTCATCTCATACTCCCTTCCTTTCTTTCTTGCTTTCTTTCTGGTTTGATTTATTTCGTTCTTTCTTTGGTTCGTTCTTTCTTTCGTTATTGCTTTCGTTCTTTCTTTCGTTTTTGCTTTCGTTCTTTCGTTCTCTCTCTCGTTCTTTCTTGCATGGCTTTCTTTATTTCTTTCTTTCTTTTGTTCTTTCTTTATTTCTTTCTTTTGTTGTTTCTTTATTTCTTTATTTCGTTCTTTCTTTCGTTCTGTCTTTCTTCCTTCCTTTCTTTCTTTAGTTCGTTCTTTCTTTCTTTCTTTCCTCTCTCTCTCTCTCTGTCTTTCTTTCCTTCCTTTTTCCCCTTCCTTTCGCGGATACCCGTTTAATTTTTTTTTGATCCTTATTTAATTTTTTTGATCCTTATTTAATTTTTTTTTGATCCTTATTTAATTTTTTTTTAACCCCTATCCCTGTTAGGGTCCCCTATTTTCGGAAACTCCCATGTAAATCCTGGGTTCCTTTAAAGCGATCTACATGGGTACCTTTAAGGGGCTGCTTTGAGGGATCGGTAGGGGGTTTAGGGTTTAAGATAGAAATCCGGCATGAACCGTAATAAGGACTGTACCATAATTACCATAGTCTAGGGTCCTTAACGTAATGCAGGATTTATATCATCAACCGTTGTTAAGGACCCTAATTCAAGCTACCATAATTCAAGGTTCCTGCAGGGGTTCTGAAGGGCCTTAATAATTAAAGGCTAACGTAATTCAAGATTCCTTGACGGGTTCTGTAAGGGGTTAGGACACGTTAAGGAATGTCGTGTAAGCTAGCATAAAAGGGCTTAACGTCTAGGTTCTAGGGTTTAGGTGTTAAGGAACTTAGTTTACATTACCACAATGGAGATCTTTAATATATAACATCGCTTCAAATTTCTGGTAAGTTACAGTATGCTCCTTAACAAGAACCCATCTTTGCAGGGTCCGAGCTCGGGCTTAGGGCTGAGCGTGTAGGGTTCAAGATTCAGGGCTCAGGGTAGCAAAGCTAAGCCCCAAACCCCAAACCCCTCAACCCTCAACGCTACACCCTAAACCCCTAAAACCGAAACCCTCAATCCTAAACCTTCAACCCCTAAACCCCTAAACTCTAAATCCCCAAACCCTTAAACCCCAAACCCTATATTTTAAGCCCTAGACTAGACCCTAAACCAGGGTCCCGAAATGCTCTGAATCTTCCAGGTCCTTTGTAAGGGGTTTCTGTGAAAGGGGTTTCGGCTTTGGGGTCTTAGGGGTTTAGGGGTTTGGAGGTTTAGGGTTTAGAGGTTTAAGGTTTAGGGTTTGTATCAGGGTTTTAAGAGGGGCCCTACAAAGTTTCCGCGAGGGCTCCTGTGGAGTTTTGCACAGGGGTTCCACAAGGGTTCTATGAGACTGCAGCATTCTGTCAATGTTTCTGAAAAGGCTCTTTGAGGCCTTAAGCTGAAGAATTTTGTAATCTTCCCCAGAAAAACAATACTCCTTGGTTAAGGAATGTAGCTTGAACCATAGGAGGCCCTTCTCCATTCAAGGATATGTTGCTTAATTTAGTGGAATTGGCCTCTCTGGGCTTAGAATAGGGTTTTGGGGGTTGTAAGGAACCCCCAAAATAGTATAGGTAATTATTAAGGCCCCTATATTAAACCCCCATAACAGCCCTGATAGTAATCCTTATACACTCCTTTACAAGGGAACCATTAAAGGAACCCCACGTAATTCTTAAGGCGCCTATACCATAAACCCCTACTACAGTTGATGATATAAATCCTGCATGACCTTGAAGGACCCTAGACGATGTGAATTATGCTATATTCCTTATTATGGGTATTGCAGGATTTATATCATCAACCGTATGGATCCCGTATTATAGACCCTTTTAAAGGAAGCCTAAAAAGGAGCCCTACTCTAATAAATCATCAAGGCCCCTTGAACCCGAAACCCCTAAACCCTAAACCCCTAAACCCCTAAAACCCTAACCCCAATTGTGGGGGCCTACCGGGCTTCCCTCTCTGTATTCTAATTACTAAGGTCCCCTTTTTTACACCTTTTCCGGGAGTCCCTGCCTTCTGGAAGAGACGCAGCTGACGTATGCCGAAGAGCATGCACGCCAATACGGTAAGGATGTAGGCCTCGGGGTTTTAGGGTTTATGGTTTTAGAAGTGCTTTGGGGGTTTAAAGATTTTTAGGGGTTTATATAGGCGCCTTAACAATTAGAGTAGGCCTCCGGGTTTAGGGTTTAGTGTGTAGGGAGGGGGGTAGGGGACTATACTGTAAGGATGTAGGCCTTGGGGTTTAGGGCTTATGGTTTCAGAAGTGCTTTAGGGGATTAACGGTTTTAGGGGTTTATATAGGGGCCTTAATATTTATCGGTTCATCATAGGGACCTGTAGTACGGTAAGGATGTAGGCCTCGGGGTTAGGGTTTATGGTTTCAGAAGCGCTTTAGGGTTTAAGGGTTTTAGGGGTTTTATATACGGGCCTGAATGAGTAAGGGTGTAGGCCCCGGGGTTTAGGGTTTATGGTTTAGAAGTGCTTTAGGGATTTATGAGTTTTAGGGGTTTATATAGGGGCCGTAATAATTATCGGTTCATCATAGGGACCCGGAGGGTAGGGGGGCGAGGGGGTAGGGGACTATACTGTAAGGATGTAGGCCTCGGTTCATCAAGAGAATGCTTAGGGTTATAGAAATGTTTAGGGTTTAGGGCTTGGGCTTTGGGGAGTGTCTAAGTCTAGGGTTTAGGGACCAGGGTTTGGGTGAGAAGAGCAATCATGATGTGCCGAACGTATGACATAAACTATGAGCAGCTTCCCACTGAGTATGCCATCTCGGCTTGGTCACCCCAAACCCTAACCCCTAAACACTGAACCCTAACCCCTAAACCCCAAACTCTGAACCCCAACCCTAAACCCTAAATCCTAAACCCTCAACCCCAACCCTAAACCCTAAAACCTGAACTCTAAACCCTCAACCCTAAACCATTTCAGGACCAGCCCCCCCCAAGGCGATGAATCCACGAAGCAGAAACTAGGGGCCCCAGACACCACACATATGCCTAACTTAGGGTTTCGGATTTATGGCAACACACAGGATAGGGATATCGCATATGACCCTAGACCTAAACCCTGAACCGAAACCCCCTTTATCTCCGCTGTGGGTCCCTAAGAAACATGGCCCAGTTAAACCCCCCTCATCCTCTTAGGGATATCACCATATAACCCACCCTTATCCTTTTTTGATGGGAGGCCAAAAGGGGGTTTAAGATTCTTGGGGTAGGGATTCCTTAATATGAACCCTATTATGGCAACCCTCATCCCTGCTAAACCCCCATAGGCTAAAACCCCTTTTGGCCTTCTATGATTTTTGGGTCCGGAGAAGGAGATCCCATTTAAATATCAACCCTTAAATCATCGTTTTCGGGTCCCTAGGAAACACAAAAGCCAAGGCACGGCCACGCAGAAGTCGATCTGGCAGGGCTTCAAGACGGCAGCTTTCTCCATTCTACAAGTAGGTTCTTGGGTAGCCCCTGAATAACAAGGATACCTTTTTTTCGACTATTTGGTTTGGATCAGGGAACCCACGAAGAAAAAGGGCAAAAGGGTACTACTCAGGAACCTAGTCATTGCCACTCTTGTCTTGATTGCACTCAGGAGAGTAAGCACGGATAGCCCCACACCCCTTTAATTAGGGGCTCCCTACAAAGACTTATGCCATCAGAAACAGTCAGCACTGATAATTCAAACCCCTATATCATGCCATGAGGCTTAGGCTTAGGGTTCAGGAAACCCAACCATGCAACCCTGCACAGACCTGACAACACCATCGCACAACTTTGAGCAAAACCCCAATACCACCCTTATGAAACTTCTCTACCTCCCTCGACACCCCCCTACCTGAACCCAAAAGCCCTCTGAACCTTAAACCCTGAACCCTGAACCCTAAATTCTAAACCCCTCAACCCTCTAAACGCTAAACCCGAAACCCCGTAAACCCCCTAAACTCGAAAGCCCTCTAAAAAAAGCCCGGCCTTAGTCCACATGAGGCGCTGCTGCGTCTCGAAACCCCAGGCCACGAGGATGCCTCCCAAGGGTAGCTAGGTGGGGCTTTTAAAGCTTTTGAAACATATTCGTAAATAAAATCCTCTTAAGCCCAATAAGGGAAAATATAAAATGTCACAAAGCCCTACCTAGGTAGCTTTGCTCTTCTTCTGCGGTGGTTTTGACGGGTTTGGGTTCAAGGTTTAGGGTTTAGGGTTTGGGTGTAGGGTTTAGGGTTGGGGTTTCGGGTTTAGGGTCTAGGGTTTCTATCTTCTATCGTTCTGGGATTTTCTCCGTCTTGCCAGGGCTTCAGTTTCAGGGACTTTTGGCTACCGGAGTGTAGGGCTTTGGATCAGGGTTTAGGGCTTAGGGCTTAGGCTTTTTTTTAGGGTTTAGGGTTTAGGGCTTAGGCTTTGGGGGTTAGAGGCTAGGGGGGGGTGCAGGATTTTGAAAGAGAAGAAAAATCTCGGTGCCGGCTATGAAAGCCCAGTGGACTTCATACGCCGAGTAGTGGGTTCCTTTTAAGGAAGTCAGTTTCGGTTACCATGACAAGCAAACCCTGATAAGCATTTACTATAGAACCCTATTGTGGTAGTTCAAGCTAACCCTATGTGCTATACTCCTTGGTCTGTTCAGTGTTCTAGTGTTTAAGGCCCTAAGCGTTAAACCCCCTTGTAGGAGCCGTATAGAACCATCATAGAACCCTGAAAGATCCCTTCAGTGAACCCTAACCGACCGAGGGGCAGTTCTGTCGGGCGGTCTTGGCACGCCGGGTGCCCAGGATCAGCAGCGCATCGTCGACGGACCTTGGCCACAAAGCTATGGGGGTTTAGGGTTTAGGGGCTTAGGGTTTAAGGGTTTAGGCTGTAGGGGTTTAAGGGTTTTGAGTTTAGATAGGCCCCTAGATTGCCCCGTGGTTGAGGGTTTAGAGTTTCAATGTTGAGATCCACCCCCTCCGCCCGCTCTCCAAAACCCTTCAATCCATCCTGTAACTCTACACTGCACCATCGCCGAGACGCTGAATCATCACAACCGTTCCCTAAACCACCCTAAATCCTAGACCCTAAGCCCTAAACCCCAAAACCTTTTGACCCAAACCCTAAATCCGCGGAGCGACAGCGCCAGGAGCAGCCAGCCCACTGCGATGGCCAAGGACCAGACGATGAGGAAGAGCTGGAAATTGAAGTGGAGCCTTGGAGAGTAGAGGCTTAGGCTGGGTACTCAAAGACTCCAATATCCCTTAATTAAGGAATATACCTTAAATCATATGAGGGATCCTACTATAATTTAATAAGGTATATTCCTTAATTAAGGGATATTGGAGTCTCTAGGTACTGCCCCCCCCCAGACCCCCTGGAGGATCTACAAAGTAGATCCCCTAATTTGGGGCCCTATACTACTAAGGGTACTTTATAGGAACCCCCATTAAGGGATCTACTTTTTGGATCCTCCCGGGGGTCTTACAGTAACAGTCTTTGAGAAGGCTACTATTAAAGTCCTAATATATCTATATTATGAATATTATCCAACTGTTACTGAGTAGCGACACCTTTGCAGAGCAGATTGACACAGAGACTCCAATATCCCTCAACTAAGGAATATACCTTAAGCTTTAGTAGGATCCCTAATATTATTTAAGGAATATTGCTTCATTAATTCTAGGAGTGGAGGCTTAGGGGCTGAGTACCCTAGCGCAAAAAGGGTTAACCTTTGGAACTACTGTTGATGGACAAAATCCTGCATTACCCATTATAAGGAATATACCAGAGTTCCCAAAGTTTAGGGCCCTTAAGGTCATGCAGGATTTTGTCCATCAGCAGTATGGCAGAAGATTGTGAGCCCTGCAAGGCTCACGGTTACCCTCTCCGCTACTAAGGAGGGGTTAGGGTTGACGATTTAGGATTTAAGGTTTAGGGTTGAGGCTTAGGAGAAACGGTTCCGTTAAGGGTGCTGCAAGGGTCCTATGGACTTGCTATGAGAGCAACTGCAACGGTTTAGGGTTTGGGAATTTAGGGTTCAGGGGCTTCGGGTTTAGGGCCACGGCAAAGGCTTATACGGACATGATAATGGACTTGTTAAGTGTAATACCAACCTGCGTAATTAATTAGTGGAAGCACGATGAAATCGCGATGAGAGGGATAGAGAGAAACGCGTCAAGTGATAGTGATTTTACCAACGTCGCAGCCGGTTGATGGAAGCGGTTTCAGCTTCCTCAACCCTGGAACCTAAGCCCAAAATCAGCTGCTCCATTCGATGACAAGGCGCGTCACACCCACACCAGCCACGTTCTCCTACCAGGGGCCGACTGACACCTTCTCAACTCTGCACCTCCGATTTCAGCTACGTACCTGCTAACTAGTAAACCGCTAGCATTAAGACCGGCACCTTTGATAAGCTCGTATGACAAATTTCCGCGCTGATCATCATGAACATGTCGTGAGAACGTAAGCAAAGAGAGAATGCTGGTTCAAGGCCACGTGACTAATGCAAGAATCTAGAGGAATTAGCAATACTATGGTATTCAACAGGCTTCCTTAACATAAGTACCACAGAGGCTCTGTTCAGATTATGAAAGCCCCCATAGCTGGCTGAACCTCCACTGTCGACAAGAGAGGCTGAGCTGCCAAGAAAACGACTGCTCTTGCCCGGGATTTGGCTGGTGCAGTTTAGGGTTTGGGGTGCAATTGAAAGAAACTTCTATCCTGCAACCACGAAGTGCAAAGACACCAAGCTAGCTTGCGGCGACGTGCTAGATACGGTTGTCGTCGCCACCTTTGGCGTCTACATTTAGAGTACCATCACTACAACAACACTACATGCCGCGCATTACTGCAACTTTCGAAAGAGCTTTCGTCGGCTTTATTCTCGCAGGCTCGCTCACGATGCTTCGCAGGCTGTCGACTCAGTTGGATGGGTTCTCATGCGCGACATCTTGCGTGGCATGTGCTCCGAATGTGAAGCCCATCTGATCGATGTTTCGATGACAAGTCCTGCACTTCATCCTCTTGAGTCAGAAGGTCCGCCTTTTCATCCCCTAGTCGTTGGGATCCAAAGGACGGCTTGTTCTTCCAGGGCCCTTTAAACCCCAGAGCTTGAACCCCAACCCCAAAGCCCTAAACCCCCGAGCCAGAAGCCCCGAAATCCCTGAACTCCAAACCTGAAACCCGAAACCTAATCCTTACAATCCCGAAGCCCCTACTTAGTGGCTGGGTACCCTAGCCCAAAAAAGCTTCACGTTTTTAATTGTGGTAGGACTACGTTAACCCCAAAAAGGTTAAAGGTTACCTGCTCAGCTACTAATAAGCCCTCATCCGGCGCGTTGGGTATCTACAGTAGTTCATGGTTGGGATAGGATTAAACATTTAATTTTTCATTCCTTAATGGGTTTAAGTGCCCATGAGAATTTAAAATGTTACCCAACCATGACCAAGGTTTAGGCTTTAAGGGGGCGGCACTCCTTCATGAGGTTGGTGTCCAAGGGCCAGAGCTCACGGCCCTCGTCGGCCTCTCCCGACTTGGGCATGCGGACCTGCTTGCTTTGCCAGTGCTTAAGGCATGGGGTTGAGGGACGAAGTTTAGCTTCAGGCCTCAGGGTTTAGGGTTTAGGGCTTCGACATGGAGCTGGGGCCTGAGGGGTAGAACGATCTTGTGTGAATACTGTAGGGGGAATACTGTAGGGCGGCCTAAAGCCCTATTCTAATCATTAAGGCCCCTACGCTGCTGTTGTCTTGCAGCAACCAGCTAGGCTCTGCGGTGCAGTGACGAGGAGCGGCAGGAGGAGGACAAGCGACGGAGATGCTGCCGACGATGTTCACAATGGTATGCCGACGCCGAGAATGACAAAATGCTGAGAGGAACCATGCGGAGGATGAAAGTGACAGGTGGGGGTGCGGAGGTTGCCACGATGGCGGTGGTGGTGGTGGTGGTGGTGGTGGCAGGAGTGGGTTGTTGTTGTTGGTACCGATACCCGTCAGTTTAACTGCGATGATGAAGACAATGATCAGGACGGTGGCAACTCTATCTATTAGGGTACGGCTGATGACAATGAACTGGGTGATGATGATGATGATGATGATGACCACGACGTCTGTGATGGCAGGGACGATTATGCTGGTGGTAGTGCTGGCGGTGGTGGCATCATATTGACGGTGGTGAAAAAGATGATACAGGTGATTATGAATATTATGATGATCATGAGTCTTTCTGTCAGCGCTGCTGCATCCAGCTACATCCTCCCTTGAGCACCCTGACGCAGGTTACAAGCAGCTGCTCCGCACCCCTCCGAAATCCTGCGCAAACCGAGAACGCGACGAAGAGAGACGGCTCCGCTGCCAGGGTACGTGCATGTGGGTGGTTGTCAAAACTATGGTCCCTTTTGGGGTCCCTAATATCGTATGGCACCTAATAGTTAGGGTACCCGAAAAGGGACCATAATTTTGACAAGCCACCCATGTAGCTCTCGTAACTGTTTCTATGTCCAAAAACTCGGATCATGAGCGGGCCTTGGAACGAGAGCGGTAGTCCAAAGCTCCTGAGCGGGGTGCTTTTCTGGACTCCAGGTATGGGCAGGCAGAGCTGTAGAATGTAGAAAGTCATGGACGCTGTGGATGACCGTTGCTATCTTCTCTGAAGATCAACTCTTTTCGCGGCTCAAGGTGTTTTTGGCCCGACAGACTGAACCCAGAGAGCCCAATACCCCTTAACTAAGGAATATGGCTTAAATCATAACCTCTCTGGAAACCACCAGCTTTACTTCCTTGCGGCTTGCCTGCCAGGTCCTGACACAAGCGACGCTCTTCTAAAAAACAGAGCCCACTTCGCATCCCTGCCGCCACCACAAAGTAGTCGTCTTCAGAACCCCTCCGTTCTGCTCCATATAGGCACCCCTAACGGAACTCCTAAAGCAACCCCTAAAACAAGCCTGAAGGGCACCCTTGAAGGAAGGGTTCATTCTTTTCCGGATCCGCCGGGGCACCCTTCAGGCCATCGGCATTGACGATGGGGCGCGTGCAGATGTCAACCATCCTGACAATTCGAGGTTTAGGGTGTAGGAGTTTAGTTTTCTTAGAAGTATGTGCACGGTTTTAGGGTTTAGGGTCCAGGGGTTTAGGGTTTAGGGCTTTATGGTCTTAGGGCGGGGGCTTAAGGTCTAAGGGTTTGGGTTTAGGGTTTAGGGTTTTGTGTCGTTGGCCTTGAGCAGCCAAGGGAACACACCAACGCTGCAACTTGGAAGATCGACGACATGATATATTCGCTATACGGTGTATATCTATATACACCTATACCTATGTCGATATCTATGTTGAATACGTGTGTGTATATCTATGTATGCGAACATGTAGTCGTGATACTTGCTCGTAGTATATTGCATTGTACTGGATTCTTTGATGTTATAGAACTTTTATTTTTGGCCCAATATATTATAATCTGATGAGAGATAAATGATACATTACAACATACTGCAAATAAAACACATTGGTCTAGAGTGGAACAATATAGAACACAACATCATTGTAAGCCAGAAAGCTGCACTAGAACAAACCAGTAGTACATATCATACCATATAGTAATATTAATTACGAAAACATCAAAAATAACATTTCACCTAGTATACACCAGGCTGACACATATCGTGATTGCGTCGGAATTTCTGGCCCGGCCGTTGAAGTGTCAGATGTCTTCTAGCTCTGACTCACCGCGGCATCCTATAATTTTGCTTTCGGTATCTACTATGTCATACGTGTATTCTTTAATGTACCACACATAGTCTGGCTTGAACAACTTGTCATCTCAGTGTCGCGCCCTCTTTTGTGCCCGTTTTTGTAGACTTGGCACCCCAGAAACTGTCAACGCTGGTGAACCCTCAAACCATAAGCCTTAATCCCTAAACCCCGAAACCGAGCGCTAGAGTCCAGAGAGTACACCGGAGTCGCAGGAAAGCTCTTTGAGGAAGTCGGGCGAAACAAGCTTAAGGTGGTGGAGAGCACAAGTCAAATATAGGGGCCGTGCTGGACAGCATCAGGTTCCTTTGAGGGTTCTATAAGGCAGTTTCAGCAAGGGGTTTTCAGGGGTTTAGAAAAGTCCCTTAATACTTCGAAACGGTTGCACTAAATGCTTAGGCTGCTATTCTATGTGCATTCTCGTAGCTCGTTTTGCGCGACCGTGAGAACCTTCTTCGAAGCATATTTCCCCAGACCCCACGCCCCAAAACCCTGAGTTACGAAACCCCCAAACCCTAAATGCTATATCGTGGATCTTCGCCCAGGCACCATGCGACGATGAAGAGCGCTACAAGGCCCAGCACGGCGAAAAGAGCGTACCAGTAGTAGCGGTTCTTGTTGTCGCAGGTGCCCTGGACGTTTGGGACTTTGGGTTTAGGATGCGTGGCTTTTCCAAGAATGCCCGATTGTAGATCCTGGGTAATCATGTTATGGTCTTGGCAGCTGTCTCACGCCACTCCACAACAGTCAACCTAGGCTGTTCAGTAACCCACTGGGAAGAAGTATATTCTTTTTTAGGCTTCTGATTTTACAATAGGAACCCAGAAACCTGAAAGTCAAAAAGTGTACAACTGAACAGCCTGGTAACCATATTTGGAATACTGCAAGGCGTCGTACACCAAGGCCTCTAACTGAATCTTACGCCCAAGCATAGTTTAGAGATTGAATCTCTACCCTGAGGACGCAGCTCTTGTTAGCGAATGCTTCTCTTCTTTCTTCCGTCAGTTTCTACTATAAGCTCTCGTGCGGCTCGATATCTCTGCGTTCATGATTACGAGCAAGAAGGCATAGACATGCAGCCTTTCAAATTTCGTGCACACCCAGGACTGACACCCTTGAGCCCCAGAGACTCCAATATACCTTAACTAGGGAATATTCTTAAATTATAATCGGATCCCTAATATTATTTAAGGAAATATTCCTTAATTAAGGGATATTGGAGTCTCTGGGAATGCCCATGCTGACCTGCTTCGCCTGTAAGCATGTTTCTCTCTGCATCCCTCACTTGGAGGCTCACGGGACTTAGTAAGGACGGTTATAAGTAGGTTGTTAGTTATTAGGATAGCCCCACTTAGGGGACTTGTGACCCCGATTACAACGTACTTGCTAAGTCCCATGATCCTCTACGTACCCATGCGCTAAACCCTAAACCCCAAAATTTAGTATTACGACAGCAGGCTCCTGTCCTTGGCATTGAGAGAAAATCCGCTCTCGCAGCGTGCGCAGGTGTCCTGAAGCGAGCGGAGGGTGACCGGCTGAAGCCTGTTTAGACCAAGCTTCGAGGAGGCGCTTAAACAGCCTTAGCACATAACTAGGTTGCCCTTTAGAGGTAGTGAAAGTTATTTGCAAATAAGATCCTCTTAGGTCCAACACAGGACAATATAAAATGTCCCAGTTAAGTGCTGGCATGGCAAGTGAAACAAGGTAAGAGGTGTCCCTGGTGTGGTGCAAGAAGTATCTGCACGGAACTCTATGGTTCCGGATGGCCCCAAGCTGCCAGACAGAATTGACACAAGCCTCGTTTGTGCGGAATTTCGGCTGGATCGCAATTTTGCAAGCACTGCAAACCGGGAAAGTTTCTTGCAACTTCAGCGTCCGTGCCGTCGGTCATGCACTCCGCGCAGCCGTAGATGATGCAGGCACGGCAGATGCCTCGGTAGAGGGGGCATGGCCAGTTGTTGCACTGTGTTGTACCACTGAGACACAACTATCCTTGTCGCGCAAGATTTCGGTATCCCTTAACCCTACGCCCTAGAAACCCTATAAGCCCTACAGGGTAATAAGCCCGTTGCGCTTTCCAACACCAGTATACCTCCAGTCTTCACGCCCTATAAACTCACCCGTGTCAGCTCTTACAACCCTACGATTTGTGAGCTCTATAGCCCCAAGCAAAGGCTTCTTGGCCGCCCAGTCGCCCATCTTCGGATCTGGGATAGGCTCGAACTTGTTGACAGCCGTGCATGCCTTTGGGGTGGCCTCACAGCTCAGACTTTCAGGATTTAGGGTCTCCGGGTTTAGGAGTGTAGGGTTTAGGGGCTCAGGGTGTTTAGGGGCTTCAGCGGTTTACGTTTAGGCGTCGAGGATCTTAAGGGTTTAGGATGTTGCACTTCGGTGTAGGTCTGCGAAGCAGGGTTTGGTGTCCCGCCTTTAGGAAGTCATATGAACTACCTCGACTCCGCTTGGGGGCTTAGCCCAAAAAGGATACATGGGAGATCCCTATAAGACCAATCATATCTGCAAGAGAGGAACAAACTAAAACAACACCCAAGAGTGTTAATGTTACTGATTAAGCGGAGCTGATGTGGTTCCTCAGCCATCGCATGCAGGAGCTTCGGGAATTTGTAAGTTTTTCGAGGTTAGGGTCGTTTGAGTTCTTGGTTTACGGATTAGACAAGATTAGGCTTATTTGGGCTCCGAGCTAAGCACGTGTATGGGGCTCACGCCCTAAAGCTCCCAAGCCCTGGACCCGAAACCCAGAACCGTGAACCCGAAACCGACAACCCCAAAATCCTACAACCGAAGCCTTAAACGCTAAATCCTGCGCCCTAAATCCTGAAGCCATCTCAAAATCCTGAACCGTGACCCCAAACTCTGAACCATGAAGCCCAAGCCCCCAAACCCTAAAATCCCTTTGCCCGAAACCCTAAACCCAACCTGAACCCAGCAGAACCTACTTTTCTTGTCGGGTCTATATAAACTCCATATCAGGATTTGCCATAAGAACCTACGACCAAGCAGGTTTTGGGAGGTTAAGGTATAAAGTAACCCCTAAACCCTAATCCCTAAACCCTAACCCCTAAACCCTAACCCCTAAACCACAAAGTAACCCCTATAGATGCCAAGGGAAGAGGGAGCCTCCACACACTCGAAGTTGCAGTCGGTGTCGTCACCACGGTCATCGGCGTAAACGGGGCACCTGGGGCATCACAGCTGGGTTTTCAAGCTTCTACGTTCCATAAGAAGGGCTTTAATGTAGGAATTTAATAGAGAAACCCTGGCCCTGTAACCCCCAATATATCAAGATTCATTTTCGGAACCCTAATAAAGGCCCAAGGTTTGCTAATCAGGTTCCTACATTACAGGGATCTGGCCCTGAACCGGCGGCCTTGTGCAGGGCCCCTTATAGCAAGAAAAAATCCGAAACCCCAAACATTAAGCCTCAAAACAAGAGTCCCACTAATTTAGGCCCCTACATTCTTGAACCCTGCTATAGGTCCCTTATAGTAACCCTTATAAGAACCCTTTAAAAGGAACCCCTATTCTATTTATTGAAGGTCGATCCCACATTGGGGGGACGGCGTCGGTCCTGGGGCTTACAGCTTGCGGCCGGCTGCAGGCGGTCAAGATCTACGTTAACCCACCAGAACCTACTCTTTATAGGTTCCTATATATTGCATATTAGGGTATAGGAACCTACAAAAAAGTAGGTTTTGCTAGGTTGAGGTAGGGTTCAGGGTCCAGGTTTAGTTAGCCACGTTGCTGTCGCCATTTTGTTGCATCGGCATAGCTATACTGAACTTAGAACCCTAGCAAAAATTATAATTTTAGCTGTTTCTTAGGGATTATAATAACCCAAAATTAAAAATTATTTCTAGGTACCCCTAAGATAGGTGGCCAGCTTTAAGTACAATTGCAGTTTCGTCCTCTCGGTCAACGCATGGCAATCCAGAGACTCCAATATCCCTTAATTAAGGAATATTCCTTAAATCATGGTAGGGATCCTATTATAATTTAAGGTATATTCCTTAATTAAGGGATATTGGAGTCTCTGGGCATCTTGCAACAAAAGCTATTGGGCGCCCAACTGCCATAGAGACTGCTTGTCTGTTTTCAATCGAGTGTTTAGGCGTTTCAATCTGCATGGGATCAGGGCATTGGGAAACGAGACCGGCCGGATGACAATTGTACGGATGTAGCCCAGGAGATATGGCGCAGGTTTCTCTGCCTGCCACTGAGATGCTAATCCTCCCCTAGCAGACTCGGCATTACAGTAAATAGCTGCAGTTGCTATACGCCTGTCAGATTGGGGTTACAACATCGTGAGCAGGGAGGCCCGAATCCCCGAATGCAGGTTCTCCTCAATCAAAGGGGAAAAGGAGGGACCCTTAATGGGGACCCCTAGCCTATAATGGGGTATATAATGGGTATATACTAGCTATATTAAGGGTATATACCTAGGGGTCCTTATTAAGGGTCCCTCCTTTTCCGCTTTGATTCAAGACTGTGCCGCTTTCGTAAAAGCGAAGAGGCGAAGTCGACTTAGAGCTTTCAAGGTTCGAGGGTTTAGGACGCCCTCTACCTTTGGTGCGAAATTAGGGTTTAGGGGTTTAGGGTTTAAGGGTTTAAGGTTTAGGGGTTTAGGGTTTAGCGGTTTAGGGTTTAGGGTCCGGAACACTGTGCCCTAAACGTGGAACCCTAGGCGTTGGGCTAAGGGTTCAGATACTCAGAGGCCCGGAAGGTTCCAAACAGTAGATTCCATAAGGGTAGGTGTCAAAATTATGGTCCCTTTTTGGTACCCTAAATAATAGGTGCCGTATTGTAATAGGGACCCAAAAAACGGGACCATAGTTTTGACAACCACCCAAATAAGGAGGCTCCTTCAAAAGCACGCATTACTTAAAGGCTCCTGGGACTTAGTAAGTAAACCTACTAAGTTCCATGATCCTCTAAGTACCCTAAACTCCCCCTTATAGATCCCCTATAGATCCCTTAAAGGAACCCTAAATTCCTAGTACGTCCCATGATCCTCTAAGTAGTATTCTGCGGTGCCCAGTTAAGGGATTGGCCTCCTTGAGCTGCCTCGGGGAGGTACATACCCAAAAAGTTTAGGGGTTTAGGGTTTTGCGGTTTAGAGGTTTAGGGGTTTAGGGTTTATGGGTTTAGGGGTTTTGGGGTTTTGGGGTTTAGGGTTTAGGGGGCATTCCAAGAAGGATCGTTGTCTGCTCAAGCCCCAAACCTCGAGCCTGAAGACTCGCAGCCAACAACAACTCAGAAGCCGGAGGATCTAAAAAGTAGATCCCCTACTATCCTACTAAGGGTACTTTATAGGAATCCCCATTAAGGGATCTGGGAAAGTGCTCCAAGGCTGGGATGAAGATAGGTGGCGTACTCCCAAATGGGAGTTTCCGAAAGTTGGGGGTACCCTATTTTGGGGTCCTTTTCACAAGGATCCTACCTAGGATACCCACTAACCTAAGAATAAAAAGGCCTCTCTTTTTGGTATTGGGTAACTTTATAAGGAACCTAGGACTACAAAAAGGGAATAAGGGTACTACTGGGCAGCCTAGTTACTATTTAAGGTATGAGACGGGGGTCCCCTTATAGGATCCTTAAGGGAGGGTGGTTCAAGGGTGGAGGGTATAAGGAATCCTTAGGGGACTGTAAGGGGACCTTAGGGAGTACTAGGGAGAATTAGGGATCACTAGGCTATATACCCCCCTTGGACCCCCCTCCCTTAAGGATACTACAATCCCCTAATTTCGGAAAGTCCCAAATAAGGGTCCCGATATAAGGGGTGCTTCGTCCTACCTACCTTCATCCCGCCTTTCGAGGCCTCCGAGAAACCGGGAAGCCCAAAATGCTAAACCGTAAAGCGATGCAACAGATCACAGCAACAAGCTCGACGCCCTTGCCGTGCCCTTAGAAGGTAAGTAAAACAACTTCCCGTAAAAGAAACCATAGACCTTAGGTACGGCCCCCATACAGTAGGAGTCCATAATAAGGCTTCTGTTAAGGTCCTACTATATCTAGTATGAATATTATTCAACTATTACTGAGTGGGGGCCGTACCCAACATAGGCCCTAAACCCTTAACCCTAGATCCTAAACCCTAAACCCCAAAAAGAAATGGACTAAACACGTCCTGTAGAGACCCTGACAAAACTAAGGGCACACAAAAAACCTTGTGGGTTCTACTAGGTTTCTCTAGAAACACTAGGTTTTTCTGGAAAAACCTACTCGGGTTTCGGGTTAGAGTTTGGAACCCTTCTTGACAAAAAAAAGACCCACGCTAAGCAAAGCCCTTGGAAATCGGAGGCCAAGTCGCTCCTTCGGGCAAGCCAAGAACTTGTCAGAATTGGAGTTCACCACCTGGAGCTCAGGGAGATCGGTTTAGGGTTTCTAGGGTTTTCAAGCTTTTGGATGTGGAGACAGAAGGTGGCACAGAAGGTTTAGGAGACCCCAGTTTTGGTAGATGCCCGACGTTTTTGTTAAAGCCTTTTGCATGCTGGCCGGCTTAGAGCCTAGGATACCCAGTAACCTAAGAATAACAAGGCCTCTCTTTTTGGTATTGGGTAACTTTATAAGGAACCTAGGACTACAAAAAGGGAATAAGGGTACTACTGGGCATCCTGGGAGCGGTTGCATAACTCAGAGCTGGAAGTGCCACACTGGGAAGCGCTAAACCCCCACAGCAGAGGACTATACATACTGTGGCTTTACTGTCTGGTTCTTGGTAGGGAGTGGGGGAATGGGTTATGGGGGCTATTAGTGGGGATTATATAGGGACTACTATAGGGATCCATTCCCCCATTCCCTGCTAAGCACCAGACAGTTTATGGTGGTTTGGAGGTCTTCAGTTGGTGAAGAGGAGAAGGCTTGGTTTCGTGTTCCGGGTGTAGGGGTACTTATATCGGTCTAGGCCTAAACTCGATTCTACCTTCATGTCCTCACTTGAACTACACGGGTTCACAAAAGGGCAGCACCGGTAACTGTGTCAGCTGGGGTGTTGCGAACTGGCGTATCTGTGGGGGCCTAGACGAAGTTTACTTGCTGCCCTGGAACCTCTTCTTTCATCTCAGCTTGCTATCGGCCTACATGAAATAATCAATCAGTCAGCACCACCCCAAACCCTACACCCTACACCCTAAACCCCAAACCCTAAACCCTAAACCCCAAACCTAAACTACCCAAAACCAAACCCCACAGCTACTAATAAAGCTCGGAGCTCCGGTCACTCACCGCATTGCTTTCGGGTCTGTAGGGGCTTTCGGGTCTTCAGGGTTGATGGGTTGGAGGTTAAGGTTTAGGGTTTAGGGAAACCCTAAACCCTAAACCCTAAACCCAAGGGTTTAGAGCTTTAGGGCTCCCGCCGCAAGTCCTCGAAGCAGTCCCACTCCGAATAAGACAGAAGCATCCCCCCTCCCGACAGAATATATTGGCCTTAGTATTTAGAAGAGGTTGTCAGGATATATTAGACTTTAGATATAACAAAGAACCGCATCGGGTATGATTCCTACCCGTATGTCGCGCAGTCTGCAAGCTTTCGGGGCTTCCCAAGTTAAACGACCAGAGAGGCAGTTGGGGACCCCAGTCTCTACACCCAAAGCCCGAAAACCCTAGAATCCTAAAGCCCTAGAGCCCTAGAACCCCCTACGGCCCTGGAACCCTAAAGCCCTACGGTTGATGATATAAATGCTGCATTACCCATAACAAGGAATATACCATAATTCCCATAGTTCAGGGCCCTTAAGGTAATGCAGGATTTATGTCATCAACCGTAGAACCCTAAGACCCCGCAGCCCTAAACCGGGTAGTTAAAGGCCGGAAGCCACTAAAGTTCGAATCCTCAGGGCCCTGGAGGGCCGTTACACCCGAACCCAGAAAGTTGGAACATCGTTTAGGGTTCCTTAAGGGGTCTATGATGGTTGCTATAAGGGTACTATAAGGGTACTATAAGACTATAACAATTTTTTAGGGGCCCCTGGACCGAGGATCCTTGAGACCATTTAGGAGAACTATAGGGAATCCCAGGCCTAATCATCCTAAATCCATGTTCCAACTTTCTGCGGTTCACCGTACCTTCTTCTCGTGGCACTTCGGAGGTGCCTTAGTCCGGGGAGGTCGTTTCACTTTGACACACCAAGCATATGTGGGACTCGAGTGCCTGTATGGATTGGGGTTTTAGGGTGGAGGGTTTTTAGGGTTCAGGTTTGGGATTGTCCCTGACTGACTCTTTCGATGCGCCAAGCGAAGGTGCTGCCAGCATGTTTTCTGCACTAACCAGCATGCCCAGATGCGAACTCTGAAAATGCACCCAGCGACAACTGCGCAAAGCAACCCAGCTTTGGAATTCGGTCAAACAAGCGCTGCACTGCTGAAGACCTAACCCCAAAACATCAGGGTTACACAGCCCTGACACGCTCGCTACAGAGTACGGCCATTGAACCGCATGCCAGCTCCAGTGAAGGCAAGTCACCGCACCCTTGGACTGCAACCAGAACCTCAGGTGTGGTTCCCCTAGCGGGAGCACGTGTGCAGGCTTTTTGCATCAGGGGGTTTGAGGACCACCCCCCCACTTCAAGAGGCAAGAATGCATTCACAGATCCATCCCTCAACCCTAAACCCTAAACCCTAAACCCCTAAACCCTAAACCCTAAACCCTAAACCCTAACCCCTAAAACCTAAACCCTGAACCCCTAAAGCCCCAAACCCCTAAGCCGAACTCGAAAAGCAAACCGTAAAACACACTCCAGAGCTTCGAACTCCAAATCTCTAAACCCGAATACTATAGGGGCCTTCATAATCAAAACAGGGTTCCTTTAAAAGGTCCCTTAACGGGTCTATAAGGGATCTATAGCCATAATTTAGGGGCCTTCCTAATGACAAGAGCGATTGGGGCAGATAAAACCGCACATACAGTTGTAATAAGGAACCCCCCGAAGTAGTATAGGTAACGGTTAAGGCCCCTACATTAGCCTCCACCTTAAAGCCCAAACCCGTTGGCCCGGGATGCCCTGGTTGATGCCCAAAACCTCTCGGATACAGCTCAGTGTCTAGACGCCTAGACCCTTCCGAACCGTGCAGTGGAGCAGCCATCATTGAAAACCGTTACCCCGCCTAGACCGCTCCGATGTCTCAATCAAAGTTGCGAATCGAACCTTGCCTCTGCGCAGAACGTTTACCTACCTGAAGCTCCATGATGGCGACAGCTGTCACTGCAGAAACGTGTATAACGACGAAGCTAACGAGTCAGCTAGTCGCACAGCTTATGCGTATACATAGAAAACACATGTGCGTATATCTTCGGTAGTCTAAATATTTACTTGTTTATATGTACTTACCCTTGCAAATCTATGCACACATGTTTGAACCCTTGCACACATACACAAGTACAGACAGAGATGCATGCGTGCATGTACACATATCTACATACATGATTCCCAGCATCAGTCCAAGGCATAAACGGTGTAGTCCCGAAATCTCAAGTTCACCTCACCCCGATTTCAGCCCTAAAGCACTAATCCTAAAACCCTAGGCTCCTAAACCCTGAAACCATTAACCCTAAAACCTTAAACCCTAAAACCCAAAGCCCCTAAACCCTCAAACACTATAGATCCTTAAAAGAACCCTAAACCCTTAAGCCCTAAAACCCTCCAATGCTGACCCGTAGCTGTGGGGACCGGCCGCTCGCAGAGCTGCGGGCCTGGCTGCGAGGCTCACTTAAAGGATCATGGGACTTAGTAAGTAGGCAATAAGTCCCCTAAGTGGGTTGTCCTAGTTGTAACCTAGTTTTAACCCTACTTACTTAGTCCCATGAGCCTTTAAGTTGGGGAGGTTGAATTGATCTTTAAAGGGGTCTTTGAGGGATCTATAATAGGGTTTAGGGGAGGTTTAATGTAGGGGCCTAAATAGGCTACTATGTTGGGGGTTCCTTGTTATAGTTATAGTATAATATACCCCCAAACCCTAGTCTTCGACAGGCTTTCGCCCGCATCACCCCCAAACCCTAGTCTAATTATTAAGGCCCCTATATTATCATTATTTCTTTGCCGGTTCTTGTCCTCCTTGCCTGGGGTCGGTAGGAATGCTATGCTGGCAGAACCAGGGATTGGGTTTAGGGGTTAAGGGGCTTAGGGTTAAGGGGTTTAGGGTTTAGGATTTAGGTATTTCGGGTTTAGGTGTACAGCGAGGTTCAGGCCGTTCCGGGACTGTCCCAAAACCAAAACCCTTCAACCATACCCCCAGAAGACACACATGCCTCTGTTGCCATCGGACTCATCTAGAGCTCTTATCTTCCGCTTTCTCTATGGCTCTCTTTACACAGTGATTCTCATCGGTATGGCTACCAGTGCGGCCGTAACCAGCAGGAGCAAGTAGAAACTAGAAACCAGTGATCCAGATTGCGCTCTGGGGCTGCTTGGCTTGAGGGTGTCTCCTCTGGCTTACTATTTTACTCCTAGGCTTCTAAGTTTTACGATTCTTTGGGGTTTTGGTTTTCTTGGTGCAGTTGCACTCGCTTGGCTGGCCACGGCTCGTAATGCTTGCCTTTTGGGATTTCGACTGCCAGACACAACTGAAATTAACACTTTAGTAGTAGCATAGTGGAGCAGCACCACAATGCAATTCTCGCATCTGGCCTGTTTATGCCTTCGCTGTAAATAGAACCTAAGTGCTTCTTAAGATCGTTCTGAACCAGGCCGAGATTGTTTCAGGAACACTCAGCCCATTCTCCAACTGCACCAGGAAGCCAAAACCCTAAACCCGAGGGCATCAAGGACGGAAGCGGAGCTCAAAACACTCTATAATGATATATTTGTCAGGTGGTACCCAGAGAGCCCAATATCCCTGAATTAAGGAATATTCCTTAAACCATATTAGGGATCCTACTGTAATTTAAACTATATTCCTTAATTCAGGGGTATTGGGCTCTCTGTGTAAACCAAGACAGGAAATGACACATGAACAAACACGATAACTGAAGACATGGGAACATACTGAGGGGAAATTATGACATGAAGAACCATTAAGTCAACGTCTGCGCAACACAGTGTGTGTATGCATGTCTGTATGTACTTATGTCGTCTGTATGGATGTACCTATGCGCCTATGTACCTGTGTATGTATGTATGTTTGGATGTATTTACAGATGCATACAGAAAGAATAGACGCATTAATATGGTTGCCCCGACGCCCTAGGATCATGGACAAATCTGCCTCGGTGATAAGAGCTGCCTGACTCTGTGGCGGTGTCACCTCAGGTGCAAAGTTCGCGTTTTGGAGCGTGGTAGAATTGAGGACGTGCTCCAAGAAAGGAAGTGAGGGGCCTGTCTCAATTTTGTGCACGCCTCAAGCCTTCTTGAAATAGATGCTGCATCTCGCAGAGAACCGCTTTGCCTGCATGGCAGTCTACCAACCACCACGCAAGATCCCGCATCGAGAGGGGTTCCTCGAATGCTGTTCATACAGCCCTTAACACGCAACCCTAAATCCTAAGCCCTTTTGGGTTCAACCCTAAACCCGAAATCTCAAACCGTTTGGGTTCACCACGCTCCATTGCACTGCATTGCAGCAGTGGTGCACGAGCGGCAGCGAGCACGAGCAAAGTGCTCGTGAGCAGAATCTGCATTGTAGCCTTGGTGTGGGGCACTTGTTCGGGATTCTGAGTTTAGGGTTTAGGGTTTGCCGTAGAATGGCGCATAAGCGAAACTGTCTTGCGACAGTGAGATTTTGGAGTGCATCGTAGTATGACGATCGGCCGCTGGAGCCCGATTGTGGAGGGCATTTCTTGTTTCTCTCTCCCTACGTATTCCTTTTAGGGTTTAGCCCGAAGCTCATGCCAAAAATTCTCGTTTCTTGAAGCTTATCTATGCAGGGAGGCAGGGGCAGGACAGGGAAACGAGCAGGGTCAGGGGCCGGGGAGGTCTGCTTTCTGAGGGGTCTCTTTCTGGGGGCCTTTCAATCCCACCTCAAGGTGAACGGGGGGGGGTAAGCGCTCTCACACAAGGACCAAAGAGGTGGGCGGCCTAAGCCTTGAGACTAGGGTATCAGTCAAGCCAGCTCCGGAGTTATGAACAAGGCTGTCGTCAGGTGATGGGGTTTCATTCTCGCACTATCCTGTTGATGTGACAGGTCACCACTTGTAGCAAAACCTTCCAATTCAAGCTCTTTTGGAAGGAAGGATTTCCACAAGGCTTTTCCAGGGCAGGACTTGTACATACCCCGTTAGAGGTGCAGGAATCACAACCAGCGAATCCAAGCCAGCGACGAAAGCAGAGAATGTCGCAGCTGCTGATGAAGTCTAGCACTGCTACTGTCCTCTGCAGGAACTGAGCCGAAAATGCAATGTCGCCGGGCCGGTATTCAAAGCAATGCAGACAAGAGGGTGGGAGACTTGGCAACCGCGTATCTGCTTATATCCCCTGAAGGTGGGTAGATGATACCCTAAACCGTCAACTCGGAAATGATGGAAGCCGCCTTCCACTCCAAGTGCTCTTGCGATGCGTTAGAAAGCACGTGTTCCATGAAGAGCTGCTGGAAAACGAGGTTCATGACTTTCCTACTTTCAATGCAGACAAGGAAACCTCAAAACAAAAGGGTAGAAGGGTATATGTATAGTATATGTATATGTCTCTGTCTATGTATATGTATAAGTATATGCATATGTAAACGTTTTCATATGTTTCTGTATGTATATATATATAAATATGTATATATATATATATATATATATGCATATCCACTTTCATACATGTATGTACCCACCCACGTATAAACACGCACATTGTCAACAACATAGAAACTGCGAACTTTGGTTTGCCTTTTCCGCTCAGCCGTATCTCGGTGGGCTGTCGATTGTCGGATGTGAGCACACAGCCGTTCGCGGCTTGGTCGCCTGCAAACCCTAAACTCTAAACATAAGGAGGGTTTAGGGTTTAGTCTTTAGGGCTTAGGGTTTAGGGGGTAAACACCTAGAACCTAAATGTGCAACTCTAAACCCTAAACGCGGCACCCTAAACATGTGCTTTTTAATCCCTACTACTAGTGCGGGCTCAGGGCACTCGACACGTTCTATGGTCAGGCACCCACTGTCTGCAGGAAAGCCTACGCAGGAGGCTCTTTTGGTGTAGGCGGCTCCTTTGGAATCCGCACACTCCTGGGAACACCGGCGAACAAACGAGAAAGACTGGCAAGTGAGGAAATCTTATCATTCAGTGATCGTTGTCTAAACGTCCTACCATGCTAGCTACTATTGAGCCTTCACAAAATGAGAAATACTGTTCTATTGAGCCTTCACAAAATGACAAACAGTGTTTCTTCAGAAGCGGCCTCACGCCCAAGGCCACTCAACGTTGCAAGGAGTGTCACTTCTGGACGAGGGTCTGAAGCTGTAATGTAGGGGCCTTAATAATCAGAATAGGGTCTTCAGCTCCTCTACAGTATTATGATAATAAGGGAACCCCGGTAAGTAATGTTGGCAATTATTTAGGCCTCTGTTTAGAACTTGAAAGTTCTCGAGCTTGACCCTAATGGTAAGGAATAATACTGGCCATTTTCGCAGGCACGTGTATTCGAGGATATAGCGCCAGGTACTAGGCCCGGTACCATTGACATGACATTTTTTTCCACAGTATGAACAGGTACCCAATATGCATTTGAACACCTCTGAAATCCTAAAACTCGACTCTAAACCTAAACCCTAAACCCTTAAACCCTAAACTAAACCCCATAAACCCCTAAACCCTGAAACCCCCCTAAACCCTAAACCCTAAACCGAAAATGTAGCGCCAAGTAGTAAAACTCGTCGGTCCCAGGGCTGAGGGTCACAGTGTCCCAGAGTCGCTAGGTGCCGGGTCGGTCTTTGCTGCCGTGATTACTGTACTTAGAGGATCATGGGACTTAGTAAGTAGGTTATAATTGGGGTTATAAGTCCCATAAGTGGGGTTATCTTAATTATAACCTACTTATAACCTTACTTACTAAGTCCCATGAGCCTTCAAGTAGGTCCTGAAACCCAAAACCCTCATAGAGCCCTTCAAAGGAACCCCTATAATAGTATCCTCATAGTAACCCTTTAAAGGAGCCCTACTTGGAGGGTCGGGGGACTTCGTAAGCAGTTATTTTATAGACTTACAAGTATCACACCCCCAATTAGGATCCTTTTAGGGTACTTATAAGTCCACTTGCTACGTACGTACTAAGTCCCCCGAGCCTCCAAGTACTGCGAGATTCTCATCTTCAGATCCTGTGAGTTTAGGGTTTAGGGGTTTATGGGTTTAGTTTAGGGTTCTAGGGTGCAAGGGTTGTAGGGTTCAGGGCTTATCTTCAGCTCCGATGAGGACACTAGCCACCACCATGGACAGATGCGTCCAGCATTATGGTTCTATAGCAACAGCATCATCAACAACAGCGACAACTGCAACAACAACTACTACTCCTGCTGCTACTGCTACTGCAACACGAATAGGGAATATTCCTGCTCCTGCTCCGGTCCCGTCTCCGGCTCCTGCTCCCCCTCTGCTGCTACAGCTACTTCCACTCCCTCACTTTCTCGACCTCTTCCTCCGCCTGCTTTCCTGGGTATAGTTATAACTGGGCTTCTAAGTCGGGTTATAAGTATAGTTACCCTACTTAGAACCCTACTTATAGCTACCCTAAACGTTTCTGCTAGCTTTCCTTCTACTTCTCTTCCTACTAATGCTCCAAGTCTCAGTCTCCTCCGACCTTGCTCTTAGTTCGGCCTAGTCCAGTTTAGCACTTTAGGGTTTAGGGTTTATGGATATTATTAACTGTTAGTAGTAGTAGTAGTAGTAGTAGTAGTAGTAGTAGTAGTAGTAGTAGTAGTAGTAGTAGTAGTAGTAGTAGTAGTAGCAGCATCTCCTGAGCGTGTACACAATCGGGAACACAGATCCACATTCGCGAGGTGGAAGCTTTGGTATCTAATCCGTGTCCGCAGCTTCGCGAAGCAAAAACAGCAGCACAGACCCACCAAGCGAGTAAATTCCTGGTATTGGTTTTGTTGCACGATTGCCTGATGGCCACGAGCTGCTCGAAGCAGCTTGCGGCAATCTGGCTCCCTGGGCGGACGTCCTTGCAGACCCATGCAGACCCAAAGAACATCTTCAACCCGTTAGAATGCACCCTGCAACAGTGATACTTAAAGGCTCATGGGACTTAGTAAGTAAGGTTATAAGTAGGTTATAATTAGGATAATCCTACTTAGGGGACTTATAACCCCAATTATAACCTACTTACAAGTAGAGCACGCCCGAAAACAACTGCCCCAGCAGGCCAAGACTGGGTCCTACAACTTGCGCAGCCTACCGACGTCAAGGAGTCTGAGCCCAGGGAGGATTTTCCCGTTTTGCTGGGTTTCACCCACAAAGCTGGCGAATTAACGTACGAAGAAGCTTCTCCCAGTCTCGCGGATGTCCCTCAGACTCTTACGGGAAACTGCTCCAGCAGCTTCTGCTTGAATGCCCAACAAGCAAACCTTCTCCTAAACCCTAAACCCCTAAACCCGGCCCTAAACCCTAAACCCGAAATCCCTAAACCCCAAAACCATAAACCTCTAAACCCATAAAGCCTGAACCCCTGAACCCCTAAACCCTATTCCATTCCAGAAGATGTCCGACCCAGCTTCCACCTCAAGCAGCCCGAATCCGGAAAATGTCCAGGACACGACGCTCAAAATCTTGCGTTGACCCAGAGAGCCCAATACCTCTTAAATAAGGAATATACCTGAAATTATAGTAGGATCCCTAATATGATGTAAGGAATATTCCTTAATTAAGGAGTATTGAGCTCTCTGGGGACGGCTGGCTCCCTCAAGGCATCCGATGCAATGAAACAAAGCATCGCGCGACGTTTAGGGTTTAGGGTTTAGGGTTACATTTTTGGGACAGGAGCAGCCTCCAAACATTACTTGGAGGATCATGGGACTTAGTAAGTAGGTTATAAATGGGGTTATAAGTCCCCTAACTGGGGTTATCCTAATTATAACCTACTTATAACCCTACTTACTAAGTCCCTTGACCCTTTAAGTATTTTTGGGACAGGAGCAGCCTCCAAAGATTAAGCATGAAGCCGGCCTCACCGTCACTTCAAGGACCTCAGCTTCCGAAGAGTCGGGAGTCGGGAGTGTACTGTTCTGAGACTAAGGGCTCAGAGTTTAGGGTTTAGATCCGTAGCAACCCTAAACCCTAGACTCGAAACCCTATCTAGGGCCCCAAAAAAGCACATGAGCAAAAAATACGATAGGGATATCCCATATAAACCCCCTTATAATGAAGCCCATTAAGGTAGGGATATCCCTATAAAATGCTTATGCTTATGTGCCCTTTTGGCCCCTAACTATCGGCTCCCCACTTCAGGAACCTTGGCAAAGCGAGGCCCGCGGGTTGGGGTGCTCGGCAGTAAGAGTCTGTGCAAGTGGTTTAGGGTTAATCCTCGTCAGTCCCGTCGTTGTAGCAGCAGTATGTTTAGGAACGCAAGGAGCAGTAGCAGTCACACAGCAGCAGCGGTTGCTGCAGCCACAACCGAATCTGCAGTCTTAGCATAACAGTCGTAGACTTAGGATTACATCTTGTCCTTGGAGCTAAGGTACTGGGCTGGACTGTTGGCTTTTCGGTAGCTTCAATGTGGCGCGTTTCGGGATTTGGGGTTTAGGGTAAAGGCTTCATTTGGGGTTCAAGGTTGGACTTTTCACTGGCCCAGCGGCGTTGAATCTTCTAAGTATACCGGGGTTGTGTCGGCACACGATAAGCGTCAGTTGCCTACGCGCCCTGACCCTACATACATCGTCGTAGTTCAGGGCTTGCTGGGGCTTTGGGGTCAACCCATTTTCTGAAACAGTCGATGCTTTGTACATGTTGAGTTTAGGATTGAACCTTGAGGCAACTCCCAACCTCTTTCAAGGAAATGTTATAAACAAAACCGCTGAGGGAAACTTTGACCAATTGCAGAGACGGAGGTGCAGTTGCCAACCTTCCCGCACGCGTTGCGTGATCTCTCTCTCCTCGGTGCATGCAGGATCCGGAGTGATGCCAGACCCTAAACCCTAAACCCCAAACCCTAAAGCCTTAACCCCTAAACGTAAGGCCGCAGCCCAGAAATGGGGGCCAAGACCCCCCGGAGGATCTAAAAAGTAGATCCTTAATGGGGGTTCCTATAAAGTACCCGTAGTAGTTTGGGGCCCCAAATTAGGGGATCTACTTTCGAGATCCTCCCCAGGTTCTGGGAACCAGCCCAACGGCCCAAAACCGTTGAAAGCTGGAGGGCATCATGCTAGAGTTCTTCGCATACTGCGAAGGATCTTGGCTTTGAAGTAACCAGGGAGAAAAAAGTATAGACTTTTGTTTCATCATGGTTCCCTTTTAAGGAACAGACCCCCCCAAAAAATTGCATTAAAGTATGGCACCCCAAAGCCCGGCGATCCCCAAAACCTACTTGGAGGGTCGGGGGGACTTACTACTATTTGCTAAAGAACCCCCCAAAAATAAAAGATATATTCCTTATAGGGATAATATAGGGATTATCATTTTTTATTTTTTGGGGGGGTTCTTAAGCAAATAGTAGCTTAGTAAGTACGTAACAAGTGGACTTATAAGTACCCTAAAAGGGATCCTAATTGGGGGTATGATACTTATAAGTCTATGAACTAATTACTTACTAAGTCCCCCGACCCTCCAAGTACACCCTAAACTGGATCCTTCCCGAAACCCGATCCTGGGATCAAGGCGCCTAGACTCGGACTAGATCAAACCTAGAGCTCAATTAAAGAATACCTAGGGTTCCTTTAAGGGACCTGCAGGTTTTAGGGTTCAAGGGAATCCAATATCCCTTAATTGAGGATTTTTCTTGTAAATCATATTGGGAATCCTACTACGATTTAAGGTGTATGCCTTAATTAAGGGATATTGGAATCTCTGGGAACATGGAAGTGTCAGACAACAGCTTCACAATGATGGGATGCATGCTTGTTACAGACACAGGGGCAACCCGAAACCACATCATCTTAATGCGCCGCTTGCATCACATGCGCCCGCATGATTGCCTCGAGGGCGTCGACAACAACTATGTCTGTGCAAGCTGTGACAAATGAGCCGCGTGTTTGACCAAGTCAACCAGCTCGGGGACGTCGGCTTTGGCATGTTTTGCCTCCGCTGTTCTCAGAACTTTTAATTCGTTTTAGGCATGCATCGTGCAGGGTCGAAGGTTTGGGGAGTGGTGGTGATGACAACGATAACGAGGACGAAGATGAAGAAGGCCATATTCGTCTTACAAAGTAATGCAGAGACAAACGATGACGAACATGAAGGACAAGAATAACATGATGATGAGCTATGCTGTTGGTTTTCTTGCTTTGTTTGCCTGTTTGGGAGTTTCCGAACATGGGGGACCCAAATATGATACCCTACATAGTAGAATCCTTATTTTAAAGACCCCAAAACAAGGTAACCATAATTTTCGGAAACTCCCATTTTCTGGAGTGGGTTAGAGGAGATCCTCCGAATCGACTTTCCGCCTGTGTCTACACGATCGACTGTCTTAGCAGCTACCCCTCAGAATCAGAATTAAGACGCACACCGAACAACACACCCCCTACCGTTGGGACCTACACAAGGACCTGACAATAGGGGGACACTGTTTTCCTACGATTCGGGCTTTAATAAGGGAATTCCCCAGAAAAGCAAAAGGGTACTACCTGGGAACCTGCTAAACCCCAAAACTACCCTAAACCCCTATCGGTTTAGGGTTTCGGGGTTTCGGGTTTAGGGCTTATAGATCCGTTATAGAGCCTTTTAAGAGTTTAAGGTGCCTTCTAAGCACCCCTGAAAGGGTACTACAGGGGAACTTAGAAGACTCAAGTCAATTTCTGCAACAAAATGTAACCCGTCTTCCCTACCAAGACTTGACATGGCAAGCCTTGAGAGTAACATGGTAACATATAACATCACATATTACTATGTACCAAGAATGTAACAACATATATATATATATATACACACACAAGAACTACTTATACTGCACACCTAACCCTGATTTGTTTTGGTGAGGGGGCAGGGCCTGCTTGATCAGCGGCAGGACGTCCAGCGCAGCATGGAAGTCCAGGAGGGCACCTCGATGTGGAGGGCCAAAGCCGGTCGAGAATAAAGCAGGGAATAAGGGTTCCTTTTTACGGGTTTGCGAGAGGGGTTCCTTTAAGCGTTTAGGTTTTTAGGTTTGAGGGCTTTGGGGTTTGGGGATGGGGTCGGGGTCTGTTGGGGGTTTTAGGTTGACGGTTTGAGCCCTGCAACATGCACAATGAGCATGGTTTACTCCACTGCTTTGCAAGACTTGGAAACATTGCCAGCCTTCGAAGCGGATGTCAAGGCCAGTTCTACGAAAGTCATGCTCGGTGCATCCCAGCACTCACGTCCAGATTGGGTGGAGCATGAACGAGTGAAGCTGGAGATGCCGTCAAGCTTTTGACCACTGTGTTGGGATGAAGCAGCTGTCCTTGTGTTGTTGTTCTTGTCGTTGCCGCGGCCTCACCGCGTATTGCCGCTGCTCTGCTGTCATCGGTAGGTTGAGGTCCTGATGAAAGGTTTAGGGTTTAGGGGAATCACTGATGACCATGAACAGGAGAGTACAGATTGGCAACCCCCATCCACTTCAGCTTCTCGATTGAGTCCACATCAAATTGGAATACTGTCGGTCCGATGGCTGCAACAACAACAACGCTTCGAATCATGCGATACACTGAGGTCGCAGAATATTCCCAACATCCAGGTTTCTGAATAAACGGAGGGCAGTGCATAATGGCTATGCGATGATCTCTCCGGCAATATTTACATGACCATCATCGAAGTTGCCGTCGTCCTCGTCAGTAGCGGCGGTAGTAGTAGCAGTAGTGGTAGTAGTGGAAGTAGTGGTATTAGTGGTCGTAGTGGTGTAGTGGCCGTAGTCGTCGTAGAAGTAGTAGTAGTAGTAGTAGTAGTAGTAGTAGTAGTAGTAGTAGTAGTAGTAGTAGTAGTAGTAGTAGTAGTAGTAGTAGTAGTAGTAGTGGTAGGAGTAGGAGTAGTAGTAGTAATAATAATAGTAGTAGCAGTAGCAGTAGCAGTAGCAGTCGCAGTCGCAGTGGCAGTAGCAGTAGCAGTAGCCGCAGCAGCAGCGGCAGCGGCAGCAGCACCAGTAGCAGTAGCAGTAGCATTAGCAGCAGTAGTAGTTTGATTAGTAGAAGTAGTAGTATTAGTAGTAGCAGCAGCAGCAGCAGTAGTAGCAGCCGTCGTCGTAGTAGTCGTAGTCGTAGAAGTAGCAGTAGCAGTGGCAGTAGCAGTGGCCGTGTTGGCGGTGGTCGTGGTGGTGATGGCTGTTGTGGTCGTCGTGGTCGTGGTAGTGGCAGTGGCAACGGTGCTGGTTGTGGCTGTGGTTGTGGTCCTTGCTTGTAGTTTTTGTAGTAGTGCCGATTTTGGCAAAACCCAGCACGCTACCTCCTAAACCCTGAATCCCAAACCCTGAAATCTAAACCCTCGAACTGACATCCTAACACCTTCAAACCACTAACAAATCTAAACTCTCGAGACTTGTGTCGCCCCTCGCTGGGCCGAGTTGCTCAGGGCTGAAGGCTCTGCACGAAGAAGCTTCAATAAGAACTCATCTTGGAGAATCTTACCTTGGGGTCTATGGGGTTAGGACTTTGGGTGCAGGGTTCAGCGTTTAGGTGAGGAAAACGAAGGTCTAGGGTTGGGGGCTTGGCGTTTACGCCTCACAAATTCCGACTTGTCCGGTATCCTGGGGAACTAAAGGTTAACCTTTGGTTCAAGGTTACCCACTCTACTACTACTGTTGATGATATAAATCCTGCATTACATTCAGGACCCTAAACATTCCTTATTATGGGTAATGCAGATTTATGTCATCAGCGTAGGATTCTTAAAGGAGCAGGTTGCGGAAACTTGCTCTCAGCAAGCCAGACCCGGACTCATGTCACCGTAGACTCCAATATCTCTTACTTAAGGACTATTCCTTAAATCATATTAGGGATCCTGCTAAAATTTTAGCGGAACTCTCTAAGTAAGGGGTATTGGAGTCTTTGGGAAAGGGCCTTGATAATCAAACAAGGGGTTCGGGGTTTGGGGTAGGGCAGGGCACACTGGAAAATCATATTTGGGGTACCTTGTGGTATAACTAGACCTTAGGGGCTGGGTACCCTGACCCAGGCAAGGTTAACCTTTTCAATTATGGCAAGACTGGATGAACCCCAAAAAATTACAGGTTACCTACTCAGCTACTAGAGAATAAGGAGCTCCCGGGATGAATATGGGTTGCTACTCCGCTCTCCATCGTATGCCGCAAAACTGAGACTCCTCCAGTAACTGTGGTTTTGATATGGAAGCGCAGAAAAAACAAATGTGCACGAGGGAAAACCGTCAGCACTAAATACAGCAACAGTCTACAATATGGCTATTATGATGGGCCTGATACATCTATATTGCAAGTGATATTCAAATGCTTCTGGGGGTGGAAGTATGCAACCGAAACCGTTAAATCCAATCTGTGGGCTCAAATGCCGCCGGATTGCTGGAAAGCTTCATCACCGGCGCCATCGTAAGACTCCTGCAAAGCACCATTTCACATCTCATGCGGGTCTGGCTCTCTGGGTTTCGGGCTTCATGATTCGGATTTACCATATGTTGTACATTACACATTACGTACTACAAATTCTACATTCAGTTTAGACATATGCATATATATATATATGTGTATGTATGTATGCATGTATATACTTTGCGTTTTGAATTGAACTACTAGGGTTTTGCCAGATGAGGGCTTCGGCAGCAGAGCCAACTGCCAAACATGGAAGTTCCAATTGCTGTAATGCGGACGAAGGTGTACGATAGTTTGAGGTTCAGGATTTAGGGTTCAGGGTTCGGCGTTTAGGGTCTTAGCTGGAAGCTCAGTGCCCTGGTAGGATAGGGTGTGTAGACAGCGTGCGCGCGCTTCTTTGGAAATGGGGGCATGCCCACTTATCGTGCGCTTGCGTCAGCATGTAGTCCCGCCGCAACCACCCCAACTATTCTCAATTAGGATTTAGAAATCACCCCCAAACCCCCCAATGGGCTCGCAGTTCGACACAAAAACGACCACATTTCACAGCATTCCGCAGCTGAGATGGATTGCTGCGGCCTGTGCCGTCCGCTCGACGAAAACGGTGGGCTTCCAACAAACATTTGCCCGTCACAATCTGTAGAGTCGGTCGAAGTGTAAACACCGAGGAAAGTCGCCCCCCAAAAGCCGGCAAGAAGCAGGGCAGGGCAGGGCACACAGTCCTGGTATACCGGGACCCTCCCGCACCGTTCTGACGGGACGCTGGCGCTCGGTGCACCTCGACCACCCCCAAGATTGCAACCGCCAGACACAAATCCTCTGCTGGAGTTGGTTGCAGAAAGAGGGCGAACTGGGGACGGATGCAATGGCCGTGCACGAGAAGGTCAAGGACATGCTGCTCGTGCTGGAAGTTCTGCAGGAGATCAAGGAGTTGCGTCGGGGGTTCCTTATTCTAATTATCGTACAATATGGGAGTTTCCGAAAAGTAGGGGTACCCTATGTTGGGTCCCTTGTAATAAGGATCCTACTATTTAGGGTACTATATTAGGGTCCCATATATTCGGAAACTCCCATATATCCTCCAAAAACCGGGGGCCTCGGTCCCCATGTAAATGGTCAGCGGCGCGCTCAACAGCTTTAGCTGGAAGCTCAGTGCCCTGGTAGGATAAACCCGAAACCCTCCTAAGTGCCCCTCAACTCTAAACCTAAACCCCCAAAACCCCCTAACCCCTAAACCTAAACCCCAAACCCGAGGATGTGGAATCCCTTGGCATGGGAAGGCCTCGGACCGGTCGGAATTGCTGGTTCCCTTAGAGGGCTCCTTTAAGGGATCTATAAGGGCTCTATAGATTACTTAAAGGATCATGGGACTTAGTAAGTAGGTTGTGATTGGGGTTTTGTCAGCTTGTGAAAACAGTACCCAGCATCAGGGATGCTGCGTAGACATTGTGACAGCCTCAATCCTTGAACCGTAATTAGGGTTTAGGGTTTAGGGTTTAGGGTTATTCACTAACCCTTGAACCCAACAGCCCTCATAGCAGCCTACAAGCAAATACAAACTACAGATCCGCCAAGCCCTGCAGCCCTAAAGCCCGTACCCTAAGCTAGGCGGTGCTTTTAAAGCCTTTGCAAAATATTCGTAGGTAAGATCCTCTTAAGCCCAATAAGAGCAACAAATAAACAAAACAAAGCCCTACAGTACCTAGTAAACCTTAAAGCCCTGATTGAAGCTGCGATGGTTAGGTTCTTCCGTCCCAGACCTCCGGGACGATCCAAAAAGTAGATCCCTTAATGGCGGTTCGTATAAAGTACCCTTAGTAGTTTAAGGCACCAAATTAGGGGATCTACTTTCTAGCCCGGGGGTCTGGGGTGCCAGGCCTCTTCAGGGCATCCAAGACGTTGCTGGTCGCTGGGGCAGCGAAGCCCAGCCTTGAACCGAAACCCCTCAGAGGGATCCCTGAAGCCTCATCCCTGATCCATAAACCCTAATCCCTAAACCCTAATCCCTAAGCCCTAATCCCTCAAACAAATCCCTTCACGGTTTAGGGTCCCTTTTCCAGCTTGAAAGCTTTGGTTTAGGGTTCCGTTAAAAGGGTTCCTATACAGGACTCTTTAGTAGGGTTCAGGGTTTAGGGTTTAGGGGTTGAGGGTTAGTCTAGGGTCCCAACTTGGGGAATCTACTTCTTCGATCCTCCAGTGACGAGCTCAAGGCGGGCTGTGAAGGTCGCTACAGGTTGGGCTGAGCTTGTACTTTCAATGGGTTGAGGGCTGTCTTCTGAGGGGTTGAGGGTTTAGGGTTTAGGGCTTAGGCTTTACGGTTTTGTGAGTTTTGGTTGCTTTGCAACTGTTCTATGCTTGGTAGGGTGCTTATGAGGTTTGTTTCTCTTGGTGGAACATGGGGTTGAGGGCTTGGGGCCAGTTTTTGGCGCTGAAAGGTTCCAATTGCAGGGTTTACAGCTTAGTGCCGCTAGAGTGTCAAAGGTTTTGGGGGGCAACTAGCTAAGCAATATACCTCGAAGCATCATTTTCAGTCCTTCGTAATTGACGGTTTTGCTTCCTGCTGAATTAAGGGGAATCGGCTCTGTTGGGCAGTGGGACAAGCTTGCGCTCCGTGGGTGCAGGAATCATGAACGGCTGCCAGGCAACTCAAACTCAACCGTATGGGGATGCTGCGCCGACACCTTCGGCACCTTTCGAAGACTTCAAGAGAAGGAATAGGTTGGCCTGGTTGTTGAGTTGCACAGCCCAAAAAAGCAGCAAGTACGGTAGAACCATACATGCCAACCAGGAATACTTATTCAGCCCGAAACCCTAGGCCCTGCTACGGCGCTACATTGCACTTCATGGAGTTGCAAAAGTGATAGCGAATCTGTATCAAAGGATGGTGCACGTGTAAGCCCGAGCCTCATGGTATAGGGCCTTAATATTTACTTGGCTGACTTCTGAACCCCTCCTAAAAGTTAAACTTTTAGCCTCCTTAGTATAGTTCATATAGAAACCCAAGAAGTTAAAGTCCTAAGAACCAACCAGAAGAACGCCAAGAAAACTTTAGCATGATTAAACAAGGTCCCACGCACTACGGTTGATTAGTGTTGGAGCCTGTGCTTTCTTGAACTGGGCCGGCTTCAACCTGGGTATTCGAGTTGTGAATGCGCCTTCGTATCTGTTTCGTGCGCTTAGACTCCACACCATAGACATAAGGCCTCGTGGAAAAGTTGGCGCTTTGAGGTATCCTCGTCCAGCATTCGGTGAAAAGCGAAGTGGCAGGAAAAGTAGTGGATCGTGTCCTCGGAAGGGGATTTCGAGCGGAGCTTCCCCGAGACTTTCATATCCCTTGTTGAAGGTTGCTAGTTAGTACTAGTACAAGTAAAGCCACCTTCCTTGATTGAGGGAGTGTCCGGGTTCAGGTTTGGCATTCGGGGATTCGGAGTAGCGTGATAAGGGGGGGGGGTGGCACTGGGCATATGCTGTCCAGCGTCAGTTCCGAGCAAGCTACTACTAAAATTAGATCAGTCATGATCACGACGGTCATAATGAGAATACACGCTACAAGCAGGAATAATGAGGTTACAATCCCACATAACTACAGGCAGGAGTGATTACACTAGCAATTGAGCAATACGACTGTGAGCATCCGACTCAGAAGGCATAAGCCATAAGCCTACTAATCACAAACGGAACACAATACCGACCGATTCGAATGATAACAGGGGCCCGAATCGAAACCATACACCTTCAACCCCCAAAACCCTCAAAGCCCTAAAACAACACTCCTAAGTCCTAAACCCCTAGACTAGACCCTAAACCGCAGGCAAGCGTCACCCTCGAGCTCACGCCGAAAATGCTCCAGCCAAGCAGATGTAAGGGCATGGCCGCTGGAGGCTGCGATGAAAAAATCTGGGAGATGTGGCGAGATGAGCTTCAGGCAAGACTTAGGGTTTCAGGGCAGAATTACAGCGGGGACAGGTAGAATTCTCTGGCTCTTTGTGCGTTTGCTGCTAAGTGCGTCTCGATGGGGAAGCACACTATGACGATGCATGAAAGGACTTGTCGTGTCACCCGAAATCCGAAACCGAAACTCCAAAGCTCTAAAACCCCCAACCCTGAACCCAAAAAACCCCAAGATGTTGTCTGTATCGTATTCGCCTGCATGCTTCTGCCTCTCACACAGCAGCTCTCGATCACTGGAGTCACAGGGCTGGCCCGCCAAACCCTCCAATATGGGGGGGCACGATTGATGAGAGTAGTTTCTTATATATATATATATATATATATATATACTATAGCATAATGAAAAAGACCCCTCGTAACACCAACGATTTAAGCTTCTATCTTCTCAACTCTTCGTAAGCAAGATCCCGTGGCCCTGGGAGGTCGTTTGGATGCGCGTGAAAGCACATTACTGACGGCTCTCCACTTGCAAAAAGGCTTTGTGGGGAAGATTCCTTGTCGGGGTCGAGTATTTAGGATACACAAAGGATCATGGAACTGAGTAACTACGGCTATGAGTAGGGTAGCCATACTGATAGTTTCTTGTAACTCCAGTTAAATACGAAGAACCTTATTTACTTGTCCCATAGCCCTGAAGTAATATAGAGGCCTAAACATTTACCGACACTATATTGGGATATTTTCTTTTATTTTTAGTATACCGGGCCCCAAAACCTTATTCAAATGATTAAGGCCCCTACAGTACTCATCTCCCGAACCCCAAACCCGAAACCCTAAACCCCCGAACCGGGTAGAAAGCAACAGCGGCTTCGATGAGCCAAGCGGCTGCTGAGCCGCAGGCCTTCCGAAAGAAACGGATCCTCGGCCACTCAACGCGTCATGCAGGGGCCTGCAGGGTTAGGGTTTAGGGTTTAGGGTTTAGGGTTCCTGTGAGGGATCTATAAAAGGATCCATAGGGTTCCCTGAAGGGATCCATAAGGTTTAGAGTTTTTCGTAATAGGAGCCACATTATGAGGATACGTTTCCTTTAAAGGTTGCTTTAAGGGTTTCTAGAAGGGGTATTGTAGTGGGGGGGGGTTAGTAGGGGGGGCCTTAATTGTCAGACTAGGGTTTTTGGGGAATTCTGCGGTATAGGATAGTCATATAAACGAATCCTAAAGGAATAATACTGTTCATTATTCAGGCTTCCTTTAATTTAAATCCTCATGGTTCTAGTCTCTAGTTCTTAGGGCTTGAGCAGTGGCGACAGGAACTGGGTGACTGCTGAGGGGTTTTCGGCGACTCAACGTCCACAACCCGTGTCAGCCTTGCTGCACTGAAATTTACCAGGCCAGCTAGGCAGGCCAAACAACACCTGACTCCTGTACTGAAAACCCAACACCGTTGTGTTCTGCTGGCTCGATGGAACCCAGGCGTCAGGTGCAGCACAAACAGCATCCTGGGATGCACGGAGCGTCTTCTAGGCTCTGAAACGACTCGGACGTAAGTGCAGTGCAACCATGATGATGCTGGCACGGGTCTTTGACGCTCCAATTTGAGCCTGTCTCTTTGGAATCTGCATTTCGCATATTGAGGATCAGGAGGAGCAAGGTCACGGATGCAACACTCCCCGAAAATCCCGAAAGAAGTCAGAGGCCCCCATCCGTGGGTCCATGGGCTGTCTCTCAGTATGAGAGCAAAGCCAAAGGCCATTGCCAACGTAGGGCCAGCGACGAACGCCTGGTTCAGCAGCACTCCATCCTCCGAATGCTCGAGCATGGAGAAGGAGCGCAAGCAGGTCACCAGAAACCCTAAACCCCTAAACCCTAAACCCACAACCCCAAAACCCACAACTCCTAAACCCCTAAACCCAAAACCCCTGAACCCCTAAGCCCTAAACCCCAAACGCGTAAACTCAAAACCCCCCACGTTCCTTCTGCTTCGACCAGTCGGCTGCGATTGAGACGGCAGCACCCCTCTATCATGAAGAACTTAGGGCTTGGGGGTTTAGGGGGCTTTTTTGTGAAGAACTTCAACCCTGAATTGAGGTAAGGGCCTTCCTGGTATACCTATATTAGAAAATTTTCTTCAGCTGTTACTGAGTGGGGGCAGTATGCAACACTGAACCTAGACTATTCTGTAGTATATTATTGGAACCTGAGCAAACACAAGTGCTGTCCGTGGGTAAGGATGTATGCATTGATCATGTTTTGTACCATCCTCAAGGGCCGGGACAGACACCCTAAACCCTAAGGTAAAAGCCAGAAAGTTGGAATATGATTATCCTAACCCTTCTATGGTAAATTATAGGGTATCCTACCATGAAACCATATTCCAACTTTCTGGAGTTCCCTGTAAACCCTCAAATTGCTCTCCGGTTCACAAGGGCTGACGACTAGGACTGGGATTGGGAATACCTGGGCGGGCTTCCAAAACCTGACGCCCGGAAGCCGCTGAACCCCAAACCCGGAACCCTGAAACCCTAAACCCTTAGAGGAACCCTAGTAACCCTTACCCCAAACGAGATAGCTAGTTTGAGCCAAATCAATTCAGAAATTAATCCAGAGACTCCAATATCCCTTAGTTAAGGAATATTCCTTAAACCATACTCGGGATCCTACTATAATTTAAGGTATGTTCCCTAGTTAAGGACATTGGAGTCTCTGGCCTAAACCCCAACCTCAGAACCCAAGGTTCCTCCTTGTCTGTCGGTCTGGGGTTGGAGGCAACTAGGGCTCAGGCTTTGTGACTTTCCGATGGTTTAGGGTTTAGGGGTTTTAGGCTGGTTTCCCGATACCGGTATGCAACATCACCTACTCTTGTAGAAAAGCATCGTAGGGCCAATGGCTCGAATCTGAGCGATCGAAGACGAAGAATGCCTGGTCCTCGACGGCTAAACCAGGAAGCTGCAGATCAGGGGTTTCATGGTTTAGGCTTGTAGGGGTTTCCGTCTTTAGGGGTGGTTTAGAGTGCAGGCTTTTGAATCCGGCATCGCTCTGCTCTTTCCGAAAGTTATGGCCTCTGGCCTGTGTTGGAGACGAGAAGGACGTGGCTACCCCGAATATATAGGGGCCTAGATTATTACCAATACTCTTTTGGGACTTCCTTCTTGTAATTTCTAAAATAATGGGCCCCGCAATCCCATTCCAATTATTAAGGCCCCTATGTTAAACCCTAAACCCACAATGCCAAACCCTCTTTGCTAAGGTGGCCCGTACACCTGAAGTCGGGTCCGCGAGGTGAACAATTCATGCGTTGTCTGGCTTACTTAGGGTTTAGGGTTCAGGTCGGGGGTCGGGGGCAAGACAAGGAGCCCGAAACTCAAGACCCAAAACCCTAAACCCAAACCCAGCCCAAAACCACCAAGATAGTTTGATGAGCGAAATCTCTGGGCTTCATATCAATGAACTGAACTGCTCTTTACAAGACGAGCAAATGCAAATAATGTAGGGGCCTTAGTAATCAAAACAAGGGTGTGGGGGTTTCTTATTTTTTTGATAGCAGACTATCTCCCAAAACCCGGCCCTATTCCAATTATTGAGGCCCCTACGTTAGGGCCATCATCCCTGCATTGCTCTTGTTACTGGGTTCGTGTTAGTTGTAAACTTAAGTTCAGTGTGTCAGTGTGTGCGCTCCTAAAGGGATCACTGGGATCAGTGCCGCTACAAATGCAAGCTTGACAGGCCATAGCTCCTGCCAGTACTGGCCACAAACCACCCACTTACCCAAACGGCATCACCCAATACACATCTTCCTCGATACATTAAGAAGCAAAGCAGCAAACCGACCAGTGCCTATGTACCGCCCATCCCCAAAGCCTAAACCCCTTGATGACTTAACTTTAACCTGGCCTTCACAAAGCATAAGCTTTCCAGCCACGGCATGACAGGTGCAGCACAGAACCTCAACGCAACAGCAGAAGGGTGAGAGTCTGAGGCTCTTGGCGCAGTTCAAGCAGCTACTGCTCCGACGGCTACTTCCACCGCTACTCCTCCCCCTACTCTCCGACTCCGTGACTCCACGACTTCGATTGCTACTACTGCTACTACTACTACTACTACTACTAGTACTACTACTACTATTACTACTACTACTACTACTACTACTACTACTACTACTACTACTACTACTACTACTACTACTCCTACGACGACGACGACTACTACCACTACTGCTACTACTACTACTACTCCTCCTCCTACTACTACTGCTACTACTGCTGCTACTGCTACTGCTACTGCTACTGCTACTGCTACTGCTACTGCTACTGCTACTGCTACTGCTACTGCTACTGCTACTACTACTACTACTACTACTACTACTACTACTACTACTCCTACGACGACGACGACTACTACTACTACTGCTGCTACTACTACTACTACTACTCCTACTACTACTCCTCCTCCTACTACTACTACTACTGCTACTGCTACTGCTACTGCTACTGCTACTGCTACTGCTTCTACGACTACGACGACGACTACTACAACTACTCCTACTACTACTACGACGACGACTACTACTGCAATTACTACTACTACTACTACTACTACTACTACTACTACTACTACTACTACTACTACTACTACTACGACTACGACCACGACCACGACCACGACTACGACTACTACTACTACTACTACTACTACTACTACGACTACGACTACGACTACGACTACTACCACTGCTTCTCCTGCTCCTCCTGCAGCAGATGCAGAATTTACCCCTGTTGAGGCATAGGACAGTGCAGCAAACATCGCTTTGACTTGCGGTCACGTGTTAACGCAAATTTGCAACTGCGAATTTCCGGCTTTTAGGGTTTGGGGTTTCTACACTCGAAACCCTCCAACTCTCAACCCGTTGATCTCTGATCCCGAAGCAGCCAAAACCCCAAGCCCCGCAACCCCACACCCGAAAACCCCTAAACCCGGAACCCCAAACCCCCGAGCCGCTAGACCCTACCTACAAGGCCCCTACAGATCCCTCAGAGGAACCATTGCTAGGAGGTGCTTTTGCAGCCTTTGAAAGATATTAGTAGGTAAGATCCTCTTAAGCCCAATAAGAGCAAATATAAAATGTCCCAAAGCCCTACCTAGCTTGCAGGAAGCCTGAAAGGTATCCCGAAACGAAATTCGCAGCAGTACCGAGCTGCAAGGTCGAGTCTGCCCAGATACCGCCGAAGCGCTTTAGCAGTGCCAAACCTAAGACTTTCACAAGGGCTTAGGGTTCAGGGTTAAGGGTTTATGGTGTTTTTTTAGGTTTGCAGAAGTTTTGTTTTGATTGGTTCTATCAGGGTTCTATAACGGTTCCCATAAGATAAACACTAGTTGTATCAAGGTTATAACGGCTTGATGAAGGGATTTATGTGAGCTCCGGCTTTTGGTGCAGCCACAAAGATCCCTGGGGCTTATTTCAAGGCTGATGTAGCATTGCAGCCCAAGGACGGACGAAGTCGGTGCGCTGCGCAACAGGTATCCTCGGCAGGCAACGGCTTGGAATGCGCAGGAAGTAGAGAAATTCGCACAACAGCCGAATTCCGTCAGGGCTTTTGTGAGGATGCAGTGGTGGCAGTGTCTTCCAAAGCAGATCCCAATGACCGAGAAACAATGAGAAACAACACCATCTCACCCGGTGTCATATGTTCCACATACCCGATTCTGTGCATAGCGGGCACAGGCTTCATGTTTCCACATAACCAGGAAATGTCCCATCTGCCGAATACTGAACTCGCCAGGTCGTTAAAATCCCAAGTGCTGTGACTCCCACCTCTCCAAACCCGAAAACAAAGCGGTTCTCATCAGAACTGCGACAACGCTTCCGGTTGGCCAAAATGCATGCAGGAAGTTAACCCAAGCCCTACCCTAAACCCGAAGCTAAGCCCTGAACCGTTGAACTCTAAAACCCTTCAAATTCCAAACGCCCAAACCCTAAAACCCTCACCGCAAAAAATCAAAAAAAAAAACAACCTCAAAACTTCTCTGAAGGGAACCCCTAACGGGTTCCTTTACGGGCTCCTTCAAGGATATTAAAGTAAGGTTCCTGTAAGGATACCCTACAGGCAAAGGCGCCCCTAAATCCCTAAACCTTTCAACCCAAAACGCCTAAACCCCTAAGCCCCCAAACCCATGCATCCCTCAATCCTAAACGCCTAAGCCCCTAAAACCCCTAAATCCCTAAAACCCCTAAATCCCTCAACTCCCTAAACCCTAACCCTGAACTACCACCCCCCCCCCCCCTCAAAAAAAACAAACCCAAATGGGAGTTTCCGAAAACAGGGGACCCTAATATGGTACCCTAAATAGTAAGTTCCTTACTATAAGGACCCTAAAATAAGGTACGCCTAATTTTCGGAAACTCCCAAATCTTCGAGACCGCGCTGCTTGCAGAGCCGGGCCCAGGTATCGATCTCCTCTGGAATGAGCTCCTGCGTACTTAAAGGATCGTGGGACTTAGTAAGTAGGTTATAACTGGGGTTATAAGTCCCAAGTGGGGTTATCCTAATTATAACCTACTTATAACCTTACTTACTAAGTCCCATGAGCCTTCAAGTAGGGCTCTACAGGTTTTCGGGTGGAGGTTCGGGGGACTTAGGGGGAACCTGGGGTTTTGAGCTTGGGGTTTAGGCCAGAGACTCCAATATCCCGTAATTAAGGAACATACCTTAAATCATAGTAGGATCTCTAATATGATTTACGGATTATTCCATGGAATGAGCTCCTGTGTAGGGCTCTAAAGGTTTTAGGCTGCAGAGTTTGAGGTTTAGGGTTTAGGGTTTTAGGGTTTCAGCGTGTAGTGCGAACGGAGCTCGATGCCTAGTCCAATTCGTAGGTGTCGCTATGTGAGCTATGAGCACAATGTCATTGTCAGCCATGTCCATGCAGCAGGAGGAGTGGGAGCAGGAGTATGAGGTGCGAAGAGGAGTGGGAGAGGAAACACGAGGAAAGCAGGAGTGGGAGTAGTAACTGATGTAGGAGGAGCAGGAGTGTTAGCAGTAATTTAGTGTCCCTGATATTCAGAATAGTGTTTTGTGAGAGTACAAAAATCAGAACAAGGAACCACCCCAAATTAGTATCGGCAGCCACTTAGGCCCCATATTACACGACGCTCCGGGCTAGCTGCGACTTTGATTCACTGGATTCAGAGTTCGTCCAGTCCTAAACCCTAAACCGTAAACCCTTAACACTTAACCCTAAACCCTAAGTCCTGCAAGTCGTCCCTGCTGATCTTCCTCACCTCCATGTTGGGATTGACCTGGCCAGGACAACTCCGACCGTATAGTTCCCCAGGGGTTCCTTTAAAGGGGTCTATAGGGGATCTATACTAGGGTTGTATACTCTAGGGGCCTTGGTAACCTTGGTAATTCCAATAGGGTTCTGGGGCCCACTACAGTAAACATATAATATAGGACACCCAAAATAGTATAGGAAACTATTAAGGCCCCCAATATAGTCCCCCAACCTGAAAAAACTCTGCATGCCGGATTGCGTGTGCGTGTACACATAGCAAAACGGGAACTACCCCTGTGAAGCGGAATCTAAGGGGGCTCGGGTACGCCGGCACACAGTAGCTTTGTTTTACACGCTGGGTCTCAAGACGTCTGCGGTCAGGGTACATTCACTCTGGAACTGAAGACATGAGTGGCTTCACAAGCATGTAAATTCAAGAAATACATCTAGGCTGCAGTGGAAGTGACGTCAACACGGCGCCACAGAACTGAGGTGATTTTCACAACCCCAAACCCAGAAACTTAGAAACGCAGAATCCATATTACTTGTGAGTCTGGGAGATGTGAGACCAGAGGGCTTGGGTCCTCCAGGCATCCACCAGACCTCCCCGCCCGGCTTATGCCGATGCAAGTACAGACCGTGGTAGTCGTACTTCGCAGGAGTGGTAACATTTGAGTCGTGGTGGTGGTGGCAGGCGTAGTACTGGGTAGATGTAGTAACTGTACGAATAGAACTAATTACAAGTCGGAGGTCTCCGAAACTCGGCTTGCTAAACTCCGCTGCTATTCTGACCCGGAGCTTGCGGAAGGATGAACACTCCTGCTGCAAGCCTTAAATGAGAGCCTAGTCCTTTCATAGCCGCGCACCCCATCATGAGGAGCCCCCAAATTCCAATACTCGGACCTTGCAATCTCAGCCTTGACAACGGGACACCATTTTGACGAAAAAAAATTCAGAATCCTGAATCAAACCTTGACGTCTTAACCCGAGTCTTCGAAACTTCCGACAGCTAAGCCTGCTCCCAGCTGCTGGCACAGATACGGCAAATCCTTGGCTGTGGTGCAAGGAGACTACCCTTTTGCCTTGCAGCGCTTTTTGGTTGAGCGCAACTTGAAAGTCTAGGGATGCCTGGGCGGATCTACCTAGAGACTCCAATATCCCCTAATTAAGGGATATACCTTAAATCATATTAGGGATCCCACCATAACTTAAGGAATCTTCCTTAATTGAGGGATATTGGAGTCTCTGGGTACGGGAAAGGTATGGAGGGTAAAGTTTCAGGATTCTACTATTTGCTTAAGAACCCCCAAAAAATAAAAAATATATTCCTTATGGGGGTAATATAGGGATTATTATTTTTATTTTTTGGGTGTTTCTTAAGCAAATAGTAGGATTTCCCATGCATCGAAGGGCTTGAGGGCGCAGGGTTGTGCCAAGGAGCAGCGGAGCGTCGTCCCAGCCTTGCTCCCAATATATCCAGACTATTGGAGGCACTGGGCACTCCGCATCCTGCAAGCATAAGGGCCCTTAGGAGGATAGAGGGGAGGCGGGGTAAGGGGCCTTAATACCTACAATAAGGACTTAATATGGCTTATTTGCTAGTTGGTGGTTGGGATAGGATTAAAAATTTACCTTTGTATTCCTTATTGGGTTTAAGTACCCATAAACATGTAAAATGTTACCCAACTATGACCAAGTTTAAGGAAGCACAACAATCCCCTACCCCTCTGATGCCGGCGTCCACGGTTGACTCGATCATCTTCGGCCCTGTCTTCATTTGCAAACCAGAACTAAGATCACCACAGTCACCCACACTCATCACGGAACCACAGAACGAAGAGCACCGGCAACGTTGTTGCCAGCACCACCATCACCATCAGCGGCATCACCATGCATCGTAATCATGACGCCACCACTACCACGACCTGTACCGTCATCAGCATTGTAATGATCTGTCTCTGACATAATGCGTGTTGTCTGTGAGAAACTCGTCAGAGTAGCGGTGCAAGAGTAAATAACAGCGCGAATAAGGCTGCAGGTGTCTTCATGACGGTGCCTGAGTGACTCAGTCAGTGTGAGGCAGAGGAAACAAAGAGAGAGAGAGAGAGAGAGGAAGCGAGAGTAAGAGAGAGAGAGCGAGGGAAAGAGAGAGGTCCTTCGTTCGTTCTTTCGTGCATCTCACAATCATTAAACCCATATGCCAAAACCTAAACCCCATGAGAGTAAACCTTGAAGTGCCTATACAAACCCCCCTGGGCCTGCTGTGGTTGTTAACCCTTTCGCCGGCGTGCTTGCTGGGACCCCATGGGCGGCACTAAGGCCTAGGATTGTTTCCAGGCCGAAGAGCACCCAGCAAGCAGGCGTGGGGGTCACAGTAGGGCGACAGTGCCGGCATTTTGGGTCTCTTCGTGGCTGGAGGCTGACGTGTTTCTTGCGGGAGGGTTCCTGGTTCGAACCTGGTGATCGCGCTTCTACACTTGACATGATCTGATGGAACAGCTACCAGTGGATCCTGTTTCACGCGGGGAGTGAGCGGTTACGCAAGTGTCGATGGTACAGCAGTTCGGCTTGATCGCGGTTCTCGCCTGGAGTGCGCAGTTACGCAAGCGGCTATGAGCTGATGGAAGCTCTGTCGGGATGGATCCCGGTTCGCGCCTGGTGTGCGCGGTTATGCAATCGGCAATGAGCTGATAGCCCTGGCGGGATGGATCCGGTTCGCGCCTGGAGTGCGCGGTTACGCAAGTGACAATGAGCTGATGGAAGCTCTGTCGGGATGGATCCCGATTCGTGCCTGGAGTGCACGGTTACGCGAGCTGCAATGAGCTGATGGAGACTCGAGTCGGGATGGATCCGGTTTGCGCCTGGGGTGCGCGGTTGGCCACCCGGTTCGCCTGCCCTAAGACCCTATGTTTTTTCACGGTTTTCGTTGTGGTTTGATCCTTAAGCCTTCGGGCCGGAGGTGATGTCACTGCTAACTAACAGGCCAGGCCTTCGGGTCTCGGTCGTCCCTCCACTCCACTCCACTCCACTCCACTCCTATACAAACCGTTTCATTCTTGTAGAAACTCGTATTGACACTCCAAAGCCTTAGACCGTAGACCCATCGGATGTGGCCTCCCATACACGACTCGCGTCCTTGCTGTCTTTTCGCTCCGAGAGAGTCGGCATGGTGTGCAGCTCGACCGCAGTATACATCTCCTTGGGAGACGACTCCTGGGACTTACGGTTGATAATATATATATATATATATATATATATATATATATATATATATATATCCGGCATTACGTTAAGGACCCTAGACTATGGGAATTATGGTATATTCCTTATTACCTTTCATGCAGGATGTATATCATCAGCAGTAGGAAGTAGGGTAAGAATTGGGATGTCGGATTTAGGGTATACTCGGGGCTTTAAGTGCCCTGAGTAGGGATATCAAACCTACTTCCGGAGGTAAGGGTTTAGGGTTTAGGGTTTAGGGTTCGAAACCTACTTCCTGAGGTAAGCATGGCTTAATCACACACACCCGCGAACGCATGCACATGTCGCAATACACGATCGGCCTTCTCAAATGTTCACAGAGTCAGGACACGGGCTTGGGGTACAACAAGGGTTTTGGGTGTAGGGTTTAGGGTTTAGGCTCTCCGGTCTTCTGATGCTGTCAGCTTTCTTAGAGCCTGTGAAAGGAAGTTGATGTGGGGGTGTCTGCAAAATGAAGGTCCTTTTTCTGAGGGTGCCACCTTCTTGTGGCTTCCTAAAAACCCAAACCCCCGGGAGGATCTGGAAAGTAGATCCCCTATTTTGGGGCCCTATACTACTGTACTAAGGGTACTTTATAGGAACCTCCATTAACGGATCTATTTTTGGATCCTCCCGGGGGTCTGGGAAGGGACCCTAATTTAGAGAACTGCCCATGCATCGAAAGAGCCGGGTCATCAGCTGCTTCTGCTATCCTCCGCCGCCTTGGCCCGAAACCCTAAAACCTTAGCTGAATCATACCCTAAACCCTAAAGCCCTAAACTCCCGAAGCCCAAAGTCCGAGATCCGCAACACTTTGTACCTTAAACCTTGCTGTCCTTCCGCTCGGACAGCGTCTGCAGGGTGTGCAGCTCCATCCGGGTATAGATCTCCTGTTCTGGCGTATCCTGACGAGTGGGCACATCCTAAGCTCGTACCCTCTTAGGACTCCTAAGGGTTCCTTCAAAGGGTACCCTATAAGGGTTTTTATGGTTATGGGATTCAGGGCTCTACTTAGGACTCCTAAGGGTTCCTTTAAAGGGTACCCTATAAGGGTTTTTATGGTTATGGGATTCAGGGCTCTACTTAGGACTCCTAAGGGTTCCTTTAAAGGGTACCCTATAAAGGGTTTTTTTTAGGGTTACAGGGCCTTAGTGTATTAGTGCTTCGGGTTAGTTCAGGTTTTAGGGCCTAGGGTTAGTTTCGTGCCCTGAAGAGAACCCTTCGCCGACTCTTTAGTTTTAAGTTTTAAGTCAGGTAAGTGCGTATTCACCAATTCGAACCCCCTCTGGGTGGTTGTCAAACTTATGGTCCCTTTTTGGGTCCTTTACGGCACCTATTGTTTGGGGTACCCAAAAGGGACCTTAATTTTGACAACTGCCCAGGAGCGCCACCTGCAGACACTGCAAGTTCACAGAATGCGATTGTTGCAAGGTTTGGAAGCACTAAATCCTAAACCCTGAACCCTAGCCCGAAGAAGCTTCTTGGATCGGAAGTCCTCAGCGTTGCTGAGATATAGCTCCGCCTGCTCTTCATCCGTACACTGATGTGACGGCGCAGGCCTCGTGTGGTTGGTTTAAGGTGGATGCTAGGCGCGAGGCGTCCGACATCCTCTTGCAAGCCGGGTCCCATCTGCGGGCTTCCGAAGACGAAGCCGGAAAGGGTTTCGGTTTAGGGCCGGAAACACATGTGACGAAGCATGCTTAGCAATTCAAAGGCTGCACACTGCACACAGCTCGCAACTGCCCGACAACTCACGCCCCTCAAACAAGGTGCTTCAACAATCACTTTATCTGGGTTGAACTCCTGTACTGCCAAGACCATAAGCACCATGACCACCACTGTCGCTGACACCGTCGCCATGATTCCCATCACCCTCTTCCTCATATCATAGGGACCCTTAGGGGGGGTAAGGAGGAGCGGTGTAGGGGACTATACTTCCTGTATTAGGCCTTATTGTGGGCATCAAGGCCCCCTACCCCCCCTCCCTAAGGATCCCTATGATCATAGGTATCATCGCCATAAGCAGCGCCACCCATTCTCCTATCATCAATCGCTCTCGCCTGCTTAAAGGCTCAAGAGACTTAGGAAGTAACTTATAAGTGAGGTTACAGTTAGGATCAGGCCCGTAAGGGGACTTGCAACACCAATGAAAACCTACTTACTGAGTCCCTTGAACCTTTAAGTGACCCAAATTACTAAACTCCCCCTTGTAGAACCCTTGTATATCCCTTAAAGGCACCCTTTAAGGAAACCTGCTTAAGTCCCTTGAGCCTTTAACCCTAAACCCTCTTGATGCTCCCCAAGGCACACCAGGTGGTTCAAAACATGCGAAAAGCCCGCAAGCGTGGCAGCGATCACGAAGAGGCTGAAAAAATACGAGTCTGGACCAAAGACCTCTGAAAAGGGTTTATTTAGGGTTTAGGGTCCAGGGTTTAGAGGTTTAGGGTTTAGAGTCGGGACCAAAGACCTTTGAAAAGTGTTAAAAAAGGGGCCTCAATAATTGGAATAGGGGTTTTGGGCCTGGTATACTATAGTTATAATAAGGAACCCCCACAATATTATAGGTAATTATTCAGGCCCCTATATCATTTAAAGGGTTCCTTTAAAGGGGTCAATAAGGAGTACTACAGGGTTAAGGGCCTTCAAGGCATAAAGGCTTTAGAGACTTCAGGTTTAGAGTCGGGACCAAAAAGGATGCCCTTTTTGGTTTAAAGTGGCTTATAAGGGAACCTGAACCCTAAAAAAGGGAATAAGGGCCTACTCGAGGTCCCAGCTGAACAGGGTTCAGGGTGTAGGGCTTTTAGGGCATAAAGGCTTTATGGCCGTTTAGGCTTTGGGTTTTCAGGGCACTAAGGCTTTAGGCTTTAGAGTCTGGACGAAAGACCTCCGTCCAGGGTTTTGGGCATTCAGTTTTGGGGCATAAAGCGGTTTAGGGTTTTGGGGTTAGAAAGGGTTCAGGATACATCTGCAAGTGGACGCATAAACCCTAAACCCTAAACCCTAAACCCCTAAACCCTAAACCCTAAAACCCTAAACCCTAAACCCTAAACCCGCATACTCTATCCCAAAATCCTCGAAACTGGAGTCCTCACCCTCAAGTCTGACTCAAGTCTCGAAGCTCTGGAGCCCGAAGACGCGACAAGTTTTTTTAAGTGCAATGACGCGACAACTTTAGGGTCTGGGGTTTAGGGAAATGGGCAGTTCAACTTTTCCTTCACCTCTGATGGGGTTCCACTATCACTATAGTAAGGACTCCCAAGGAACACTATGAACCCTAAACCCTAAACCCTGAAACCCTAAATCCTAAAATTTTGGTTCACGACACCTCACAGCTTAATCAGGATGGAAGGGAAGATCTTTTTCTGGTAGGGTACTCGTTTTAAGGGTTTGGGGGATTAAGGTTTAGGGGTTTAGGGGTTTAGGGGTTTCGGGGTTTCGGGGTTTAGGGGTTTAGGGGATTAAGGTTTAGGGGTTTAGGGTTTAAGGGTTTGGGGTTTTTAATATAGGGGCCTCAATCATTAGAATAGGGGTTCCTCCAAATGGTTCCTTAAAGGGGTCTATAAGGGTGGGGCCTTAATAATTAGTAGTACTGAAATCTTCCCGCCATCAACGGAATGTAGAGGGCTGGCTCCCAAAACTCTCTTTAGGTCCTTCAGTTGGTCACATGTCGGCAAGCTGTTCCACCAATACTGGGCCGCGCTCTGCAATATGAGGGCATGAAGTGGTTGTAGCGTTTCTACTATTTGCATAAGAACCCCCCAAAATAAAAACATGATAACCCCTAAATTATCCCTATAAGGAATATATCTTTTATTTTTTGGGGGTTCTTAAGCAAATAGTAGGTTTCAAGAACGGCTTGTCTTCGCATGTACGTGCCTGTGACTCCAAGACCGCATGGAACATAAGAATAATGTAGGAACCTGATTAAGAAACCTTGGGTCCTTATTAGGGTTCTTAACAGGGGAGTTTCCGAGAATAGGGGACCCTAATATAGTACCCTAAATAGTAGGATCCTGATTATAAGGACCCCAAATATGGTACCCCTAATTTTCGGAAACCACCCTTTGGATCCTACTTTCTTGGGGTTATAGAGCCGAGGTTTCTTAATCAGGTTCCTACATTGGGGTCAGGCCTCCAACACAAAGCTGAAGCCTGAAGGCCTGGTCTAAGTAGCCAGACACACAGAATGTCCTGTGCTTTGTGGTTGCGTGTTACACAGGATGGTACTTTCGTGCAAGCCCATGTTCTCGCTCGCTACCCTTGCAGTTATCATAGTTAATGTTTCTACCACAACTCACGATGCGCATGCTCTTCACGGGCACCATCAACATTACCGTCACCTTCTTCTTCATCGCCACCACCACCGCCACCACCGCCGCCGCCACCACCGCCACCACTACCACCACTATCAAGGACAGCAGTACGGCGAATGTACATCTATGCGTACATCTGAGATGAATGAACCTGCATGATGAATGGAAGTGAAACTGGCTTTTGCTTCCAGTCGCAGGTTCATGCAGCTGCAGCCCCCCAGACATACAAACAAACAAACAAATACACGGAAACAACACGCATACATGCATACATGCATGCCTACGTAAGGTATGTACATACATACACCCATGTATGCCTACCTATGAAGGTATGAACATGTACCCACAGACTCTGACGATTTGTTGCCACCTGCTGTTTTACGTTCGACGAGCTGCCAGAAGAACTCGGCTCATCATAAACCTCGGTGGTCACTGCACCGTGTGTTTTGTGGTACCGGTACTGTCATCTCGCCATCTGCTACTTTTCGACGCTGCGATATTTATAAGACTATCTTTTCGCACGACCTGCAACTTGCAAGACAAATCTATCAATCATCATACGAGTAAACTCTAAAATGCCGAAGCTGGGTGAAGCGAAGCACAAACATTGTAGCTCCTATCACCTGTGATGTCAGTTCCTGCCTAGGTCTTTAAGTTGCCAAGGCAATACTGTTCACGCCCGAAATTTGCTAAGCAACCGCTTTTAGCATTATTCGAACCCCTCTTCCGGACGCCGAGATCCTATACTGGCCTTTGAAGTAACCAAGGAGAAACAAGTAGAGACTTTCGTTTCATAATGCTTGAAAGAGCCCGCACTTGCATCCTAAAAAACCGAAACCCTACACCCCGAGACCGTTTGCAACGAAACCCTCTCAAAACGAACATCTAAGCTCCCAGAAGCAAAAGCCTGGGAAACGCCATGACAAAACTACGAATTCCATGACCACCTGAAATACCTAGGACAAGATCCTAAACCCTAAGCCCCTAACACCCTAAACACCTGAAACCCTAGACCCCTACACCCCAACCCTAACCCTTAAAACCCTAATCCATAAACCCTAAAACCCTAATCCATAAATCTTATAGATCCCTTGTAGGAATCTTGCCGAGGCACGGCATAAAGCCAGCCCCTAGGCTGGCAGCCACGGAAAAAAGTGCCGAATCCATGGATGTGAGGCCCTGCCGATCCTGTGGAGAGTCTCTTCAAGGTTCCTGGGTCTACTTAGAGGATCATGGGACCTAGTAAGTAGGTTATGATTGGGGTTATAAGTCCCCTAAGTGGGGCTATCCTAAATATAACCTACTTATAACCTTACTTACTAAGTCCCATGAGCCTTTAAGTAGGGTTTAGGGTTTACGTAGGGGTTTAGAGGTTCAGGGTTTAGGGAGTCTCTTGAAGGTTCCTTTTGAGTGGTTACTTTTAAGGGTTACTATAGGTGTGTAGGTCTGTAAAGGCTTGCCAGAAGGGTTTTAAGGTTTTGGGATTTGGGACGATTACTAAGGGAGCTATACGCGTTTTTAAAAGAGGGTTTTTGCAACCCAACTACTGATTCTTACATACAGTGACAACGTGTGTTTTTTCAAAGACTACGCTTCTCCTGCTTTCATGAAACGGTTTGTTTCCAGGGAGCTGCTGATCTCTTTTTCGGGGTTTGGGATGTCCTGGTGGCTGGATTTGGTGGGAGTTAGGATTAAGGGGACCCTTGGGGATATAGACCCTCTCAATAAGGCTCCCTTTAAGAGAGCCAGAAGTAGGGTTCAGAAGGGGTACCCTTTAAGGGGTCTCCCTAATAATACTACCTATTTGGGCTTCAGGTCTGGAGCTTTTGGTTCAGGGTTCCGGGGTGTCTGTCTTTTAGTGATCTCATTAGGGCTCTAGTAGCGGTTGTCATGGAGTTTTCGTAGGGGTGTGTAACTTTCGGGCCTTACTAGTAGGGCGTCAAGTTTCTGGGGTTGAGGTTAGGGTTAGGGTTTGGGGTCTCGCAGTTGGGCTTCTAGGACTCAGCTAGCACCTTGTCCTTACAACTGTTGGCCCCAGCACATAATTGTGTCCTAAACCTGATGCCCACGAACAGAATTTTTGAATCGCTTGTGCTCCTGACTGATGCAACCGGCTGTGTGGAATCGTGCTGAAAAGTTGATTGTTGAAACCACGCTCAGGGCAGCCTTTCTTTCACAACAAGGCTGCGACAGTTGTGGCACGGGACTTTTCTAGATTCACATCTTTTCGTGCCCAGGGGGTTCAGCTGCTGCACGTCTGTCCTCAAACTGCTTCTTCGGTAAAACTAATGTCCAGTGATCAGACTAATGATTCTAATGCTTCGACTTGTCGTAACCGTGTGCCTTGTTCGCGGCGATTTAACCCAAGAGAGATGCAAATTTAAAGAACCCCCCCCCAAAACAGTATAGGTAATTATTCAGGCCCCTATAGTACTTGGTCGGTGAAAACAAGGCCCAAGGAAGGCAGCAGCTCGCTCAGCGACGTCCCTCACGCCTGAACCTCTGTCATTGCTGTTTGGACGGTAGTCGACCACACTTTTGCAAAAGACGGCACAACCTTACCATCATCATCATCATCATTTTCATCATCATCATTTTCATAATCTTCATCATCATCATCATCATCATCAACACCATCGTCATCATAATGCTCATGGCTTGCTTCGCCGTACCACGCCTCAGCCAGCTCTTGTCCTGCAGCTACCTCATGCCGAAAGCAGTCCTTTACCATTCTGATTTGTACATTTACGTGATGCTGATAGGTCCGGAATGTGTGCAGTTGATTTCACACTGTAAGCCCTAACCCCGAAGCTCGATAACCCTGAACCAGTGCGTTACCAACCTTAAGCCCTAAACCGTAAATTATCCCTAAACCCGGAAAATCACCCAAAGCCCTGAACCAGTCCTTCGCCAACCCTAAACCCTTAACCGTACATACTCCCCAGAGGCTCCAAGATCCCTGAATTCAGGAATATACCCTAAGGGTTCCTTAAGGGGCTCCTTTAAGGGATCTATAAGAGCTTTGTAAGGGAATCAAGGAATAGACCTTAAATTACAGTAGCCCTAATATGATTTAAGGTCTATTCCTGGATGAAGGGATATTGGAGTCCCTGGGTCCCTACAAGCCAGAGGAGCCCCAGAGCCAGGTTATAAGTAGGATAACCCCCACTTAGGGGACTTATAACCCCAATTCTAACCTACTTACTAAGTCCCATAATCCTCCAAGTAGGGTTCCCTTTAAGGGGTTCCTTTAAGGGATCCTATAAGGGATCTATAGGGGTTCCTTCAAGGGATCCTTTAAGGGATCTAGCCAGTCCTTTACCATGGAGATCGTCATGGCGTAGGAAGGCCCTGCACCCAGCGCAACACCCCCGACTGCGAGGACCACGGCCGGTAGCCTGGGCCAGTAGTTGTTGTTTAGGGTTTAGGGGTTCAGGGTTTTGGGGTTTGGCGTTCGGGGGTTAGGGTCTGGGAGTCTTTTCTTGTCACTTCTGGGCTTCTCACAAACAGCGCGCTTCTTGGAATCTTCTTCACCATTGCTACTGACTGAAAGTTTTCGCACCGAGTGGCACCAACGATAAGAACCATAAACACTCAAATGGGTGGTTGTCAAAATTTTGGGTACCCTACATGTTAGGTGCAGTATTATGATAGGGATCCAAAAAAGGACCCTAATTTTGACAGCCGCCCAAATGCATCGTCGGAAGTGGGAGCTCAGGGATTCGCGCTGGGCAGCGCAATGCTTTCCCCTCGGGGGGATCCTGAAGTTGTCCATGCATTTTTAGCTGAGCGTTTAAGGTTTGAGGGTTAAGATGTTTAGGGTTTAAGGCTTACTGCCTCACCTTTGGAAGCCATTTTGCTGCAGAGATAAGGGCAAAAAGAGCTTGGGGTTCAGAGGCGCAAGAGCCAGGATGCGGCCTGCAGATGTCTTCATTTTGATCTCGCAAAATGCTGAAATGAGCCCCCAGCCCAAAACCCTCAGAGCCGACGGTGAGGACCTTAATGTTGAGCATGTTCGCCCTCAGCCCCAAGTTACCCACCTTTTTAAGGACTGATAGAAAGAAATCATATTAGGGAGCCCTAAAAAGGCAGGTTCCTTAGGGTCCAGCAACCCTAAACCCCCAAACCCTAAACCCTAAACCCCTAAACCCTAAACCCCTAAACCCTTAAAACCCTAAACGGAACCCTAAACCCCCTTACTAGGGAGCCCCAAAGACCCCGGAAGCTGGATCTGCGATCGAGGCGCCAGTCTGGGAAAAGCACCGCGGGGATGCAGCAGACGGCAGATATGGCAGATCCCACGGATACCTTACTTGAAGGCTCATGGGACTTAGTAAGTCAGGTTATAAGTAGGTTACAATTAAGATAACACCAGTTTTGGGGTTTAGGGTTTTGGTTTTAGGGTTCAGGCCGACACCCCGAACTCTAATCCCCGAAACCCAATACGCTTGGACCGGCAAGCTGCAACCGTCGATGGAGATGGTTTCCAAAAAGCCCCGTTTACAACAACCCCATAGATCAATGTACGAACCGCGCGAAACCCTGTAAAAACCTGTTAAAAAAGACACCCCAAACCCAAAACCCCGAAAACCCTGTAAAACCCCTAAACCCTGCAACAAGCCGTCCGGCTGCAACCGTCGATGGCTTTGGCTTCCACACGCGGCAGATGTAGGGAGCGAGAGCAAGACGGCTCACCTTGCGCTGCGGCCGCGGAGGTTGCTGTCTTTTAGGGTTTACTTAAAGGATCATGGGACTTAGTAAGTAGGTTATAATTGGGGTTAGAAGTCCCCTAAGTGGGGTTATCCTACTTATAACCTACTTATAATCTTACTTACTAAGTCTCATGAGCCTTTAAGTAGGGTTTAGGGGTTTAGGGGTTTAGGGTTAAAATCTGTAGGTTTTGTCGGTGTATAGGGTTTAGGGCGCCGGGTCGCATGCCGAGTAGGGGCTAAGTCTTGGCTGAGACCTGAATGACTGTCGGGAGGACTTATGTCTTTCGGAGTGTGCTCGCCAGGCAGATGACTCCCACTATCCAAGGGTAAAAGGAGGGACCCTTAATAAGGACCCCTAGGTATATACCCTTAAATAGCTATTCTATACCCATTATATAGCCCAAACTTAGTTGCTGAGTTCCTGAGCCCTAAAAAAGCGTACACCTTAAGTTTTATAGTGGGTGATCTTGTCCACAAAAGTGTAAAGTAGAGCCCCCCCCCATTTTTGTTCTTATGCGCCATTCTCCTCTCCAGGATATGTCAAAAGAGCCGGAGCCCTGCCCTCGCAATGCGCAGCATCGCTAGATAAAAAGAGCGCCTAGACCAAAGGAGGCGTCGTTAGCCCATGTAGGAACTTGAGTAAGAATTTCATGGTTGTCAATAGACTACAATATACTGACGCTCGGTGAACTCAGGCATTGAAAACTGGGTTCCAACACTCGACCCCCACTTTCTCCGGGTTCCCGGCCGCGAAGAGCATCCAAAAGATCATGTTGGTCTGGGTCGCAGTGGATGGCGCGAACCTGCGTTGCTGCTGGGCACTGCAAAGAAACAAACTTCGCAGCTTTGGGCTACCTTGTGCGAGGTTCAGATTTCAGCAGAGATTTTCCCCCACATCTGGAAGAGGCCGTTTCACTGAGAACAGAACAGCAGGAGTCGCTTTTTGTTTTTTGCGGGATGCATTTTGGGAAGCTCGATGTTCCACACTCCGGACATAGGAGCCTTAACTCATAATCTAAACAATCTGAACCTACTACTGTAGTGATACTGTACTTCGGCTACAGATAGGACCGAGAAGTTTTACCGAGGCCCGTGCAGCAACAGAAACCAAAAGCCACAATTTCCGAACAATGCCGTCAAAGCCCATAACCCTGGTCTTTCGGTGCGCCACCCATTCTGGGACATGGTGGTGATGAGCCAGGTGCCACAGGTGACCTTCAGGGGTGCCTTATGGCCTCTGGGATGGATTGTACTCAAGTTTGCTGGCTTACCTGTAGCCGAAAAGACCTACCTTTTTAAGGAACTATATGGGTGGTTGTCAAAATTATAGTCCTTTTTGGGATACCCGAAAAAACCCAAAAGTGACCCTAGTTAGGGTTTAGGATTTTAGGGTTTTAGGGTTTTAAGGCTTTAGGGTTTAGGGGTTTAGGGTTTTAGGGGTTTAAGGGTTTAGGGTAGCTAGTTTGATTCTGAAACTTACGGTTTGGGGTGTATTTCGTTTTTTAAAAATTGGGAGTTTCCGAAAATGGGGGGACCCTTAGTTGGTACCCTAAATAATAGGATCCTTATTATAAGGACTCCCAAATAAGGTACCCCTATTTTCGGAGATTCCCAAATTGTCTTTTCTGGGGTGTAGGCAGGCTGCAGTCCAGCATGTTCAGGAGCCTCGGAATTTGGCCTTACCTGTAGCCGGAAAGACCTACCTTTTTAGGGTTTCTATATATATATATATATATATATATAGTTCGTAGAAAGACCTACCTTTTTAGGGTTCCCTTTTATGGGTTTCTGTATATATAGTGGGGCTTGCAACAAGGGAAGAGCTCACAGCTACAAGCGACAACGCCCAGACGAATCACAACCCTAAACCCTAAAGCCTAAACCATCAATCCTAAACCCTAAACCCAAAGCCCTAGACCCTACACCCCTACGCCCCTAAACCTTAAGCTCTAAACCCCTAAACCCCAAGCCCTAAAGCCGAAAACCATAAATCCTAAGCCCTACACCCCTAAACCCTAAGGCCTAAACTCTAACCCCCAAACTCTAACCTCTAAACCAGAACCCCTAAGCCCTAAACCACCTCCACTCCGACGGCCATCACGGCCAGAACATTGCAGGCCATGGTGAAGCGCCTTTCCGTCTCATAGAGTCTCCAAAGGTATATACCCTAAGGGTTCCTCAAAGGGCTCCTTTAAGGGATCTATAAGAGCTTTAAAAGGGAATCAAGGAATATACCTTGAATTAGAGTAGGATCGCTAATATGCTTTAAGGAATATTCCTTGACTAAGGGATAGTGGAGTCTCTGGGTCCCGTAAGGGTTACGTAAGGTTGGGTTTGGGGTTCGGGGTTGAGGCCTTTGGGTTTTAGGGAGTTGAGTTTGGGGCTGTGGATGGCTTTGGTTTAGAAACTCAGATTCGGGTTTCATACTGGGGCTTCAGGGGTTTAGGGTTTCGTGGTTTAGGGTTTCGGGGTTTAGGGCTCGGGGTTTAGTCGAGGCTTATGAGTGAACGTAGACCCCTAATTCATGACGCTCAATAAGGATGATAATGCGGATCCGAACATCACGTTCGTTATCTTCGTCAAAGGTCTACAGCAGGGATGGCTGCACCTGCCTTAGGATTTGGGCCTATTAGGATGGGGCCTCTTTTGATTCTGCAGGGTGCGAGGCCTGGGGCAGAGTCACTCTCTTCAGGGTTCAGAACCTCTTGAAACTAGGCAAACACACATTTGGGCGAGCTTCGGAACTGTCCACAGCGTCCGCGAAGTGCAGAAACTCGATTTGTAGCAAGGTTTGAAGCTACTTGCTGCAGCTGGTTCGAGGCTACGAACTTTTCGGCTTTGCGTTGTAGGCAAGCCCGTGGGAACTCTCATGTCTGTCCTCTCTAAACCCTTGGCCTGGATTCCAAAACCCTAAGCTCCGAACCCTGTTCAACAACCCTAAACCCTGAACTGAACCTTAAACCCAAAACCCAAAACCGAAAAAATCCCAAACTCCCATCCCAAAACCCTAAACCCTGAACCGAACCTAAAAACCTAAACCCTAAACCCTAAACCCAAAACCCAAAACCCTAAACCAAAAGCCGCCATCCAAGCGGCAACTCCTTCGAAGCACCCGTGGATGAAGGGATGGCCAAGGGCTTTTCGTCAAGGCGGGGCAAGGCGCAGAAGATGAGCCTTGGTAGGTGGGTTTAGGGTTTAGGGTTTAGGGTTTAGCGTTTAGGGTTTTGGGGTTTAGGGTTTAGGGTTAGGGTTTGGGGTTTAGGGTTTAGGGTTTTGGTACGGGGTTTCTTTAATAAATTCTCCGATCAGGGCTCCTTTAAAGAGTTTGGGCTGTTCCTTTAATAAAGGCTCCGATCAGGGCTCCTTTAAAGGGTTTGGGCTCCTTTGAGGGTTCCTGTCAGTTGGCAGTTGGGGATTTGGGGCTTTGAGGTTTCAGGCTTAGGGTCTTAGGTTTCAGGCTTAGGGTCTTACGTTTCAGGCTTAGGGTCTTAGGGTGCTCTCGGTTAATGGCTTCACGGTTTCAGGGACTAGAGTTGAGCTCCTTTTTGCAAATGTTGGAAGGCCTTCATCGGCTGAAAGGGTCTTAGGTTTTGGGGTTTAGGGATCAGGACTGAGGGTCGAAGCTTTCAGGTAGATTGAGAGTTTACAGTTTATCTCGGTCCTTACCCTGGGCATCAAAATAGCCCAAAAGCCTTATATAACATGGTCTTTGGGCCCAAAAGCCTTAACATATGAGTCCTTAGATGCCTAGGGTTAAGGCTCGGATAGAGAGGTCAAGGTTTAGGGCAGGGGTTCGGACTCTTCAACACTTTCTAGAAGAACTGGCCAGGCAAAGCCCGTGCCAAGGGAAGCCCAAACCCAGTTTCTACAAAGGCACTGTAAGTGTTGTAAAATGTATGTCTTCTTGTAGTAGCATTAATGTTCTGGGCACCTGACCGCACTTGGAGGGTCGGGGACTTCGTAAGAAGTTACCTTATAGACTCAGAAGAATCATAACACCAATTGGGACCCTTTTAGGGTACTTATAACTCTACTTATTAAGTCCCCGGATTTAAGAAGCCGCCGAGGCACCCAGCACCCGAAGTCAAACCCCCGGCTGCGAAGAACATCATCTGTGTGCCGTAGCTTTGCCGGAATGCCTGGACCAAGTAGGGCATATGGAACCCTAAACCCTAAACCCTAAATCCTAAACCCTAAACCCTAAACCGATGGGGTTCATAGGGTTCGGGTTAGGCTTAGGGTTTGGGGTGGCTTGGGGTTCATCGTAGCCCCACACGCAGTTGCTGAGTTCCTTAGCCCGAGAATGTGTACACGCTCAGTTCAATAGGGTTTAGGGTTTAGGGTTTAGAGTTTAGGGTTTAGGGTTTAGGGTTATCCCTGCAAAAGTGTACAGTAGCAGTTAAGGAATGTTAAAATGTGGGGTTCTAGGCAAGACTACTCTCGCGAGTATCGGGATTCAGGTCTACGAGTTTCAAGTTTAGGGGTTGGGTGTTGGATTCGCGGTGTTCGCAGCATAGGGTTTGCGTAAGGGTTTGAAGGGTTGAGGAATATCTGCGAGCGGCTTGAAGTCGGATTTGGGGTGCCGAGAAACTCTTAGAAAGACATGTTCGTGTAAAGTGGTCGCGTGCATCAAGACGCCACGGCAAATCAAGTCTCTCTATTTCCCAGCATCTACAACTCAAGCTCAAGCGCTACCTATGATAATTGCCTGGCGTGGCAATGCCGCGAATAGAAGGGAAGTTCAATAGAAGTCCCAAGGCAGGCAAAGTTGGACCGTTCAAGCAGCAACCCGGTAGCTGCTGACTGACTCGAATCTTCTGAAATCTGATTGCTACTGTCATGTGCGAGCATCGTGGAGGGTGCTGGGCGCTAGAAGATATGGCGCTACGCAGCTTGTATACATTCCAGCCAGTGTTCAAGCTGAAACAAGACTCTTTGTGTGTGACCCTGAAAGAAGAAGGGTGTTAGTCGGTCATCTCGGACGTACACACTATTTGCAGGCACCTCGCTCAGGTGACTTCTTCCTAGTGGAAACCTCTGAGCTTCCAGTGTTGTCATCAGCAGTTACCCAGACCCCCGGAAGGATCCAAGAAGTAGATCCCTTAATGGGGGGTTCAGGTCTTCGAGGCTTTACCTATCCCAGAAGGCTTCAGATGCATCATCCTGTGTGCCGCGAATTCGCTCTAGAACTGAGGAAAGCGAAGGGCTTAGGGTCTAGGGTACCTGCTCCCTACCTGTATGGCCAGCATTGGAAGTCGGATGCTCGTTTCAAGTCGCTCATGCTTTTATGTCACTGGCCCAAAACCCAAGAAAATCAAAATTGAAACTTTCAGATTCGACTACCTTATAAGAACCCCAAAAACTTAAAAGTTAAGTTTACAGCCAATAAGTTATAGTCGTACAAAACAGTAGGGAACTCTAGTGCAGAATGGGAAGGCAGGTCTCACACTGCCTAGCAATGGCGACTGAAAACCCTCGACCGCCGCGAACCTGTTCCAGCAGCAGCATGGCTACACAGCCAGCAGCAAATCCGCCTCCGAATGGTTCGGGGTTCGTCGTCTGTGGAGCGAACTGTTTGGAACATACAGCAACAGGTTCCAGCATACTTGGTCAAGGACTCTTTGCAAGAGTGTTGCAGCATTGAACATATCTGTAGTAAACCTCGAAATCGCATCACACGGAAAAGCTGCACACTGCTCCTGGTCAACAGGGTAAGGCGGATGGGGCGTATGCTTGTGAGACTGATCCGCAATCTTCGTCTGTGTTACATGCATATGCTGTTGGTATTGCTAAGGGCATCCCCGATGCATGTCCTCGAAAAGCACAGCGCGCTCGAAAAGATCCCCCATATGATCTTAACGTCCAGTGACTTGGCGTATCCTGTTACTCTGGCACATGTCTAGTCTCCCAACAACTCTGCCCGTCATATCGCACATGGTGCAAGTACAAACTACAAACGTAAACCTGGTTGTGTTGAAGTCTCCCAGTGGTCCAATGGAAGACCCTACACGCGTGTGAAAATTGGCGAACAAATCAACCTCCAATCCCGGCTCCTTCATCCATGCAGCCGTACAAAGTGAGCAGCCCCTCGTTTCTTTGCCTTCATAGTCTCCAGCAAGGTTTTGGTGTATACTTGTTTGTATACTCAGGAACCCTAAACACAGTACTACTCGTTATTCCGACCCCTATACTACACCGAATCCGCAATTCCAAGATCTAGAGACTCCAATATCCCTTAAGTAAGGAATATACCTTAAAGCATATGAGGGATCCTATCATAATTTAAGGAATATTCCTTAATTAAGGGCTATCGGAGTCTCTGGGGATCACCATCTCGGCCTTGGCTGAACGACTGCGCAGCAGAGGCGTCCTCGCTGGCCTCATAGAGGTCGGAGACGAGCAAGTTCGTCATCTGCCCAATCCTTCGGTTGATGATATAAATCCTAGGGTTCCTTTAAAGGGATCTATAAGGGTACCTTTAAGGGGCTCCTTTAAGGGATCTATAGGGTTTAGGGTTTAGGGTGATGATATAAATCCTGCATTACCTTCAGGACCCTAAACTATGGGAATTATGATATATTCCTTATTATGGGCAATGCAGGATTTATATCATCAGTCCTTGCAGCGGTTCCCAGAGACCCGAACCTCTGGCATGATTAAAAAAAGGGCCCACGCACTACGGTTGAACCTTAGTTTAGGGGCCTTAGTACTTAGAATAAGGCTTTGGGGCCCAATATTCTCTAATGATAACAAGGAACCCCCAAAATACGGCTGATGCCCAAAATCCTGCATGACTTTGAACATCCCCACGGCTCCCCTGCTACCCCTAATTTTAATATTGCACTGACGCAGGGGTTGAAACCAAGGCCTGTGCGAATGCCCCACATCCTGCATGACCCCATGGCGATGCAACGTTGAAACTCAGGGGTTGCGGCGAAATGGACAGTACGAAGCGAGATGAATGCAATGATCTAGGTTATTCAGGATTTTGGGCATCAACAGTATTACTACTTGATCCCAGAGCTGGACCCAAAGCCTGCGTATGTGCAGACACAAAAAATTATTATTTGCAGAGAACCTGAAGGGCCAAACTCAAAGTTCAAACGAGATGAACCATTTCTCCATGAACCAAAGACTAACGGTTTAGGGTTTAGGGTTTTCTCCATAAACCAAAGACTACACTACTGCAAAGGTCTGTGGTGGTTGTGGTGGTGGTGCTCGTATCTTCAGTAATACATACGCGGACAAGCAAGCAAACAAATACACGCAAATAGCAAACATGCAACTGTAATTGGCTATATCCGTGCCTGATCTTTTCTACATATAGAAAGGAGGGTCTAAAGGCAGTCAAGTATCCAAGGCCTTGGAAGGACCTGGAATGCGAAAGCGGCAACCAACGTGTAGATGGAGGCGCTGACCTTACTTAAAGGCTCATGAGACTTAGTAAGTAAGGTTATAAGTAGGTTATAATTAGGGTAACCCCACTTAGGGGACTTATAACCCCAATTATATATAACCTACTTACTAAGTCCCATGATCCTCTAAGTAACCTAAACTCCCCCTTATAGAACCCTTATAGATCCCTTAAAGGAGCCCTTTAAAGGAACCCTAGGGTTTCTTACTAAGTCCCATGATTTTTATGTATGCAGACACCCCCTAAAGCCTCGATGCTACACCGAAAAGACCTCCAGCGACACAGTGAGCCCTAAACTCCTGAACCCTAAACCCTATAGACCCTGGAAGCCCTATACACCCCAAAGGCCTATATTATACTATATTATACTCTATTATACTCTATTATACTCTATTATACTCATTATACTCTATTATACTATATTGTAATGTATTTTACTATCGTATAGAATATTATACTATTTTATACTATATCATACTACTATGTTACACTATATTCCATAACCCAACAGCACTGAGTATTTAAGGTCGATGCAGAAGAGTCTTGACAGCAATAAGGAGACCCCAGAGCACCTGAACATACCTGATGGAAAGGATATGCCAGCAACAGAGTAGCTCTCAATCCTTCATCTGTGTGTGCTATCGGGCCGTGCGCCTTCGAGTGTCTTTCCAGGCATCTGCGAGGGTGTTTAGGGTTTAGGGGTTCGGGTATGGAAGACACCACATCGTGAACCATCTTTTTCTCAAAGGCATACAAGCGAAACGAGGCTCCGCAACGGCAGAACAATCAAACAAGCAAACACTACCCAGCAACACGCTGTCCAAGTATTCCAGTTTTGCACTGCGCAAACCTAGAGGCCCCGAATGACCCGAAAGGTCGTGCGTCTAGACAGCAATTTTGGATTTGGCGGTTTTGTTTCTCTGTTGTGAAGTTGCACTGGGAAGTTGGGATTGATTAAGGTCGCAAGGTAGAAAGTTGATTTGCAACCTGCGTCGCAGCTTGCTAGATGTCAGCTCGTTAACACAAACACCTCGCAGCTCCATTGGAGTCAAGTGGCAGATGGTAGGATTGCGAAAAAGCCGCCAAGCCAGAGCATCAGCAAACATAGCAGTTCCTCTGCAGCAGGCACCTAAGACCCCTAAGAACTACAACCCTAGACCCTACACGGTTTAAGGTTTAGGGTTTAGGGTCTTCAAACTCTGAAACTCTAGACCCTAAAATCCTACGCCCATAACCCCTATCCGAAACCTCTTCAAGCGCGGCCTGGAGTCAATGCAGGAGCCAACAGAAACGCACCCGCAAATGAGCATTTGAAGGCAATCCCCCCTCTAAAGGAGGACATCTGCGGGGTATACTATCCTGTAACTATTAAAAGGAACCCTTAAGGGAAAAGAATTGATAATTATAACGGCTTCTATACTCGGCCTGGATAGTTTGAATATCGGCTTTCTGGCCCTTGGCTAGGTCCTACATTTCATTACCGGAGCTACTTACCCAGGGAATGCAAGGGCCGTAACAGGAAGAATGGAGCTGTTCGAGATATGGTACTATAGTTAAACATACAGAGTTTGCCACCCCTATGTTCGACCCTAAACCCGAAACCCTACTAGAATTCGGCGGAGGCAATACACAACACATCGCAGGTTTGGATCGAGGGTCTAGTGCTCACGATCTCTTCTGGGCTTCGGGGCTTCGGCATTAGGGTTAACGATTTAGGAGACAATGCGGTGTATCTCAGGTTTCGGATTGCTGAGTTTCCCAAATCAGCTATGGTGGCATTGCTGATGGACAAGATCATGCAGTATCCAGAACATACCGCAACTCCGTAGTTTAGTTGACGTCTGGACAGGGTTTGGCGTTGAGGTTTTGAGTGTGAGTTCAAGGTTTCGAGCTTCGGGCAGTATCGAGTCTTGGCTCGAGGCTACAGAATCCCGTGCTGTAGGGTTTGGGGTATGTGGGAAACCAACATGTCTGCACACCCTTGATGCTGCAATCATGATTGAAGAATTGTCCAAAGGAACTTCGACGTACTTAGACGATTAGGTTTACAGGCGTGATCTATAGAGCTCACTTCAAGCTTCTGAAAGGATACAGACACGTACTTGACGTAAATACAATGCCTTGCTTCTTTTGGCATCTTGAGAGAAGCACGTAGTGTAGACATTATGGTCTGACCCACTGTAATGGGAACCGGAAGGAACGATAGCGGTAATTACGTAATCAGGCTCAGGCCTCTGTTTCACCCGCAGCCTACCATTAAGCACGAAGCATCTGCTTGCACCAAGCAGCATGGTGGTATGCACGAGGGACTTTTCCCATAAGACCGGACGCAAGGCCTGTTTGACAGTAGGCTTTTGAGTCTGCTTTCGGTTTTGAGGGTCGTGCTCATGCTTTCAGGAGGGTTCGTGCAAGCGCCCAAGAAGGAATGCGACAGTAATGTACAGTTATTGGAGTCAGGCCCTAAACCCAAAACCCTAAACCGTCAACATCAGCGTCTCACTCCGTCAGGTGCCGAACGTCTGAAAGAGGGAGAGAAGGAGTCGGGACTAAAGCACCTCTGTTAGGGTTTAGGACTTAGGGGCAATCTGATCAAGAAGACTATCCCTAAACCCTGAACTGAAGAGGAAAAAGCTGATGATGGCAAGTGGACTCGCATGCTCTTCACGATGATGGCATGCACATGTGTGCGGATAACTGTATACCTTTAACCACACACACTTAAACTAAACCCTAAAAAGCATGAAGCCGTAAACTTGCTCTTGTGAAACCCGAACCCGCGAAGCCCTTCTGCCCTAAACCGTCTTGCTTCGGACCCAAACCACTACAAAACAAGTACAAACCCCCAAAAAGCCTTGCAGACCCCTATACCTTGTAGAACCCCTCCAAGAGCCCGTGTAATTTGCAGAACTCGAGACCCTCAACTTCATTGAGCCCGAAAGTTATAGAACCGAAAGAAACCCGAGCCATCCCCCACGGGAACAAAACCCTCACACAACCCCTACTAGATCCTAAACTCCTTGTTTAAAGGCACCACAGGTATCGAAATACAACAGAACTCTTGTAGAGCCCTTTACAGAACCCTAGAACGACCCTAAACTCCAAAACCTTTGTGAAGGCCTTCGGCGATAAAACAATGTAAACAAAAAGCAATAGAAATTTATACAACCCCGCTCCCTAAACCCCTGAACCCTACACCCCCTTTGAAGACCCTTCAAATCCTGAACCCCTAAATCCTAAATCCTAAACCCTAGACGGCCTGAGCCGATACACATAAACCCTAAACCCTAAACGCTAAACCCTAAACACTGAACCCTAAGCCCTAAACCCGAGAGGGCCTGAGCCGATACACATAATGGATTGGGCAGCAGGGAGCCAGCCCAAGGTCTCCTTTTTGGGAAGCTGGGGAAAGGGAAGGCTTCCCAGAGACTCCAAAATCCCTGAATTAAGGAATATTATGGCTTAGGGTTTAGGCCTTAGGGTTTGCCGTAGAGTGGCGCATAAGCGGAAGTATCTCGCGCGTCGTCTTCTGACGATTGGCTGTTGGAGCCTGATTGTGGATGGCTCTTTCTTTTAACTCTCCCACCCCACGCCGTCAAAGGCGGCCAAACCACCCAAACCTATTCCCTTTAGGGTTTAGTTTCTAAACTCATTCTATGGTTTTGTTTATTTCTTCAACCGCAGGGTTTAATTAAAGCAGCGTTTGCCTTTCGGCGTGCCGCGTAGGCCTCGGCCATGAACGCCGCCGCGGTGGCTGCATCTGGTTTGGTGCGCTTGAACTTGTCAAGTGCTGCTTGAATGTATTTGTCCGAAGGGACCTGGCCGGAGCAGCCGCCCAGAGCATCCGCTTTTACCACAGCGTCCAAGGCATGCAGGGCCCCAGCGTAGAGTTAGGCGCCCTGTGCCACCAAGACAGGCAGCTCGGCATAGAGGATTTTCCTGTTGCTTTGGAAGAAATCGAAAACCTCGCGAAAGGCCTGGTGCCGCGACTTGGGGTCGGCCTTCGCCTTCTCGAAGTCCAAGGTGCTCAGATGGTCCAGGATTCTTTTGCCGTCAGCGCTGTGGAAGAGGTCGACGAGCTTTGTCTCTGCCGCGCAGCTTTGTCGTCCCCGAGGTGCGTTCCCAGAGCATGCACGGATGTGGACATCATAGAAAATCCGTAAGCGGGACGGCGGGTCATCTCGGAGGTCTCGGCATTGAACACGGAACGAAGAGATTGCTTGGAAACGGGGTCACAATCATTGTCCTCCGAATAGAGAACAGAGCCACCACCGGCCGTGTGTAGGGCCGCAAGAACTTCTTCACCATGACGTCTCGGCCCAGCAATCGCCGTTGACCGCCCCGCTCTTCCGCTTCTGGCAGTTTCGTCCAAGGCGAAGCCCAATCCTTGCATCCCTTGCTGCGAGTCAGCGGCGCTTCATAGCCCCAGCCGCCGCCCTTGCCTTTAACGGCACCCCAAGCGCCGCTGCCCCAGCCGCCATTCTTGCCTTTGGCGAAGTTGCCCAGTTGCCCCGGCCGCCGAACATGGCGACGAAGCAAGAATTACAAAGGACAGAAGCTGCTACAAAAACACTTCGTGCGAGCTCGAGCCGATATGGAAGCAGAGATGGAGAAGGTTTCCTAGCAAACCAAACGGGCATCTGGAAGGTGTTGCGGCTGTACGAGAAACAGCGAGGACAGAAGGCTGACGACATGCGTGCGCACTTTTCGCACGGTCTTTGCGATTGGAGACCTATTTTTTGGTGCTTCTTAAGCAAATAGTAGAGAAGGGATACTAGAAGGCTCTCCATAAGGGCGCGATGCCTTAGAAGGGGATCTATAAGGGTTCTATAAGGGTGCTTTGGGATATTTCAAGGCTCAGTAAGTAGGGTTTGGGGGTTCCGTTTAAAGGGTGCCATGGGTTTCTATAGTAGGGTTTCCTTTAAGCGTTTAGGGTTTGGATTTCGGGCTTTTTGTTTAGGTTTTCGGACTAGGGTTTCAGGGTTAAGCGGTTTGGGGTTGCAGGGTTTAGAGTTTAGGGTGTAGGGTTCAGGGTTTCGTGGTTTACGGTTCAGGGGGGTGAGGTGGGGAGTTCGAGTTTAGGGTTGCGGTTGTTGTGTTTAGGTCTGGCTCGAAGCCCGTCAACAAAGCCCCTGAAACTCCTCGGCCTTGCAAAGCAGCTCTGCTAGAAACTAGAGTAGGCCCTTGTTCCCTTTTCAAGGGTTCAGGTTCCCTTATAAGCCCTAAAAAACCTCCAAAAGGTCTAGTCTCTTAGATCCCTAAACCCAACCCTCAACCTTGAATCCTAAAGCCTAGGCCCTAAGCTTAAACACTCCATAACGCATCCAGGAACCCTGAAAGGAACCCAGGGACTCCAATACCCCTTAATTCAAGGTGCGCACGAGGAATATTCCTCAAATGCTATTAGGGGTCCTACTATATCTGAAGGTATGTTCCTTAATTAGGTGATTTAGAGTCCCCTAAAGCCTGAACCCTATAGATTCCTTAAAGGAACCCTTGAAGGAACCCGTAGGTATATACCCTAAACCCCGCTCGAACCGGGCGTTGTGCCGCAGGCACGGCCTTAGGAGCTCCACGCAAATGCTGTTTTTACTGGCCGGCGCGGCACTTTCGCAGTGTTGCAAGAAGAGAAACGTCCTGAAGTGCAGGTGGCTACTTTTTCAAAAATAGCCACCTCGGCTTTACGCCCTTTTCAAAGCTTCAAAGAGCCCTGAAGTCGATTTGCTTGGCCAACGTGGGACTTCGTGCATGTCGGAGGATTTCGGTGATGTGTTCTTGGGAGGCTGATTCTAGCAGAATTTCGGTTCTATGAATTGGTGTGCGTTTTTGTGACGTTCAAAGTATCGACCAAGCCTCCGTGTCGTGCAGCTGCTCATAAAGGATCAGCACCAAGCCTATCCAAATGATCAGCTTTAAAGGTGCGAATAGCTCGCAAAACACTATTGACTCCGGGGATGCTCTGCGCGCATGGATGGGGTCTGATCTGGACGTTATCATGGTTGGCACATGTATGCTCTGCAGGCATGGATGGAGTCTGATCTGGACGTTATCATGGTTGCCTCCATGGATGCTCTGCGGGCATGGATGGCGTCTTATCTGGACGTTATCATGGTTGGCACGTGGATGCTCTGCGGGCATGGATGGGGTCTGATCTGGACGTTATCATGGTTGCCACCATGCATGCTCTGCGGGCATGGATGGGGTCTGATCTGGACATTATCATGGTTGGCACCATGGATGCTCTGCAGGCATGGATGGGGTCTGATCTGGACGTTATAATGGTTGGCACCATGGATGCTCTGCGAGCATGGATGGGGTCTGATCTGGACGTTATCATGTTGGCACATGGACGCTCTGCGGGCATGGACATGGTCTGATCTGGACGTTGTCATGGTTGCCACCATGGATGCTCTGCGGGCATGGATGGGGTCTGATCTGGACGTTATCATGGTTGGCACATGGATGCTCTGCAGGCATGGATGGGGTCTGATCTGGACGTTATCATGGTTGCCACCATGGATGCTCTGCGGGCATGGATGGCGTCTTATCTGGACGTTATCATGGTTGGTACATGGATGCTCTGCGGGCATGGATGGGGTCTGATCTGGACGTTATCATGGTTGCCACCATGGATGCTCTGCGGGCATGGATGCTGGGCACCCGGATGGGGTCGGAGTGCGGCGTAACGTCTGGTTCGAGGTCTAAACCTAAACCCTAAACTCAAGGCCTCGGCCGCCCACCTCCGTGGGTGGGCGGCGCCTAAGCCCCTGACTCGATGGCGCAGAGCGACCCAATCCGCTTGCTCGCCTTTCCACAGCCATGGCGGCGGTAGGCCCGGTACCGGAGCAGGTTCTCCTCGGGACCAGTACTGGTCCCTATTTAAGTAAATACCCTAGACCCCAAGCCCTTAGTTGTGGAGGCCCTGGCCAGCTCAGGGCCCTCCAAAAAGGGACCCCTCCAAGACATCATGGGGCCTCCAGCAAGCACAATTCAAGGGCCTAGGGGCCTCCACCAAAAACTGCAGAACGACTGCATAGAGCAATTTTTGTTGGTGTCTTTCCGTCGTGTTCGTGTCGCGTGTTGACATTCATTAGCAAGGCCTATATATAAACAAGCACGATCACGAAGTCCGGCCTTTCATATCGAATTTTGCACAGTAATGGTCTTGCCGGTGCGTTTTTCGCTATCTACTTGGGGCGCTTTCGTGGTGATTTTTGCTTTCCCTTTCAGGTTGGGACGCAGTCTCCCTACAAAACCTCCGGCGCGGGGCATCTTCAAGTATGTTTCGGGAGTTGAAACATGGCGCCGCAGGTTTTGGACGA